TGTTACAGGGTAATTCACCTACACAAAGATCAGTTATCACTACCTACACCCTAGAATATCCTAAAAGTATTGATATTCGTAGGTCTTATTTATAAGGAGGAAGTCCTGAAATACACACAACATAAAGTGGTGAGGTTAAGGATGTAGTTTTACTTCGTCTAATACTAGGATGTAGGAATGGCTGTTAAAACAATGACAGATGAAATGGTAGGATTTAGGATTTCTTCTAAAGATTTCTCGTTCTCAGAGATTTCCAAGAATGTGTTCCATCTTTTGAAATGAATATTTTGTTCCTTCAGTTTTCTTGAACTATATTTGGACAGTTATATTGAATGGGTATAATTTTAAGACTAAGAGGTAATGTGATCAAGTTTGATTTGGTGTCTATTGTAGGGTTTCAATAGAATTATTTTGTAATGGCTATACCATTATTGAATTCTATTTTAATGTAATTATATTATTATTTATTGTGATGATATTTTTATAAATTCTATTTTAATGTAATTATATTATTACTTATTGTGATAATATTCTTTTAAATTTGGGTGGTTGGATGACCGAATGGTTAGCACGTGCGGGCTGTATCATAAAGTCTGTCATTGAATCAACTGGCGTGGTTTAGATTCCCCGGTTGTACATGTCAAGGAGTAGAGTCGGCTGTCGAACCCCGTGGGTTTTCTCTGGGTCCTCCGGTTTCCTCCCACTGCTAAAGACCCCTAAGTGCAAGCGAATTATGGAAATTAAATTGAACCATATGTTAGTCCCGTAATGACCTAGTTTGTGTGGAGTGGACGTTAAACCCCATCTCTCTCTCTCTCTCTCTCTCTTTTAAATTATATTTGAATGTAATTGTATTATTATTATTATATTATGGTTATATTAATTAGGTATTTATTGGCCTCCGGTGTTATATAAATCAATAAATTAGACATTTATTTACATGCCAAGCAGATAATCAACTCTCCAGATCATCATATGGTTGTGATTTTCAACTGATTCAAACATAAACGGCAGTTAATAATTTAATTTAAAAATGGATAATCGAGACTTTGTTTATTATAGTAACAATGATAGCAATGACAATCAAGACTACACTGTTCTTCAAACGGCCATAACTCAGAATGAAGTAATTTGACTGAAATTTTCAATATATTCCCTATTTATTATCTATTTTTGAACTATTAATTTTAGCAAGAACTTAATTCTTAAAAAACACGACCTAATTTATATGAAAAACAATCACTGGTTTATACACATATAGCACAACATTTCAGCATGTCTTTTCTGATAAACCAGTGATTGTTTTTCCATATAGATTGCGTTGTGTTTTTTTATTGTCCTGAATCGCTATATAATTCTTGTCTGTAATATGACATTGTTCGTGTGCTTGATATTTTTAGTTACGACTGCTAATGAAAAAATATAATTTTTGTCTGTAATATGACTTTGTCTATTTGATGTTTTTAATTATGACTGCTAATGGAAACATTTGCGAATCGTGAGAATGTCTCATACATATGGTTTAAACAATATTTTTATTTCAAGTACATAAAGATTATTTACGACGCTCATGTAATGGATTAGAAAACAAGCCAAAGCTTATATAAATTCCTCTCAATACACATACACATTCGTTCGTTCGTTTCTGGGGTTTTACGTCCACTTCCACCTAAGGTGATATCGTAGACAAGACATACACATATATATTGAAGTCATTTGTAGATACATTTACACTAACAAAATCAATAAATAAGAAATGACTATGTGAAATAGCAAGAATAAGACTTTATAGCCAGAATTTATATATCTAATAAAACCAGAAGAAAAAATAGATTATGTATATTATGTAATTAATTAAAGATACATTATGGGAGATTAGATAAAGAGCTGGCAATTCTCACTATAATAATTAAAAACTAGATCATGTTGAGGGAATTTGCTGAAAATTTCAGTGAAATTGATCCTCTCTGAACCGAGAATTTACTAAAGTCGGTACCATAAAAAACATAGTCTTGATTATTCATTTATGATCTGGATAAGTTAATTTATGTCTAATTAATAATTTAGATAACATTTCAAGCCTAAAGAAAGACCTGCAATGGGCAGATTTAGCTCTTGCATAATGCATGTTTAAATGTTGAGGATGAGTACCATTTTATTCTTGTTTGCCCCAGATTTGAAGATCTACGAGAGAAGTTTATAAAACAACATTACAGTAAAAAACCCAAGTGTCTATAAGGGGAGAGAGAAATGGGATTTAACGTTCACTCGACACAAACTAGGTCATTTTGGGACTAACATATGGTTCAATTTTATTTCAATAATTCACTTGTGGGTATGGGCCTTTAGCAGTGAGAGGAAACCGGAGGACCTAGAGAAAACCCACGAGGTTGGACAGGCGACCCTACTCCTGGGAATCGAAATGCCAGTTGACTCAATGACAGACTTTATGATACAGCACGCACGCATTATTTTGCCTACATTTTTATGTATACACTTAGGGTTGCCCATGGCGTGGCACAGGTAGTGATGTGCGGTTTTTCGGTTTAACCGTACGGTATCGGTTTTTACATATTAAACCGAACAGATAAAAAAAATGACCATGCGTTTCGGTTTATTTTTGTTCCAAATTCCTAATTTTTAATTTACCTGTTTTTCGTTTCGGAAATGTTTGAAAAATTCATAATTTATATGTAACTGTACTTTGTCAGATTTTTTTTATGGTAACTTTGTTTTTACTATTCATAATTAAAGTCATATAACAGTAAAAAAAACTCTTTGTTTACAATTTACATCAATATGTTTGATATCTTTTCTAGCTTCCATGTATTCCTATAAAATAACCATAAATCGGTACATTCATAATACAGTGTTTAAATGAATAAAAAAAACGAAAACCGAAACAGAAACCAAGGTTTTTTGCCACAGAAAAAAAATAAAAAAGGTATAGCCATGAACCGCAAGTAGCATAAGTCCAAAACCAGAAGTGGTAGGCATCTCCACCAGGTTTATGTTACTCCCCGGTCCGTGCTACCCATATACATAGGGGGGTTGGATAGCTTAATGGTTAGCGTGCGCGCACTGTATCATTAAGTCTGTCATTGAGTCGACTGGCGTGGTTTCGAATCCCCGGTTGTACGTGACAAGGAGTAGGGTCGCCTGTCCAACCTCGTTGGTTTTCTCCGGGTCCTCCGGTTGCCTCCCACTTCTAAAGACCCCTACGAGCAGGCGAAATTATAAAAATAAAATTAAACCATATGTTAGTCACGAAATGACCTAGTTTGTGTCGAGTGGACGTTAAACCCCATTTCTCTCTCTCTCTCTCTCAGCTGGGTGACAGCCCTAGTGTTAGAACCCTGAACAGAAATGAAATGAGGTTTAACATCCTACTGTTCTGCTCCTATACTGGGCTAATGAAGATGGACATACACCATACAGTGTGCTATGAGAGAAATTTTGCCCGGACGGCAGCAATATGACCTACTCTTATATCGAATTCCAATTTCACTTTGTTGAACTTTGTGAATGCTCTTAAGACAAAAGTCATCATCCCAATAGGCGTGCGAGCTGGGGGGGCGGCCGCCCCCCCCCCATTTTGGGCACCAAATGCTGGGAAAATTTGGGCACACAATTGTATTTTGTAAAAGTTGTATAAAAAAAGATATTGTGTTCTTGAATTTATTATTATTATGTAACATACTGAGAACCTAACAACATTTTTGGGGCACCAACCACCACCGCCCTCCCAGTCAAAAATTTCCCCGTACGCCTATGATCATCCGATCTATATGAAATTTATATGTATTATTTAAATTAGTAAACCAAAGAAGCCTATCAAATTTCAATAATTACTCTTGTTTTCCCTTTGTAGAACCATATAAATGCTTTATTAGAATGAGTAAAGCGAAGAAGCCTATCGAATTTCAACAATTTCCGCTACTTATTTCTAGGTTTATGGCCATTGTTTCACATTATTGTAGAACATTGTGAACGCTCTAGCAACAAAAGTTATCATTCGATTGTAGGAAATTGATATCATTACAAACATCAGAATAAATATGAGATAACTCTTGCTTGAACAATTTAGCTGCTGTGGGTTTATGTTTCATTTCCTGGCAACCATACTTTTAATGTCTTGTGGATTCAAATTCAAATCATTTCTCATAATTACTTCTTGATCAGTGTCTTGTGAATGACCTACAAAATTACCTATATGCGACAACATTTGTGGACTGCTTGGACGTATGTTTCGTTGCCGTGCAACCTAGCAACTTGGGTTACAAAGTAGCATTTTATATATTGATTAATAACAGGCCAATTGCTAGACATGAACATAAACAGTTCATATGGGCGGCTTATCTGACGGCCCCAATTCACTCGCAAAGAGATACACTGTTAAAAGTGAAAATAATGAGTAATTGCTCCACCAATCCTCAGACATTCAGCAATTCGTTGTGGCATGCTCATAATCAACTGTCCAATCACGATTTGGGGCAATCTAACCCACTCCTCTTGCAGTGCCACGGCCAATTCTTGCAGTGTTGTCGGTCAACGTTGACGTCGACGAACACATCTCCCAATCAAATTAAACGTAACACACTAAAGCAAAGATACGCTAAACAGTAAATCCTATGCATGAACCGATAGGAAAGCAAACATGGATGGGATAAACCAGCAAGCGGCAGTTTTCATCAACCCTTCCTTGTAGTGTCAAATTTGACAATGAAACCCTCCGACGTGTATGGCGCTATTGCGTGTCGCACATGCAGCTCAGTGGTTCTGTTGGGGCGATAAGTTCTTCATCTGTGCACATACTCTCAAAGCATTTCAAGTGTCCATGACTATTTATCATACCACAACCTGCATAGGTATTTGCATTTCAATATCCCCTACTTTTTTTGAAGGGTATATTTTTTATATATACAAATAAACATGTTAAAATCAATCAATAAAATCAATCAATAAAATCAATCAATAAGATCAATCGATATCTGTTACAGGTTATTATAGAACAAAGACATGTTGAGGGCCGCAACACACTGAAATTATTTAACGATTATTTGAAAACGGCAGGAAATAGTGTGAATAAAGTTTTAAAGGCTTTACAGGAGATGAATCGAGGAGACGCCCTCAAAATACTAACAGATAGTTTACCAAGTAAGTAAATAATGTCGTTTAATTTTAATGTGACTGAGAAAATTGCATTTTACCTGAATACACTTCATGAACAAAGAAGTAAGAGGTTGGAATGGCATACATTTTAATGAACACATATTCTGATAGTCAATACCACACTGATCAGCAGTGAATATTCGCTAGGCCGCGTCAATCACTGATAAGGATGACATCGATGCGACTTAATGAGCCACAAATATTAACTTTTTTCCTTCGACAAATTAAATTCGTTTGATTTTAATGTGACTGTATTTTACTTAATGGTTAATCCAGCTCTGCATTAATTATATTACTTTTTGTACGCCCTGCTGTGGCCGTATGTTTCATTGCCTGGCAACCTATCTTTAAATTGAGTAAAATGTTGTTTTATGATACCATCTAGGTCAATTATTTTATCTATCGACTTTTTCAAACATCAAGTGCCTGAATCCAACAAAATCGACCGATTATATTTGAGATCCCAGTTTTGATGACCTGTTATATCCTTTCCATTTCTATATTTGTTTAAAAGGCGGGGCGGATGGATGGCCGAATGGTTAGCACGTGCGCGCTATATCATAAGGGCTGTCATTGAGTCAACTGCCGTGGTTTCGAATCCCCGGTTGTATGTGACAAGGAGTAGGGTCGCCTGTCCAACCTCGTTGGTTTACTCCGGATCCTCCGGTTTCCTACCACTACTAAAGACCCCTAACCATGTGTTAGTCCCAAAGTGACCTAGTTTGTGTCCACCTTAAATCTCTCTCTCTCTCTCTCTCTCTCTCTCTCTCTCTGTTTAAAAGGCATAATATTCCACTCATAAAGGCCATCACCTTATTGAGCCAAGGCGACTCCTATATTACATGGAATGTTCCTGAAGCAACGACCGTGAGTTTTACAACATCTAGACGTTGCTAGACTGGTCTGCAATTCCTGAACTTGTAGCTACGTTTTCTCCCTTCAACGCACGCACGCACGCATGTGAACGGAAGCTTTTGACATTGATAAGATGTACAGAGTTAAAGGACAATATTGGTGTCAGTCATTATCATCTATGTGATAGAACTCGTGTTTTCCTTTTGCGTTTGTCACTTCCGATTGTTGAAGCATTGATTACGCATCTATCGTAGCAATGTTCTCTGTGATAAAATAATATTTGGAACATGTTTATCGAGTTCTATCACATATGTGATAATGACTGGCACCAATATTGTCCTTTAACGCGAGGTCATGCCTTCTATAGAAGATGATGGAAAATGAGTTCTATCACATATGTGATAATGACTGGCACCAATATTGTCCTTTAAAGCGAGATCATGTCTTCTATAGAAGATGATGTTTAATGAGTTCTATCACATATGTGATAATGACTGGCACCAATATTGTCCTTTAAAGCGAGATCATGTCTTCTATAGAAGATGATGTTAAACGAGTTCTATCACATATGTGATAATGACTGGCAACAATATTGTCCTTTAAAGCGAGATCATGTCTTCTATAGAAGATGATGTTAAACGAGTTCTATCACATATGTGATAATGACTGGCATCAATATTGTCCTTTAAAGCGAGATCATGCCTTCTATAGAAGATGATGGAAAATGAACAATGTTAGTTTAGTCATTCAGGTGGTGGCATGGCCAAATGATTTTAACACAGGTGTTAGTCTTAAAATGACCTAGAATATCCTGTATACCTGGGGCCTGTTTCACGAAATTTTAACTAAGATAAAATCCAAATTTTAGTAATTTGATTGGATAATATTAGATTGATTTTAGTGCTTAGCCAATCACAATTGAAGTATCTACTAAAATTCGGATTTTATCTTTAGTTAAAATTTCGTGAAACAGGGCCCAGAAGAATTACCTTTTTCGATTATGTGGGGTGAAGGGAAGTTGATATCTACAAGTATGTCGCCGTCCAACTCGAAATGGTATAGAATATCCTCTATATCCCCAGTGGCATCATCCCGTTCTACTCCACTAACCCCAGGGTCCATTCACAGGGGGAGCCATGGTGGCTAGGTGGTTAAGATGCTGGCTCGCTAGCCTGGAGGTCGGGTATTCGATCCCTGCATTGGCCGAGAAAGTTCATCTGGATTTTCCGACGTGGTTTCCCCTTGTCAGTGGGGCAGAACAGAGGGCCTGACAAGGACAGCTGTCTAGTCCTTCGGATGACGCGAAATACATTGGAATGCACGTAAAAGATCCCTTGGCAGTTGGAATTCGATATAAGAGTAGGCGATAGTGCCGCTGCCCGGGCAAAATTTCCCTCATAGCACTCTGTATGGCGTATGCCCGTCTTCATTAGCCCAGTATAGGAGCAGAACAGTAGGACACGTTAAACCCCATTTCATTTCCATTCACAGGGGAGACACATAGTCAAATTATTTGCTCTTGATGATTTCATTGGCCATGTGAAGTAGAACAGAATGATGCCACTGTGGATACTGAGGATGGGTATAGAAAGACGCAATAGTTTCAACTTAGTATATATAGTTGCATCAATTGGTTCCCAGAATTAATATGTCATCTTTTCTTTAATTTTTTCTCAGATATACGTAAAAAATTTAAAGAATCAGAGAGGAAGGAGAAGAAGGTACCAGAAGAGAACAGCTTTTGTGGTTTTCCAAGTGACTATTATCCTTCTTTGATAAACGGGAATACGTATATGGCCCCAACCAGTTCATTCGTGCATAACGGGTATTTTTTGCCCATCTTAGTATCTCCGTCACATATGCCGTCCATGAGGCCACCATTTCATGACTATCATAGTAACTCAAGATCGCATAATGAATCACATCAGCCAGATAATTCTCCTCTCAATCAACGACCTGTCAAAAATCGTAAAGTACAACACCATGGCGATGGATACGATGGCTGCGATCGCTCCCCGGTTTGTGACAACACCTCCTCGATATCTAGCTATTTAAATAAGCCGGCGGTTTCTCGCAGCACCTCACATAAAGGCTTCGATAGCATGGAGGTTAATTATTGTAAATATAATGATCGCGATTTTAGTCTTTCCAATAATGACATGGATAATGATAATTTCCGACATGAAACGCCAGCGGAATTACCTCGCACGATATTGCGGGGTGAAGGGAATCTGCTATCTTCAAATATGTCGATGCCCAACTCAAAATCGCGACTTAGCTCCAAACGCTATGAAAACTCCTCTTCGAATTCGGATGATTCGTTTTCATCTGATTCAGAAACGTCACCGTGGGCCAACGGCAGATCTAGTAGAGGTCAGGCGCTGAGAAAGAAACGCAGCAGTCGAACAGAACAAAGAAGTACCCCATTGGATAATCTCCATAATCTGTCTCAATTACCTCAAGAGTACATGCCTGATGAAAGTTACAAGACCGTGGTAGCTGAACAGAAAATGGGGAAGCATACACGAAGGCCAACTACCCTCATCAAAACAGAGCAAGATGTTGGTCGACAGTCCTGTAACCATGGTAATTTATATTCTAAGTTTCAAACCAAACGCAGTATATCAGATTCTACTGGGGAGTCACAGGTTCGTTCTTTGGATGATGAGAGTGTGGCAGGCATCGAGAGAGAAATGAAGAAATCCTTATCGTTACCAGGCAACAAGATGCCAGCTGAATTTAAAAAGGGTAATTTTCTAAGTTCTGCAAAAGAAGTCAGTATTTAGAGTCAGGGTTTTGAGTAGGCACCAGATTGAATGATACATATCAAATTATGACATCATTGATACGATAACCATGTGTTTTTCCCATTGTGATTTTTAGACTATTGCTTCTACTTTCAAACCCTAATTTCTGCACACCAACAATTCATGACGGGATGCCAAAAAAAACATGCGATCCAACCACATACACATGGGGTTCACATAGAAGAAGCCCTGGCAGTTAAAATGCTGTGTCATGGGCAATGGTCTCCACATGTAATCATTTGAAATGAAAAATACCGTAATGATATAGGGGGGTTGGATGGCTGAATGGTTAGCATGCGCGCGCTGTATCATAAAGTCTGTCATTGAGTTGACTGGCCTGGTTTCGAATCCCCATTTGTACGTGACAAGGAGTAGGGTCGTCTGTCCAACCTCGTGGGTTTTCTCCGGGACCTCCGGTTTCCTCCCACTGCTAAAAGCCCCTACGCGCAAGTGAATTATTGAAATAAAATTAAACCATATGTTAGTCCCGAAATGACCTAGTTTGTGTCGAGTGAATATTAAAAACCATGTCTCTCTCTCTCCGTAATGATATTAGTCTCCAAATGATCAACTAGATGTTGTATCCCATTTCATTCCTCTCCTCATCCTGCTAAAGACTCCTACGTTCACGTCAATTATTAAAATAAAATTGTGTCATATGTTAGTCCCAAATTGACCCATTTTGTAACAAATGGATGTTAAACCACATGTCTGTGTGTGTATATTCCAAGGGTTCCCACAACTTATTTTGACCGTCCCCCAGAAATTTTTTAAAAATGGACTCATTTCTCTCTCTCCCTCTATTCCAGTCCATTATAATAATCTAATTGGGGGTGAGGGGTCAACAAATTAATTCACATTGGTTCACTTAGTGCAGAAACCTGATTTCATTTCTAAGAAATATTGTATATTTTTCAGCTTTCAGTAAAGTCCTTGTTACATTCGCTTATGATAGTGATAAGCACATGCAGAGAGTCCTCAGTCTGTGTAATTGTATTGAAAAAAATGGTTTTAAGTGCTGTGTGGATATTTATAATCGCAATCATAAAAGTGGAAAAAATGGCAAAAGTGAAAAATTAGCATTTTATAAAGAGAAATTTGAAGAGGTAAGTATTTAAAGAATACTGTCACCGTTTTTGAAAAGTTCCTTGTGAAAAAAAGTTTAATTCACTTAGTACTATTGTAAGTTTGGCGGGAGATACATTGGCGCAGTGAGTAATATGTTGGCTCGTTAACCAACGCGGGTGCCAATGCGTCAACGGACCTCTGCTTTTTGTCCCATCCGAACAACTATCCATTGTCCCTTGTCAGACTCTCTGCCCAGCACCACTAACAAGGGGCAACCACACCGTAAATGCCAATGAACTTTTTCGGCCAACGCAGCAAGCCAGTATCTTATCCACTGAACCACCAGTGGGGGTTGGGTGGCCAAATGGTTAGCACGTGCGCGCCGTATCATAAGGCCTGCCATTGAGTCAACTGGCGATGTTTCGAATCCCCGGTTGTACGTAACAAGGAGTAGGGTCGCCTGTCCAACCTTGTGGGTTTTCTCCGGTTCCTCCCACTGCTAAAGACCCCTGCGCGCAAGCGAATTATTGAAATAAAATTAAACCATATGTTAGTCCCGAAATGACCTAGTTTGTGTCAAGTGGACGTTAAACCCCATTTCTCTCTCTCTCTCTCTCTCCCTTGATCGATCATGGCCGGTGTTTGCAGGGAAAATTGGGGGGAGATGCGATGGGGGGGGGGGGGGGGTGCTGAACCAAATTGACTCAGATGGCATGGTTTCAAATCTACGCTTTTTTTATGTGACAAGAAGAGGGGTCGCCTTTATAACCTCAGTGGTTTTTCTTCAGACCCTCCCATTTCCTCCTGCTAAAAACCTATATTCGCAAGCTAATCATTAAAATAGAATATATCGCATCTCTTATAAAGAGATGGCTGAATGGTTAGCGCGTGGGCATTGTATCATAAGATTTGTCATTGAGTCAACTGTCGTGGTTTCGAATCCCTGGTTGTACGAGACAAGGTGTAGGGTAGTCTATCCAACCGTGTGGGTTTTCTTCTGGTCCTCCGGTTTCCTCCCACTGCTAAAGACCCCAACGCGCAAGCAAATTATGAAATAAAAATGAACCATATGTTAGTCCCAAAATGACCTGGTTTGTGTTGAGTAGATGTTAAACCCTATTTCTCTCCCTCTTGTAAAGATAAGTTAGGCCACCCCAAAAACTGAATTTCCAACTCGTAAATTTCCAATGTTTATGTTTTGAAGGCTATTTCATCAATTATTTATTTCATAAATAAATTATTTTGTTTTCCAGGCTGATTTTATTTTGGTTTGTCCGTCTAAAAAATATCACAAAGATACCTGTGATGATAGTCGATCAAAGGATTCGTCGTCATCAGACGGTCTTCACACCAAATTTATTTATGACATGATGTATAGGGAGTTTATACAGAATGGTAATAATAACAAACGTTTTGTACCCGTGATACTCGAGGGAACATCACACGACGATTTACCTCGATGGTTATTGAATCAGACTGTAAAGTACACATGGCCGTCACAATACAAAGATTTGTTGTGGATGTTAACACGACCAGAAGAACGCATAAATCGTCATGGAAACAGAAGAAGTTAATGTCCCTAAGTTAATTGTTTTGATAGAATATTATTGGTAAAATGATCAAAGAATCCTAAAATGTTGGGCATATTACATTTTGTCACTAAAATTATTATTTCAAGGTCTCCTAATTGTGTGAGTAAAACTATAACTTTTTTTCAAAATCCTGTGGAAAGAAAATATTCAATTTTAGTTTGATTTCAATTTCATGGAAATCCTTTATGTCAAGCCTTTCTAAAAAAATTTGTGCTTAGAAGAAAAATTTGTCAAAAACTAAATCTGACTAGAGTAAAAAAATTATTGTTTAAGATGATTATAGCTATTCATTTTAAGAATTTTTAAAAGATTAAATATTATTTCTAATTTCTGTTGGCTACGAAATTAATAAAATACACTGTAGTTTAGACAAACTGACACAATCATTTCAAAATTATCACAAACTTTTATGAAAGAGGCCACATAATGTAAATTAAATAGACTTGAAAGTACATCTGTAATGCCTTTGGTATATGTAATGCTACATTGTGATTTCACAAAATTTATTTTATGAAAGAGGACACATAAATAAATACACCTGAAAGTACATATGTAATGCCTTTGGTATACGTAATGCCCCTCTGTGATTTTACAGGTTAATGGAGTTTTAAAGGGGTATATGATGATAAATCTGTCACAAACTTTTATGAAAGAGGACACTTAATGTGACTTATATAATTGACATCTGGTAATGCTTTTGGTGTATGTAATGCTCCGGTATCATTTCATTGGTTAATTAATGTTGGATCTATGAAGTGTAAAAGTAATATCTGGCTTTAACATGAGCTGAACTTAAACCTACATATATATATTGTCACAACCAGTATTACTTTTTAAACCTATTAAAATCGGTCTGACTGTCCATCACACATTTTGCCCACAATAACTCTGCTGTAATTGAGCTAGAATTTTCAAACTTGGTGTTTGAAATGCCTTGACTGAGTTTGATGATGAACATTTTCTGCTTAGGCTAATCAGAGATACACAATTTGATAGGTCGATGCTTTGGGACATGATAACATTGCTTCTAATGAATGAAGTCAGGGTTATGAAACTTGGTGCACTGTTTCATTACATCAGTATCTTGACTGATTTTGATGGTGCGCATTTTCGACTCAGTTTAAGCAATTTGATTGGTCATGACTTTGAAGCTGAACAACTTTGATTCCAATTGGGTGAAAATGGTGAAACTTGGCGTATATCATTACATATATACCTTGACTTAGTTCGATAATGCACATATCCTATAGTTTCAGTAAATCAGTACCATCGGTAAGTTCAATAATGAACATTATCTGTGTCAATGTTTTGGGACATGATAACTTTGATTACAATTGAGTGAGAATGATAAAACATGGTGTATAGTTTCATTACAATTACATCAAACTCAGAGTATAGTTTCAGTACTTCAATACCTTGACTGATTTCGATGATGAGCAATGTGATTGGTCAAGACTTAAAGCTTGGCAACTTTGATTTGAACTGAGTGAGAATGGTGAAACTTGGTGTATATCTAAATGATCCATGCTTTATAAAAACAAGATAGATATTGAATTAAAAAATGGCATCTAATTACTTTTTCAATCTGAATTTCAGATCTTTAATTTGGTCTATACTATTTACTGGAAAACACCATGTTATACTGAATACCGGAAAACACCAGAAAAACACTTAATACCGGAAAACACACTAAATACCGAAAAACGCCCTAAATAGGTAACCTGTAGAAAGGCTATAATATAAACTGGAAACTAGACCTAACCCTAACCCAGGCACACACAGGACGAGGGCGCCGGGTTACCTATTTAGGGTGCCAGTCTCCGGGTTACCTATTTTGGGTATTTTCCGGTATTTAGTGTTTTTTCCGGTATTTAGTGTTTTTCCGGTGTTTTCCAGTATTCAGTATAAGATGGTGTTTTCCGCTTGTTTTCCGGTATATAGTATTGCCGTTTAATTTCAAGGAGACAAATAACTATATGAACCTTTAAAATTAGATAAAAGAATTAGAGTTTTGATATTAGGTGTTCGAATAAATGTAAAATTATAACAATTTATGTTTGAATTTTGTGGGCTATTATAAATAGTTATATGAACATTTAAATTAAAAAAAAAAAAAAGAAATAAGAGTTCTGATATGAATTATTCAAATAAATGTAAATTTATAACAAGTTATGATTGAATTTTGTGTATAAATAAGTATTATATATCCATATAATGTATGTTGTTTAAATTTTGTGTATCAATAAGTATTGTATATCATCCCTAATTCAATGTATAATCAATCAGTGCTAGTGTTATACCCCTTTCTGATACATGTAATGTATGTTGTTAATTGTTATATTATTTGTTTTGTATATAGTCAAAACTGTATATTCTGTAAATACGATTGTTAAATATAATATAACCATCAGCTTCACTTTTTACCAAATTTTAAATATTTTTAAACTGATAGTAAGTTTAGAATTTAGTCATAGGATTGCAGGCAGCAAGTAGTACAATCTGATTTTAACACAGATCCTATTTCGTTTCGTTTTTTATAGTTCAAAATTTCGTTTTACTTGGGGGGGGGGTTGGATGGCTGAATGGTTAGCACGTGCGCGCTTTATCATAAAGCCTGTCATTGAGTCAACTGGCGTGGTTTCGAATCCCCGGTTGTACGTGACAAGTAGGGTCGCTGTCCAACCTCGTGGGTTTTCTTCGGGTCCTTCGGTTTCCTCCCACTGCTAAAGACCCCTACGCGCAAGCGAATTATTGAAATAAAATTAAACCATATGTTAGTCCAAAAATGACCTAGTTTGTGTCGAGTGGACGTTTAACCCCATTTCTCTCTCTCGTTTTACTTGTCTTTACTACACTAGGGTCTGGAAGAGTTGTTATATAACAGGCGTTCTAGTTGATGTGATTAATTAGCCAGTTTAACGGTCTATTACGGTGAGTTCTTGACGTGCCCAGCACGGAACTGTTGGTAAACCCCTAGAAACGTCAACGCTGATTGATTCATCAATGTCTGATGTCATAGGGTCAAAAGCCGCTCGTATGACCCCTGACACGACCTCCCAGTACAACTGGTCAGATCTTCATGTAGTGTTGGCCATCGAAAGTATAAAAAAACCGAAACGAAATATACATCTGTATTTTAATCAGATTGCAGTCAGCAAGTAGCATAACTTTTCTCTATTGAATACAGATAAGAGATAATACTGTGTTGATTTCAAACACACAGGTACATTTATAATAACCAAAGTTAAATAGTTTGTTCGTAATCGAAGAAATACATTTATAAAATAGGAATTTTCGGACAATAACTCTTATACTACGATCTTGTGTAGTTATTAAACTTTCAATTATGAAAAAAATAGCTGCAATTGTTGATTCATTTTGTAAAATACATTTTATGCATGTTTAGTTAACAAATCTAAAATAACCAAGGCATGTTTCAGTTGTCCAATCCGCTATGATATTAAGAACTGCTCTTGTTTGACATGTTGGATCGTAAAAAATGTAGCAACGTTTCCATGGCAATATTTTGACAAACAGTCATGGTCATATAAATCTGTGGTTCTCCCTTGTCAGTGATACAGAACGGAGGGCCTGACAAGGACAGCTGTCTAGTCGTTCGGATGGGACGAAAAACCGAGGTCCCGTGTACATATTGGCGTGCACGTAAAAGATCCCTTGACAGCTATTCCATATTTTCTCTGGCAGAGTTTTTTTTCTTCATTTACCTAAATATGATTTTTATTTTCTCACCCAAAATGTTTTTGCTCAAGTAAATATTAGCATTCTGATGATCAAGTTATGAGTGCAATGAGGTGTGGTTACTGCCCACATTTAATTTGATTCAGCTGGCTGTATTTATTTATTATAACCTCTCTCTCTCTCTCAAATGAAATTGTACCATATGAAATTAAACCATGTTAGTCCCAAAATGAGTTAGTGATGCATTGACTCTCTCTCTCTCTCTCTCTCTCTCTCTCTCTCTCTCTCTTTCTCTCTCTCTCTCTATTACTAGCATGTAGTCACCAGGAGTATTTTAATCAGACGGAATTGAGTTATACAAAAAAAATTTCCTTGGAAATTTACGACTTTGAATTGAAAAATGGCAAATGTGCAAAGATAACAAAGTTATCGAAAAATAGTCAAGGGCTATTGGTCATCTGATAGACCATAAATTGTTAGGATTTTTAAATGGATAGATAGATTAAGGAGAAGGTTATGACCCAGGGATCTTAATCAGCAGGTTTTTTTTGTGGCCTTTAGCAGCTTGAAGTTCAATCAAGCCAGTTAGTAAAACAATGACCTATTGTCAAGAAATAACTTCAGATTTCTTTATAATTAGCATTAAATGCATACAAACCTATTAGCAGTTTGTTCATGTAAAAATAGACTATCCCGGTTCTTTAAAGATTATTTGTGACGCAAGCCTTATTCAATAGTTCGTGGAAGTGTCACAGCTATCCATATGAAAGTGTCATTTTGGGCCTGTCGAAGCACAGCCCTAGATACTGGCAGTTCAAGTGCTAACCTGTTAAGAAAAGGATTTTGTTACGACAGGCTCACATGTCTGCAGTGGATATTTGATATTATTTGTTAAAGCAAAAAAAGTAAATGTATTTATTAATAAATATTAATTTATCAGTATAATTTTCCACGTCTTGTGACCTGGTGACCTTTCGCTTGTCTCAGCATTGTGTATTATTAATTTTAATGTGTAAATATAATTCTATGTACAATTCATAATATCGTATTGCCTGTCCCATTGACAATAAAACATCCAATGCAACCATTTCATTGACTAAAAACAACCTTGGACATAAGACACCTGTTACAACTGGCGGGTTGGATAGCCGAATGGTTAGCACGTGCGCGCTGTCATTGAGTCAACTGACGTGGTTTCGATTCCCCGGTTGTACATGACAAGGAGTAGGGTGGCCTGTCCAACCACGTGGGTTTTCTCCGGTTTCCTGCCACTGCTAAAAACCCCTACGCGCAAGCAAATTATTGAAATAAAATTGAACCATGTGTTAGTCCCGAAATGACCTAGTTTGTGTCGAGTGGACGTTAAACCCCATTTCTCTCTCCCCCTGTTACAACTAAATCATCATACTTTTTTATTATTATTATAATATATACATCCGGGGTTTGTATATATATATATATACTGGTTGTATGTGACAAGGATTAGGGTCGCCTTTCCAACCTTGTGGGTTTTCTCCGGGTCCTCTGGTTTCCTCCCACTGCAAAAGACCCCTACGCGCAAGCAAATTAGTGAAATAAAATTGTACCACATGTTAGTCCCGAAATGACCTGGTTTTTGTCCAGTGGAGGTTAAACCCCATTTCTCTCTCTCTCGTGTACACATTGGCGTGCACGTAAAAGATCCCTTAGCAGTTGGAATTTGATATAAGAGTAGGCCGTAGCGCCGCTGCCAGGGCAAAAAATTCCCTCAGCACTCCACTCACTGTATGGCGTATGCCCGTCTTCATTAGCCCAGTTTAGGAGCAGAACAGTAGGATGTTAAACCCCATTTCATTTCATTTGTCTCTGTCTCTCTCTTGTATATAAATTAACTAGCAGAATGCCCGGCTTCGCTCGGGGGTCATAACTCCAAAACCGGAAGTGGTAGACTTAACGCCACCTGGCCTATGTTACTCCCCGGTCCAAGCTACCCCTATACCCCAAATTTCAGACTCGGGGCAGACCTAGTGTAGCCGCCAACCCCGAACAAACAGACAAACGACAGTCACAAATATTAGTATAGATAGATGTTGTGGGATCATTTGTACCAGACCAAGTCGGTATATTATATACTTTCAGGCTTATATATATATATGTGGTAGCATAATTTGTATGGACAAAGACTGTGACAGGTGTTTAATGTCCAAATTTGGCTAAGAGGTAGAAATTTATAAACAAATTCTAGTCTTCAACCAATAAAAAAGGCCTCAGATAATCTGTGACAGGTGCCTTATCTCCAGATTTCGCTCAACTAATAAAAAGCCCACAGATAATCATTTTGTTCTCTTGTCTCAAACATCCCATGTTTTCATTCAAGAACAAAACATACCATTGGCCTTATTCATGAAAATTTAAAATAACTTGTTTTAATAATGCATGCTTTTCATTGGCTAAGAGCTCAAATTAGAACACAAATTTCCACCCGCAACCAATGAAAAGGCTACATCCTTGAGATGTTTTGGTTCAAATTTTCATGAATAGGGCCTCATGTTTTCATTCAAGAGAGATAATCCTTGCAAAATCAAAGGGCAGACAACTCTCTGTTGTTTTTGTTTGTGTTGTTCCCCATTATTTCAATCCACTAATTAATAATGTATGACAATAAATACTGTAAATATAAACAATAGATTGTTTGTGTTTTCCTTTGGCATTCGTCACTTTCAATTCAGGAAACCTGTATTACTCAGCTATTGTAGCAATGATCTCTGTGTTAAAATTATATTTGGAACGTGTTTAATTAGTTCTATCACATATGTGATAATGACTGACACCAATATTGTCCTTTAATGCATGATCTTTAAATCACAAGGTTTGTCATTTGATAGTAGGACTTTATTAAAAGTTTACAACCTTCTGACATTGATGAGGAGCCAAGATGCGCCTCACTAACCTGGAGTTTGATCATAAGGTCTATTATTGAGTCAAGGGGGGATTGGATGGCCAAATGGTTAGCGCGTGCCCGCTGTATCATAAGGCCTGTCATTGAGTCAACTGGCGTGGTTTCAACTCCCCAGGTGTGTACATGACTGACAAGGAGTAGGGTTGCCTGTCCTACCTCGTGGGTTTTCTCCGGGTCCTCCGGTTTCCTCCCACTACTAAAGACCCCTACGCGCAAGCGAATTATTGAAATAAAATTAAACCGTATGTTAGTACCGAAATGACCTAGTTTGTGTTGAGTGGACGTTAAACCCCATTTCTCTCTCTCTCTCTGTTCTTCAAATGATAAAAATAATTACTCTTCTATGCAGGGGTAAATGACTAGACGAGAGGAAAGGGGTTGGGTGGCGGTGGCAGGGGCGGGGGCGCGTTATCACAGGTAATAAAACGCAGAATCCACTTCATTCAGTGCCCCTGTGCATATTAACGTGCATGTAAAAAGGAACCCTTGGGAGTTCATATTCCATATAATAGGTAGTGGAGCTGCTGTCGTGTCAAAATTCCCCTCATAACACACTGTGTTGCATGTGCCTGTCTTTATTAGCCCAGCCAGAGCAGTAAATTGGTGGGGGGAGCGGAGCAGAGGTAGCCAAATTGTTAACACGTGCGTTACATCGTTAGGTTTGTATTGAGTTAAATGGCATGGTTTCGATCAACCGCTTGTATGCAACAAGGACATAGTCTGGGGGTGCAGGTTCAATCCTAGAGTCGGCCATGAAAGTTCATCAGGATTTTCCGATGTGGTTTCCCCTTTTCAGTAGTGCAGGACGGAGAGAGTTTGACATGGAAAGTTGTCTAGTCGTTCGGATGGGACGAAAAACCGAGGTCACGTGTACACATTGGCATGCATGTAAAGATCCCTTGGCAGTTGGAATTCGATAAAAGAGTAGGCGTTTGTCCATCTTCATTAGCTCAGATGGAGCAGCACCATTTCAGGGTGCTTAAAAGTTTCATGGCACATGAACTGGTCTGAGACAGATCTTATTTTGTTTCGTTTTTGTATACTTTCGATGGCCTCCAATATATGAAGATCTGACCGGTTGTAGAGGCAGCTCGTGTCAGGGGTCATACCCACAATTCCGATCACTGCTCGCCAAGAACTTGCCATAACAGACTGCTTCATTGGCTAATCCTGCACATCAACCAGAACGCAGGTTATATAGCATCTCCTCCAGATCTGTGTTTTAATCAGATTGGATATATAAATGGGTATGTAAAATAAGTAAAAGGCACCATTCCGCCCAGACCAGTAACGTCTTATGTAAACAATGCAAGTGCTATGAGCCACGTAATGTGATGTCACATGTTGAAAGTAGTCATCTTTTACAGAGTTATTAGAAGACTTTCGTAATACCTCGGTGGAAAATATTGGAATGTTTCTAATGGCAGTTTACTTTCACTTTATCATCATCACTGCATTTTATTAATTTTATTAGATACATCTGCCACTTTTGATAGGGTTGATCAAATTTGTTCTTTTAAGCTTTTTTTGATTTAAATTTGCATTTGCAATAAATTCTGCACTGAAACTTATAGATAAGTTATTCAATTGGTCAGAAACTGAGTATGGTAGTAAATACATGAATAGTCATCTTCTGAATGTGTTCTAGAAATTGGTGTACCACAGACCGTGACCCTATTGTATTCACTTTCACGATGTACCACAGGGCTCACTTCTTGGCCCTATTTTATTTACCTTAATTTGTAAGTTCACTGAATGGCTCTCTTAAAAATAACCCCTGCATATGGTGTCTTTGTGGCCGCATTAGGTTAACTGTTTTAGAAATCTAACAGGACAGGCCGGTATATATAGATCGGTGTAGCTGCTGGATCAAACGATGATGCCGGCGGAGAGAGTAGACATAAATAAAAATCCCCACTCAAGTCAGTATATAAACATATTTATGTAGCAATAAGAAGTGGTTTATTCTTCATAACATTTCGGGTGATATGACCCTTCTTCAAATGATAACATTAATAATTTAAATCCTGTGTCGCCTTTATATACACTACTATTGTGTATATAAAGGCGACACAGGATTTATTAATTGTATCATTTGAAAAAGGGTCATATCATCCGAAACGTTTTTAAGAATAAACCACTTCCCATTGCTACATAAATCTGTTTATACTACTGACTGCTGGGCGGGGATTTTTATATTTTTATTTATGTCTACTCTCTCCGCCGGCATCATCATATTTTCATTTTGTTTTAGAAATCTTTAATTTTATGAATATTTACTGTGTAAATAATTTTGGTGTACAATGGGCTCACGACATGCCGCCTAAGGTGCCTTTGTGACTGCAGGTTGTTTTAGAGATCTGTAATTTTATAAATGTTTAGCTGTTTGGGATAATTTTTGAAGTCCTTGAAATTTTGGTGTACCACAGGGCTCAGTCCTTGGCCCCTTGGTTGTTATTATTCAAAGCCATTTATTTATTATTAATGTGCATATGATGTACACAATGTACATCTCCTTTTCACCCCCAAAACCCTGACGAGCTTTTCGTAAATTCTGAATTTAAAGTTGAGCATTGTATTTCTGTAATAAGTCTATATATATATATATGGATGCCGCCTGTGCCGAAACTCAACGATAATAAAGCCGAATATGTGTCACCGACTGAATGTCAGGTGCCGTTAGATAAGATAGATATGATTTTTATTGCATCGAAACATCCATTTAGGACAGCATACAATATAAACGTGTACATAAAATTTTAACATTATGGCAATTATTACACAAGACACACAATATTTCATCGGAACCTCCCTTGAGGACAAAATACAATATACAAAATATTAAATACAAGTGCAAAAAAGTTGGACGGATACAAAAATATGGGCGGACATAAATTCAAACCCAAAACTCTCCTGGTATGCAGCAGCTATCAAAAAAATCTTCAAAAAATATGACATTTCTGCAACAACAATTTCGAGACAGAATATTAAAAGTTCAATAGAAAGTAAGTTTAACGATGATCTCCTTGCTGAACTTGCGGGCCGAACCATAAACTCAGAACCTTCGGACTGTTCAAAAAGAAATTAAACAACACTCCATAATATCTAGAGGTTGTTAATAATAAGAAGTTCAAAATTGCGATGTCTACTAGACACTGGTTCAATAGCCTGAACCTTCTTGAATTTTCCATATATGGCCGTATAAAATATAGAGCATCTGCCCGGGGCACTATTTAATAGCGCACTGCATGGCGTGTGCCTGGTTTCATAAGTAGGACGTTAAACCCCATTTCATTTCATTTTCGTTACCTTGACAACAGGTGCTTGACATAGAGGTCCGACTTTGGTCCCTTGTACGTAACAGTGGTTCCCGGATGTTATGAAGAAATGTTGACACCTATGTGAGGTAGGTTTATATAATATATTGTAATGGCTAATCTACTATATATATAGGCCGATATATTACAACCGCAGGGATTTAAACTAGAGTGGCCATCTGCGTTGTATTGTTCGTTTATTGTCTATGCAAAACTATTTCTCATAATTTGATATGATCTATCTGTAGCCTATAGCATGGACCTTATAATACAAGGTCCATGCCTATAGTCATAAACTATAGCCAGAAGCTTCCACTGTGACTGTTGTTGAGAAGTAAGCCAGAAAAATACCCGACGGAATAGGAATATTTTAAACGACAAGGTTATGCACTTAAAAGACCCCAAAACGCCCTATTTCAAAATCACAAATCTTATTGGTGACACAATCAATGACTGACCTAAATGGCTTCAATAAAAAATAATTTACATCCTGGTTGAGATTGTATACAAAACAAGCTTTTAAATTTAAACAATAGGTTATATTATGGAGTTGTCTCCCATGATGTATGGAATAGAATAGTATTTTATTGCATCGAACCACCCTTTTAGGCCAATGAAATGAAATGAAATGGGGTTTAACGTCCTACTGTTCTGCTCCTATGCTGGGCTAATGAAGACAAGCATACGCCATACAGTGTGCTATGAGGGAACTTTTGCCCGGGCAGCGGCACTATCGCCTACTCTTATATCGAATTCCAACTGCCAAGGGATCTTTTACGTACATTCCAATGTATACACGGGACCTCGGTGTTTCATTTCATCCGAAGGACTAGACAGCTGTCCTTGTCAGGCCCTCCGTCCTGCATCACTGACAAGGGAGAACCACGCAGGGCAACATACCACTATATGCTATGGCCAAAAATAATAGTACAAATATTATATACGGGTTAAAAACTCAGTCAGACAAAGCATACACACAAGACAGATTAACAAAATAAAAAAAAAAAAAGACAAAATAAAAAAAAATACAAAAAAAATACAACAAAATAAAAAAAAAATTACAACAAAATAAAACAAATCAAATAAAAGAAAAGAAATGCAACAAAATAAAACAAAATAAAATATGCGCACATAAAATGAAATAAAATGGGAAAACAACCTGTCCTGCTCCTACATGGCTAATGAAGACGGGCATTCGCCATGCAGTGTGATATGAGAGAAATTTTACTCGGCCAGCGGCGCTACACCCTACTATTAAATCAATTTCCAACTGCCAAGAGATCCATTACGTGCACGCCAATGTGTACACAGGACTTTATAAGTTTTCTGTTCCATCCAACGAACTAGACAGCTGTATTTGTCAGGCCAGAAAATCCCAATGAACTTCTCGGTCAACACTGGGATCGAACCCACAACGTCCCGGCTAGCGAGTCAGCATCTTACTCACTTAGCCACTGTGGCTCCCTACATAAAATAGATATGTATAATAAAATAGATATGTGTAAATAGCCTAAAACTAATGATCTAGAGAGTTGATTATGGGCTTGTCATGTGAATAAATGTCTAAATAATAATTTATATATATAGAGAGAGAAATGGGGTTTAACGTCCACTCGACCCAAACTAGGTCATTTCGGGACTAACGTATGGTTTAATTTTATTTCAATAATTCACTTGCGCATAGGGGTCTTTAGCAGTGGGAGGAAACCCACAAGGTTGGACAGGCGACCCTACTCCTTGTCACCAATTCGAAACCACGCCAGTCGACTCAATGGCAGACTTTATTATACAGCGCGCGCACGCTAACCATTCAGCCATCCAACCAACCCAATAATTTATATAAAATTTGAAGCCAAAATAAAAACCTGTAATACCTGCTCTACATAATATGCATCTATAATCTAAGCAAATGTTTTGAAATGAATTCTTTCTAGATTTTCATGCATTTTTGTCACAGAAAAATTATTTTATAATTTGTTGAAAGGGTTTTAATCTACACACTAGGGTGACCTGCCCTTCTGCTATGAAAGGGATCAGTGACCCGAATTTGATGTTAGGTGTATAAACACAGGTATTTCCTTGTGCAATAATTTGAGTATTAAGCTATGCATTCAAAATTGGGCTGGCGTACATAATAAAAGGACCTCAATAAAGCAGGTCAAAAGTTCTATTAATAGAAGCTTAGTATCAAACAGCTTTTTCTTAGAAAAGTATATTGCCTCTTTACTTTTCCGGCAAATTGGGTAAAGCCGTACCCTGGATTAGATTGTTTACAAGTCTGTAGCTATGTTAACTAGGCTATTTGCAAGGACCAGTTGATGAAATATTTTAACAGAAGGTAGGTAACTGCTTTCAAATTATCTTGATTTATTTATATAATATAGTTTTATACCTTTGCTTTATCTCAAAGGTAAAAAAAACTCCAAACTATTATAGATAAAGATGTTTCAAATTAAAACGAATGAGCGTCAGTTATGATCTTAAGAAATGTCTTAAAATTGTTTCGTTTTCTGGAGTCAAATGCTAAAAATCAATATATAAAAAGGATACCTCACAAGTTTTAATTAGTAAGCCTGGAGAATAAGAAACCTGTCACAGGCAACATTAGGCACAATTCAGGTGTTGTCAGGTAAAATTCTCCTCTAGTGACTGTGATTTTGTGTGGCACAGATTTGTCTTTATTACATGCAGGGAGTCTTGGTGAGAGAGCGAGAGCGGGCGGGGTAACGTCCACTCGACAATGACTAGGTCATTTTGGGACTTACATATATTTTTAATTTTATTTCAATAATTCGCTTGCGCGTAGGGGTCTTTTTCAGTGGGAGGAAACCGAAGGACCGGGAGAAAACCCATGAGGTTGGGACTAACGTACAACCGGGGAATCAAGACCACGTCAGTTGACTCAATGACAGACGTTATGATACAACGTGCACATACTAACCATTCGGCCATCCAACCCCTCAACGGTGCTGAGAATGGAACTGTTAATATACTCTCCAAAAAAAGAAAAGGAACTTGGGGAAACATTCAGCAGACTTGCTACTTCTGTCTGGGATTCACCTGCTTGTAATCGACCAATAGCGTCGTTGCAGTGGTCTTTGTTCAGATGTGGCATCACTTGGTTCGTTGAGTGTTTACATGTGCAACTGATTTGGAAACCGAGAACCCAGGGATTTTAAAGGTCTTAAAATGCGAAAAGCTCGCGAAGTTGTTAAATTCATGTTTCTTAATGTGCAATCAAGCGAAAACAAATTTAGGCAAAAATGATGACCCGTCACAATTAGTGACTCTACATTAAAAACCAATAATGAATTTCTTTTATCCTTACATAATGACATTAAAAACAAGTAAGATTTATGGAAACAACGACCTCATTCAAAAAAAAAAATGATGATGTTGTACTGAGAACCGTGCCAATTTGGACCACGGAAGTGAGGTGGTCTCGACTGACTCGTTTGACTAGACATTTTTACTTGGCACTTTCAGTGGACGTATCGTGTTGAATTTCCACAATTTTTCAAGTGTTTCATATTTTTTTCATGGAAGGTTCCTATAAGTGGTTAGCGTTTGAAAAAGAGTGGCTTTAGCTATTTTCCTGTATGAGTCAATACTTAAAGCTATTTTTACAAGAAACCAACAAAGATATGAATTTTGATACCCATTAATACATAAAACATGTGATAAGTAAGAGCTTCTAATATAGAGTAGTCAAATCTCTGAAGGGATCCCTGGACAACCACTGGTCCATGTGACATGGAATTAACCAATAAATCTCTTTTGAATTGATGAAGGCATATTTAAGGTTGCAACGATATCAAATTCTGATATCGCCATTAATCATGATAACTGCTTTTGGAATTATCGCGATAAATAAAAGTCTACGATTATCAATTTTATCACGATAATTCTCTTTATCATGATATTTCTCTTTATCACGATAGTTATTTATAATCGTGATAATTGTAATTATCATGCACCATAATAAAGGATTGGTTAGAGGATAGGATTTCTAGTGAAAAATAGGGGGTAATAGCCATCTGTAATTTCTCCTCAGTTTGCAGGTGGGTTCTGTTGTCACTTAATAAGACACTATTTATGTTAATCAATCAGTCCACTACCCACCCATCTAAAGCCTTTATAACATAGTCGACAGCATGCCACATTTTTCTCACCACCAACATCGTTTGGCTTTATCCCAAAATAATTCCACACAACAGACGATGTGTTTGCCTTTGCCGACAAATCAACGACATCAACTTGATCAAGATCATTATAAGCAGTCACTTGTTGTAGGCCTATTTGTATAATAGCATCGGTAGGTGTTTTTTGGACGTTCGACATTTTAATCATTAATTACAGTTTAAATTCTATTCTGTAGCAGCCGACGCACTGTGACCGAGTAAAAGACGAGAAATGGAAAAACCACCGACTCGATTGACCAGTCTTGAATATGGTATAACCGCTGTGTTAGTGTATGTTTTTCAACAATAAAAAATATACAAATTTATTAGTTTGTAAATATCTCATTAATTAAAGTTTAGTCGTATGGTTTTAAATATATGTTCTAATTACTTCTAAAATATTAAAAACCACCCAAAGTATGTTTTAAAAAATCATATCGATGAACCTGAGTGCGGATTCATAACCTGAAAAAAGCGGCTGGATGACTAAGTCGAGTTACTTGGTTGCTTTGTTTTGGCGGGTTAAACAACCAGACGTACAGTACTAACTTAACATTGAAATAAACATAATATTTTCAGTCTTGTTTATCCGGGGATTCGCCGCACCGTTGCTACGGTACACCGATGTCGCGTGCGGCTTTGTTTACAAAATGTGTTTCGGGAACTTTCTCTCACCGATTTTCATTGTATAATTTTACAAGTAGTAATTAAACTATTATTTCGAATTCGATCCGGCCCCCGCACCGGTGAAAATGAACTTTGGATTTATTGCACCGACCTCCGCCCAAAAAAATCCTAAAATACCGGGGATTGCGATTATTCAACTTTGGCCGATACGATATCACTTGAAAAAAAATAATCGCGATAATGCGGCATCCCCGGGGTATCGCTGCAACCTTAGGCATATAGTTATGTTACAAACCATGAGTCACACCAACAAACAAATTGTTTCCACCCCACAAGCTTGCTGGAAGTAAACAATATTAATTACCATTCAAATACCAGTAATTTAAACACCCACATGAAACCTGTGTACTCCACTCTGCTCCTCTCTACACTGTTCCACACTTCACTGCTCCGTATCACTACATACTCCACTACCCACACCACTCCACCCCACTGTGCATTTCCACTCCACTATACACCACTACAAACCTCTACTCAGTTACACACCACTCCACTCCACACCACTCACACCTCTAGTCAATTATGCACCACTCCACTACACACCACTCCATTTCACTACACACCTCTAGTCAACTACGCACCACTCCACTCCTCCACTCCACTCCACACCTCTAATCAACTACGCACCACTCCACTCCTCCACTCCACTCCACACCTCTAGTCAACTACGCACCACTCCACTCCTCCACTCCACTCCACACCTCTAATCAACTACGCACCACTCCACTCCTCCACTCCACTCCACACCTCTAATCAACTACGCACCACTCCACTCCTCCACTCCACTCCACACCTCTAATCAACTACACACCACTCCACTTCTCCACTCCACGGGGATCACGTGGCTAAGTGGGTAAGACGCTAGCTCGCTAGCCTGGAGGTCGGGTGTTCGATCCCTGCACTGGCCGAGAAAGTTCATCCAGGTTTTCCGGCGTGGTTTCCCCTTGTCAGTGATACAGGACGGAGGGCCTGACAAGGAAAGCTGTCTAGTCGTTCGGATGGGACGAAAAACCGAGGTCCCGTGTACACATTGGCGTGCACGTAAAAGATCCCTTGGCAGTTGGAATTCGATATAAGAGTAGGCCGTAGTGCCGCTGTCCGGGCAAAATTTCCCTCATAGCACACTGTATGGCGTATGCCCGTCTTCATTAGCCCAGGTTAGGAGCAGAACAGTAGGACGTTAAACTCCATTTCATTTCATTTCATTTCCTCCACTCCACTCCACACCTCTAATCAACTACGCACCACTCCACTCCACACCTCTAGTTAACTACGTACCACTCCACTACACACCACTACACACCTCTAGTCAACTATGCACCACTCCACTATACACCACTCCACTCCACTACATACCTTAAGTCAACTTCACACCACTCCACTCCACACCACACCACTACACACCTCTATTTAACTACGCACCCTCCACTTCACTGAACTCCACACCAATCCACTCCACTACACACCTCTAGTCAACTATGCGCCACTGTGCTCCACTAAGCACTTCACTATTCACCACACCACTGCACCCCTCCTGTCAACTATGCACCACTCCGCTACTTACCACTCTACTCCACTCATCTATGCACTACTACTATGCACCACACCACGACACATACACACCTCCTGTCAACTATGCACCTCTACGTGATACTCCCTACGCAACACCCCACTCCGCCCCACACCACACCTCACCATTTATGGTTGGCTAGATTATTGTAAATTGTAACTTTGATTAAATTGTTTATTTTCAGTTTCAAACTATTCAATCGTTAAAATGGATTAAACTCAACAACCATAAGTAAATTTTGACTGGATAAAAATGGCCAACAGAAGAAGAGTAATGGAGAAAGCCTTGCAACTGATGATTCAGAAATATGGACCAGATGAAGCTAGTTTAGCAAGACAAACTAATCTATTGTACATTCCACACAATGTTTTATCTTATTTGGCAGACATCAGCGATCCCGAAGATCTAACGGGCGGAAGAGATTTCCATGTAGTAGGGGAAGGCTTTGGATTAACAGCAATTCAGATCAATGTAAGTACAGTTGCAGAAATGAAATGAAATGGGGGCTTGACATCCTACTTTTCCATTCCATTCAGATTCCAGGCTAATGGCAAAGCAGAACAGTAGGACGTTAAACCCCATTTCATTTCATTTCATTTACAAGATAATGAAGATGCCTACATCATTCAGTGTAGGCCATGGGGAAAGGGTAATTTCGAACATAGCACACTGTAATGAAATGGGTTATATGTCCTCATTGTCTGCTCCATCAAGTGGGGATCGGATGGCCGAATGGTTAGCGTGTGTGCGTTACATCATAAGGTCTGTCATTGAGTGAACTGGTGTGGTTTTGATTCCCTGGTTGTACGTGACAAGGAGTATGGTCACCAGGAGTACGGTCGCTTGTCCAATCTGATTGGTTTTCTCTGGGTCCTCCCACTGCTAAGGACCCCAACGCGCACGTAAATTATTGAAATAAAATTAAATCATATGTTAGTCCCAAAATGACCAGGTTCTTGTCGAGTGGACGTTAATCTCTCTCTCTCTCCCTCTCTCACTCTCTCTCTCTCTCTCTTAAATTCTAGATGTCAAGGGTCATTTTATTTTAAGTGTATGCCAATGTGTACTCAAGATGTCAGTTTCTCATACCATACGAAACGAGAGAAAGAGAGAGAGAGAAATGGGGTTTAACGTCCACTCGACACAAACTAGGTCATTTTGGGACTAACATGGTTTAATTTTATTTCAATAATTCGCTTGCGCATAGGGGTCTTTAGCAGTGGGAGGAAACCGGAGGCCCCGGAGAAAACCCACGAAGTTGGACAGGCGACCCTACTCCTTGTCACGTACAACCAGGGATTCGAAAACACGCCAGTTGACTCAATGACAGGCCTTATGATACATCGCGCACGTGCTAACCATTCAGCCATCCAACCTCACTATACGAAACGAATAAAGATCATGTTCATATAGTTTTAGGGGGATTGGGTGGCCGAATGGCTAACCTATAAACGTGTTTACATTAGATTATAAGGTCTGTCAATGAGTCAAATTGTGTGGTTTGGATTCTTTGCTCGTACGTGTCAAAATAAAATTGAACTATGTTAGTCCCAAAATGTCCTAGTTTGTGTTGAATGGACATTAAACACATTAATTCACATGACCTTATAATAATAATATACTGCTATGGTCTCCGATTTAAAAACAGACAACGTTACCTAGCCTATGTTACTCCCCAGTCCAAACTACACCTATACACCAAATTTCAGCCTCAGGACAGCTGTAGCTGCCGACCCTGCTAAACAGACAAACTAACGATCGACAGTCACAAATATAAGTATCTATGGCAGTGGTTCTCAAACTTTTTTTTGCTAAAGGCACCTCTTGGAACACATGAAAAAATAGCGACACATCCGGCTAAATATATATGAAAAATATTTGAATTTTGCAAAATAACATGGCAAGTCTGACGGCATATAACCGTAGACATGGACTAGCCATAGACACATATATGGAATCAAACTTAAATAAAGAAAAACACAGGTGTGAACTTACCAGTAGACACCAGTGAATACTTTTAAATTGGCATCACATGGTTTTCGCAATCTAATTAAAACACAGATCTATATTTCGTTTCGTTTTTTTATTCTTTCAATGGCCTACACTACATGAAGATCTAACAAGTTATAGCGATAGGTCACGTCAGGAGTCAAAAGTACGACTTATGACCCTATGACGTCAGACATTTGACTAACCAATCAGCATTGATGTTACTAGTGGATTACCCACAGTTCCGTGAAAAACACGCCTAAAGCTCGCCGTAACAGACCGTTTCATTGGCTTATCCCTGACACCTTTCAGAACACGAGTTAAATAACAACTCTTCCAGATCCTAGTGTAGTAAAGACAAGTAAAACAAAATTCTGAACTATAAAAACGAAACGTAATAGGATCTAGGTTTAAATCAGATTGTGTTTTTCGCATTTTGTTAGTGTGCCGTTGAAAATTTCAAAGCACACTTAGGAAGATCTCTCGGCACACTGGTTGAGAATCACGTACTGATCTATGGTAACACAAAATCCATCAGTAAGTAGGCCTAAGCCAAAGCATTACTGAACAACCTGTAGGCCTAGAATGTTGAATTTTTCATATGACCTCACAATTCCAAGATGGCCATAATGATGTCATTCTTGGTTCCTGGTTTATTTTGATTGACTGTATTATCTATTTTTTCATTGGCAAAAGAATGAATATCTTAATATCGTTTTAATTACAGGCTATACGTGATAGAAAACGTGAATCAAGTACTACTATGGCAATATTTGAAACTGGCAGTAAAAATGGTAAAACATTTATGGATATTTTGAGTATATGGGTAGAACATACAATAGATGGAATAAACAGAATTGTCGAATCCTGGCCAGGTTAGTTACTTTATTTTATTGAATTACACTGAACACCACATTCTCTCTCAATGTTCTGAATCCACGGGTAAAACATGTGTGAACAGCTCATTCTCTGTCATTGTCCTAAATCCACAGGTAAAACATGTAGTGAACACCACATTCTCTGTTATTGTCCTGAATCCACAGGTAAAACATGTAGTGAACACCACATTCTCTGTCATTGTCCTGAATCCACAGGTAAAACATGTAGTGAACACCACATTCTCTGTTATTGTCCTGAATCCACATGTAAAACATGTAGTGAACACCACATTCTGAATCTATGTGTAACATGTACAATGGTATTTTACTGTAGTGTCTAGTGAGCAAGTCTGGACAAGTCACAGCCATTTTCAGACACAAATTATGACACAACGTATATATAAATTTGTGTCTAACAATGGCTGTTACAGGTGCTTTTATTATGGCTAGCCTGGAGGTCGGATGTTCGATCCCTGCACTGGCTGAGAAAATTCATCCAGATTCTCTGCCGTGGTTGCCCCTTGTCAGTGATGCAGGACGGAGGGCTTGACAAGGACAGCTGTCTAGACGAAAAACTGACGTCCCGTGTACACATTGGAATACACGTAAAAGATCCCTTGACAGATGGAATTTGATATAAGAGTAGGCCGTAGTGTCACTGCCCGGGCAAAATTTCCCTCATAGCACACTGTATAACGTATGCCCGTATTCATTAGCCCAATTCGAAGCAGAACAGAAGGACGTTAAACCCCGTTTCATTTCATTTTATTTTTGCTTTATATATGTTGTTTTATAATTTGTAAGGGAAGAAGTCTGTGGCAGGTGCCAGACTTGGTAGTGACGTTAAATTATTGAATTTCTGACATTCAAATGGCATGAATATAGTCACCATGCATGGGCAACTTTCTCAACGTTATCACAAGGTTATTTTAATGCACTAAAGTCGTGTCCTCTGTCAATTTTTATATGCTAAACATTGGCTAAATAGAGAAGAACCCTATCAAAATTTTGAATTTTTCGATCATGTTTTGCAAAATTGTCTCCCTGTTTGAAAAAGAGAGAGAGAGAGAGAGAAATGGAGTTTAACGTCCACTCAACACAGGTCATTTCGGGACTAACATATGGTTCAATTTTATTTCAATAATTTGCTTGCGTTTAGGGGTCTTTTAGCAGTAGGAGAAAACCGGAGGACCCGGAGAAAACCCACAAGGTTGGACATAATGACCCTACTGCTTGTCACATACAACTAGAGAATCGAAACTACGCCAGTTGACTCAATGACAGACCTTGTGATACAACGTGCATGCGCTACCCCCGCCCCCCTTTCCCCTGTTTGAAAACCAGGTTGAGTTGTTTTGTTGTACAAACTCTGTCACAACTTTATTTCAAAAATTGAATGGAGAGTGGGAGAGAGGATGGATGGGGTGGGGGAGTTGAATGATGGAGGAATGGAGGGAGTGATTGATAGAGGGATGAATGGGGGATGAGGAGATCGATGGATAGAGGGAGGAAGGGAGGGATGACTACAAACTACATTTATTCAGACAAAAGGCTTTGTTTAGGTTGACATGTCTAATAAAGTGTCTTAAATGAAATGTTTTTATAAGATAAAGAATTCTATTTGTAGAGACACTACAAACAAAGACACGATCTGAATCTCAAAATTGTAGCGCAAGAGCCAGCTTCCTGACACCAGTACAAACATCATGGAACTGTGCTTCAACACGGCAATCAAGTCAAAGATCCAGAAGAAATAATCTACCTGCTGAGCATCATGTAAGAATATAATATTTGATTAATAAATATTTCAATGGATTGAAGCAGGTGCTGTGGTGACGTGTTCTTGGTTCATAATGACAAAATAATCTCTGTGTTGATAGACCATAACTTTGTGGATTATGTCCCCTGATTTTACGAAAAATGGCTTTTTTTATTAGCTTGTTTTCTGTCCGACTCTTGCAAAATGTGAGTGTATCTTGCATGGCAACCTCTTACCATCTGATTTAAAAAAACGTTCAAATATATCACTGTTTCACCATAATGATATCTTGAGTTTGAATTTCTTGAAAATCGGCCCAAAACTGACAGACAAATAGCGTAAAAATATGGTATATCAAGGTTGGGGACCCTCTAGAGGTCACAATTTTGATCCGGTTTTAATGAAACTTAAATTTATGTTTATTTCACAAGGATCTCAGATCCTTTTGATATTTGCTCATATTGGTCTGTAACTTCCTGGATTATGGACCCTGATTGTACGAAAATAATACGATTTCAGCTTGTGGACCCTCTAGAGGTCACAATTTTTATTCAATTTTAAAAACCGTTTAGATATATCACTGTTACACCTTAATGATGGATGAGTTTGAATTTCGTGAAAATCTGACCATTACTGCCTGACAAAATGGCCACTCCTTTCAGGCAAATAGTGTAAAAGTATGTAATACCAAGGTTGTGGACCCTCTAGAAGTCACAATTTTTATCCAAATTTTATAGCTCATTCTCTTCCATCTCTTGCGAAATGTGGGTGTATCTTGCATGGCAACAGCTTGTTAATTTAATTTTTGATCTTTTTATCTTCAGAGTTATCTCCACCGACAACCAGGTAACTTGATTGATGAAGACAATGAATCCGTCGTCAGTCAATCAACTAATGTATCCAATGAAAATAACCTAACCGTATGTATAGCACCACAGCGTCCATTTACTCAGTACAGGCCAAACATTGAAAGTCGTGATTGTTCTAACCGAGTTCCTCCACCACCAAGGCAAAGAATTTGCGAACCTGGCAGTAATGCAACAGAAGGCGGAAATATTCCAACTTTTATTCAACAAAATATATCGTTGGGTGATGATGATCCAAGATCTTTGCAAAGTGAAATTACAGATAGCCCAGAAAACACTTTTGAGGACCATCATTTATTTAGTGCTGGTCCGAGTTGCAGATTCATGGAAGATCCGGTGTCTAGATATGAATCCGTTACACCTGATTCTAGACCAACATTTGATCAACAAGTCCATAATTCAACATCTTCATCACCACGTCGCCTTGAACATCACATAGTTGCTCAACATGTCCATAATTCAACATCTTCATCACCACATCGCCTTGAATGTCAGATAGTTGATCAACCACTTCAAGATGGTGCTCATTGTATGCAGAATGTTGGAAATGAATCAGAAATGCCCTTAAATAACAGAAGCTTAAATCAGGAAAAGACCTTAGATATTATATCTAGAAATCAATATACCGGTGAATGGTGTCAAAATAACCCGTTGACACTTGAAGAACAACAGCAACAAAATGGCATGCATCCTTATGAACCATCAACAGTTGCTCCAACAGAACCAGAAGGTAATGACAAAAAATCAATTGAAATGAAACAGAATAGGGTATAACATTCTATTTTTATAGTCCGACTGGTCTAATGAAGACCGGCATATGTCATGCAGCGTGCTATGAGGGACATTTTGCCAAGACAGCGGCATTACAGCTACTCTTATATCGATATCCAACTGCTAAGGGTTCTTTAAAGTGTACACAGGACCTCAGTTTTTGGTCCCATCTAGCAACTATATATTGTCCCTTGCCAGGCCCCCTGTCATGCATCACAGACACGGGAGCACCCCACCGGAAAATCAAACACAGGATCTCCTGGCTAGCAAGCCAGCATCTGACCTACCGAGTCACTGTGGCTCCCAGAAACGGGAGGCATGCATGTAGTATATTGTTTGAAGTACTAACAGGTAGTCTTTGAAAAATCTAAATTCAAGAAACATTGGGCCATACAAAAAAAAAAACAGTGGAGATGCCGATATCACTTTGTCTGTCCGAAGTCTTAGTGTAAATTACGATTCTGTTCTCATCATATATTTTTATTTTGTACATGATATGAAATGAAATGGGGTTTAACGTCCTACTGTTCTGCTCCTAAACTGGGCTAATGAAGACGGGCATACGCCATACAGTGTGCTATGAGGGAAATTTTGCCCGGACAGCGGCCCTACGGCCTACTCTTATATCGAATTCCAACTGCCGAGGGATCTTTTACGTGCATGCTAATGTGTACACGGGACCTCAGATTTTCGTCCCATCCGAACGACTAGACAGCTGTCCTTGTCAGGCCCTAAGTCCTGCATCACTGACAAGGGGAAACCAGGCTGGATTATCTTGTACAAGACCAGAGCTGCTTTACAAGCTGGATATTGGCACTATACAAGTTCAGTAGATTATTAGTCTGATTAAAATATCGATCTATATTTTGTTTCATTTTTTATACTTTCGATGGCCTACACTACATGAAGATCTGACCAGTTGTTTGGGGAGTCGCATCAGAGGTCATACGAGCGACTTTTGACCCTGTGACATCAGTCATTTGAGATTAACTAATCAGCATTGATGTTTCTAGTGGATTACCCACAGTTCTGTGCACCTCACGCTAAAAGTTTGCCGTAACCTACCGTTTCATTGGCTAATCCCTCACATCATCCAGAACACGTCAATGATAACAACTCTTCTAGATCCTATAAAAAAGGAAACGAAATAGGATCTGTGCTTTAAAGCTACAATTTGAATTTCATATTTTTAAGTTATATTTTTAAAATTTATTAAAATAAAGCCTTAAAATAGATCGTATCCATAAACCGTCCTACCTTGTTAAAGAATAATCCTATTAATCCTATAATTCACTATTGCCAGCTGAGAAATTGGCAAAAATATCATTTTCAACTTCAAATTCCAACATTTGAAGGTAGCTAATGCATGGAGGCAATAGAAAAACAAGGGAGGTAATTGTGTTATTTTTTCCTGTGTCAATGATTTTTAAGGGTGGGAAATAATGCCCATGGTCGTATAATAGTGAGTTGATAACCTATTGAGCAAAAGACAGAAATAATTATGTTTTGACTTTCTTAGAAAATATGAAATTATCGCTTTAATCAGATTGAACTATGCTCGGAGTCTTTAATTTTATTTTACAGACCAAGTAAATGAAGTTCAAGTTTTTATATGTGGTGATGATAATGAGAAGAATAGGACCATTGTTGATAAACTGGCGGCAAACTTTTTTCATAAAAGAGTTTCCTTTGTTACTGATGAAGCAATGGGAGTGAAAGGTTTCCCTCCTTTTAGCCCGGAAGAGAGGCAAAAAATAACTGGAGATTCAGAAAAGTTTATTAAAGAAGTTTTCAAAAGTGTAAGTGAAATAATATACTAAATATTGGAAAGTGTTTTCACATTATGACAATATACTGAACGGGGGGGGGGGGGGGGGGGGGGTTAATGGCTGAATAGTTTCATCAAAAGGTCTGAAATTGAGACAAGTGGCGTGGTTTCAATTCCCTTATTGTTCGTGACAAGGAGAATATTTCTCTGTCAAACCTTGGGTGCTCCACGTTCCTCCCATTGCTAAAGACCCCTACGTGCAAGCAAATTATTGAAGTAAAAATGGACCATATGTTAGTCCTGAGATGTTATCTAAATTATTAATACGACATTAATTAACTTATCCAGACCATAATCAACTCTCAATGTCATCGCTAGGCTGCGATATTTACTGGATTAAGATCCCATTTGCTGCTCAACTTTCATTCATGATTTAATCATGAAATGGATAATCGAGATCATGTCTTTTATCGTACCAATTGTATTAATGATGATCGAGGCTAGGCCTAAAATTCAATCGCTAAATTCTTGTATGAATATGACTGAAATTTTCAGCAAATTCCCTTTACATTATCTAGTTTTTAACTATTATAGTGAGAACTGCCAGCTCTTTATCTAATCTCCCATAATGTATCTTTAACATGATACCATAATCAACTCTCGATGCCATCTGATTATGGGTGCAATTTTCAGCAGATTTTAATCCGTTCTGCGGTTCATCGGCCATTGATGATTAACCATAACAACAGTAACAATGACAATCGAGACTACTGTGTTTTTAAAATGAGGATTTCTTAGCTCAGAGTGACATAATTTTACTGAAATTTTCAGCATATTTCCTTTACATTATCTATTTTCTAACTATTAGCGAGAACTGTCAGCTCTTTATCTAATCTTCCATAATGCTAAAGACTACTACGAGCAAGTAAATTGTACCATATTAGTCCCGAAATGACCTAGTTTGTGTTGAATGGACGTTAAACCCCATTTGTCTCTCTCTATCTAAACACCACTACAGAGCAAGTAAATTGTACGATGACCTAGTTTGTTACGAGTGGACTTTAAACCTTTCTTTCTCATTTGTACACATTGAAGTGCACATGAAAGATCCCTTGGCAGTTGGAATTCGATATAAAAGTAGGCTGTAGCGTCGCCTTCATCCTCAGTATCCCCAGTATTCTTATTCCGTTCTACTCCACTATACCCTGGGTTAATCCATAGGGTTTCCACGATTTCAAATTATCTGCCCTGGTCTTGATTGTAGCTAAAGTCTACGAACCAATCAAAAAACAGTTTACAAACCAGTCATTTCGCCTTCATTTTTATAAGGGTAGATAACCATATTCATGTCCATTTACAGAATAATTTATGTAAATAATGTGTATGTTTCTAATTCATTTATATTTTATTGTATCATCAAAATCTGTCGTATGTAGTATGTATAACATCCATATGTTTGACTTCCGTTATTATCATTACTATTCGTTCTTTGTCTGAAATGTTTCATTCTGTTATGGTTATTATTATTGAACATAACTTATCTACGATATCACATCATGTGAACGTAAAATTCTGGGAACGAACAAACAATTCTCAATAAAACTCTTGAACCTACATATATATAAATGTCCAGTCTTCGTTAATATGATATTATATAATTTGTTGTTAATAAATACGCATTTAGAATAATTTGGACTTCTCTCGTTTAGGCTAACTCCAAACCTTGTCCGATGAGAGTTACTTCCCTTTGCCCACTTTCTTTGCAATTAACAATTTATGGGATTGGTCAATAAAAATAGCCCAATCACCAAGGGCAGATAACTTGAAAACATGCCCCCCCCCCCCCATAGATTAACCCAGGGGTTAGTGGAGTAGAACGGAATGAAACCACTGGGGATACCAAGGATGCGCTGCTGTCTAGGCAAAAGTTCCCTCTTAGCACACTGTATAGCGTATGCCCGTCTTAATTGGCCCAGTCGGAGCAGAACAGTAGGATGTTAAACCCCATTTCATTTTATTTCATTTTGTTACTTACAATATCTGTTTTTGTTGTGTTTTGCACATGTTTGGTTTTTTTTACCACATCTTCTCAATTATAATGTCAAATTAAATTCACAATTTAAGATGTTCCTCTTCACTTTTCAGGCAAAATTTGTCCTTTTATTGAAGTCCAAGAGATTTATGGAATATATTTCGGTTCGCTCTAGATCTGAGAATGCTTCTAATCGTAAACATCAAGAACGGCTTTGTGACATATTCTTAATGATTGATGAAGAAGTGAAAGGAAGAAACGGAAGAGAAGGCAGATTGCTCCTGCTAGAAACAGATAAGGAATTACCTCCCAGATTCTTTTCAAAACTTTATGACTGTTTCTTTAAAAGGAACGAGGCCTAAAAAGTAATGACATATCGAAGTAAGCTGAATGGTATACCACAATCACTTTAGATCATAAGGTCTGTCATTGAATCAAGTAGTGTGGTTTGAATCTCACACTGAAACAAGAACTCAAATTATACCATATGTTAGTCCCAAAATGAGTTAGTTTGTGATGTACAGTAGAATCTGTATGAGCAGCCACTCCTATTCAGCAACATCTCCTTGTAAGCGGTCACGATAAATCCCCCCCCCTCCCCCCCGTAAAAATTCTGTTGTTTCATCTCTTTATTCAACGGTCACTCCTCAAACGAAGCCAGCGGTCACTATTTTACTAATAAATTCAACAAAACATCACCCATTCAATGGCCATTGTTGAATGAGTAGTAGTTAATTAACTGGACCCCCACTGATCAGGTAAAAAGAACTGTAAAAATAACAATCAACCCGGGATTATCTGTTAATTAATCCTTTGTTTTATTAAACGACTAACCTGATCATTGTTTTCAAACATAACGACACATTATTTGATACAGATTGAATAAAATAAAAGTACCGAGTTTTGTCACAATCATCTAGTATCTCTTTTTCATTGCCACTGTGTTGTTAAACAGACGTTTTAGCGCCTTCTATAATATTACATACAGAGTTACACCCCCTGTAAATAAGTGGTAAAATCAGCGATGCTTTTTTGTTCGTGTGCTTTTTTGATAAAATACAATTAATTCATCGATTTTCTTCACAAAAATGGATAAATATTATCGAATGCATCACAATGGTAGACAGTAGTATCGAAGTTTGGTACAAAATGACAAGTTTACAGAAGTTATGCCCGATATTTGAGTAAAGAGTTTTCTTTCGGCCCAAGATTCAGCGACGGTCAAATTTACCGATGCAAGTATTGATGTTCGCTTCCAATGCACCCATGCGTAAAAGCACCAAGATTTTATTAAGAGGCCACTCCCCTCAAGCGGTCAGTTGTGAAAATTCCCTTGGGGGGCTGCTTAATGCAGATTCTACTGTATCAAACCTCCCTCTCTCTCTCTCTCTCTCTCTCTCTCTCTCTCCTTTACCTACTAGGAGCGCCCATTATTCATGAAGTTTTATTTCAGGTATTTTTATCCAGCCTAGCGGCCCATTGGACATTAGATTGAATTGCCTGTATGGCCAGTCCACCCTATCCCTATATGCAACTTATCTGAGTGATTTGCATATTTTAAGGCTATCTAAAGAACTCTGATCAGAATGGAACATTAATCTAATCGAATAATGGCAACATACTTTCAAGTTTTGTATTTTTGTATTTTTCCACTGCTATTTTTTTTATTTTTGTTATATGAATTGATGTGCAATTTATATGAATTGAGGTGCCCATTACTTGTTATATAAGTTGAGGTGCCTTTTACTTGTTATATAAGTTGAGGTGCCTTTTACTTGTTGTATGAATTGAGGTGCCTTTTACTTGTTATATAAGTTGAGGTGCCTTTTACTTGTTATATAAGTTGAGGTACCTTTTACTTGTTATATCAGTTGAGGTACCTTTTACTTGTTATATCAGTTGAGGTACCTTTTACTTGTTATATGAGTTGAGGTACCTTTTACTTGTTATATGAATTGAGGTGCCTTTTACTTGTTATATCAGTTGAGGTGCCTTTTACTTGTTATATAAGTTGAGGTGCCTTTTACTTGTTATATCAGTTGAGGTACCTTTTACTTGTTATATGAATTGAGGTACCTTTTACTTGTTATATGAATTGAGGTGCCTTTTACTTGTTATATAAGTTGATGTGCCTTTTACTTGTTATATAAGTTGAGGTGCCTTTTACTTGTTATATAAGTTGAGGTACCTTTTACTTGTTATATGAGTTGAGGTGCCTTTTACTTGTTATATGAATTGAGGTGCCTTTTACTTGTTATATCAGTTGAGGTGCCTTTTACTTGTTATATCAGTTGAGGTGCCTTTTACTTGTTATATGAATTGAGGTGCCTTTTACTTGTTATATGAGTTGAGGTGCCTTTTACTGTTTTTGTATATGCTAAGATTACTATTGCAAGCCTGGAAGGGGGATTGGAGGGGGTCTTGTCGCTGAACGTGACATAGTGTAGGCACCTATCCGGCATATATTTATATTTTATCAGGCTTTGTCAGGCACAATCTCTCTCATTTCTGTTGTTGTGTGTGATACAGAGGCACAATCTCTCTCATTTCTGTTGTTGTGTGTGATACAGAGGCACAATCTCTCTCATTTCTGTTGTTGTGTGTGATACAGATTTATATATTCTCCCTGTTTTTAAGGATGTTTATAATACAAGTTTGACACAAATATTAAGGCCACGTGCAGATTTTGTCAAGGTCACAAGAACTAAACAAGGCTAATGCTAACCCTAACCCGTACCCTAACCCGTAATCTCGTCAACAATCACATGTCCTAACCCTATTTACAGGTGGCCTTAATATTTTGATCTGACCCTATTTCATTAGTGTCAGACATTTTTTCATGTACAACTAGAATTATTACATCCAAACTTGCTTGTGTAATTGTATATATTGCTAATTTTGTATATAATCCAGATATCTGACATGAAATGAAATGGGGTTTAACGTCCTTCTGTCATGCTCCTAAACTGGGCTATGAGGGACATTTTGTTCTGGACAGCGACACTATTGCCTACTTTTATATCAAATTCCAAATGCCAAGGGATCTTTTACGTGCACACCAATGTATACACACGGGACCTCGGTTTTTCGTCCCATCCGAACGACTAGATAATCTAGATATCTACTTGTTGTATATATAATAAACCTGACTTCATGGGTATTAAATCGGTTGCACGATTTACCCGAATCTACCCAAATCCACCCAAATCCACTATTATTTCACTCCTATCACAATAAATTATATTGATTTTTGATAATTTAGTGTTCTTTATGCCAAACATTTTCAATTTAAAGTCGTAGCGTGTTTTGTATCCCAATGTAAGTTTAAAAAATGGAAGTTATGTCCCTTCCATACGAAGACCAAACACGTATGAATTGTCATATTTGGACACAAGAAGACTGATTTTAAACACTGTAACCTGGGTATCATTTAATCTTATGTATCTAGCAATAATTTCTTAAAACATTCATTCAATATCACAACTTTGTTTGAAAATTCGTAAAAATCATTTAAAATCATCTAATTTACAAGTGTTTAATTTCTCGATCACTGTTCAATAATAAACAACCCAATTGATTATTGATGCATAGTGATTAAATTTTAAACAGGGGCCAGGAAATTGGAATAAAATTGAATGAATATTAAAGAAATATATGTTACATACACAAGATTAAATGATACCTGTGTCACAGTGAAAGTACATATATATGACATATTTAGCTAAAGGAATAGTGGTATATTATAAACGATGTAAATGATTGTGATGTATACGGTATGTTGAATTAATTGTGGATTTAGGTAGATTTATATATTACGCCTTCCAAAATTCATGGAAAATCACGTTTTGAGGGACATTTTGAGGGGCATTTTGACACAAACACCCAAAGATTTTAAATTAAAAATGCTGTTTCAAAATTTTGCTCATCGAACATATTTGGTTAGGGTTAACAGAGGCCAGACTGAAGTCATCAGAAGTCGCTGTCTGTCTCAGGAAACAAGGTCAATAAGTTTCCAGTCCCTTTAATGAACTTTAAATATGAATATTTCATACGTTAGGTGGGATATCATGTTCAGAATGATATTTGAATAGCGTGGGTTAATCCGTAAAAATATAAATATATTTTGTCCGAAAAATGCAAATGATGATCTGTACCTTTAATTCGAGTTTAGAAAAAAAAAAAAAAAGATTGGTGACCCTGAATAATTTGTGGCGTTGAAGAAACTTGAAATACAGGTTTATCTCCAAAAAAGATCTCAATTCCTTTCGATATTGGCATGTATCAGATGGAAACTTCATGGATTATGGCCCCTGATTGTAGAGGTCACAATTTTTATCCAATTTAGATGTAACTTGAAATGTTGGTTTATAACCCAAAGATCTCCATTCCGTTCAATATTTGCGCATATCAGATGAAATTTCCTTGATTATGGCCCCCTGATTGTATAAAAAATCACATTTATTTAGCTCGTTCTCTTTCTGTCTCTTGCAAGATGTTGCCGTATCTTGCATGGCAACTGCTTATTTGTTATGGTATGGATTTTTTTAGGATATTTGTTATGGTTGGGAGAAAAATAGATCAAAATAAAATAGATTCTGTTATGATTTTACAATTGTTATTAATATTTGTTATTCAATAAAATAATTATTTTTTATAAAATTCAAAGATACATTCCTTAGAGTATAATTAGGTCAATTATTTGACCTTCAAAAGTTATTTTTAAAGATGCATTATGTAAGAGCTAAATCTGGCTATTGTAGTTGGCTTTAAAGTTACAATTTCATATTTTCTAAGAAAGTCAAAACATAATTATTTGTATGTCTTTTGCTCAGTAGGTTGTCAACTCACTATTATACGATCATAGGTTATCTTTCTCACACTTAAAAATCTTCACACCCGAAATAATAACACAATTACCTCCCTTGTTTTCATATTTCCCACCATGGAATAGCTATCTTCAAACATTTGAAGTTGAAAATGATATTTTTGCCAATTTCTTAACTGGCAATAGTGAATTATAGGATTAATAGGATTATTCTTTATCAAGGTAGGACTGTTTATAGATACCATCGATTTGAAGGCTTTATTTTAATACATTTTAAAAATATAACTTAAAAATATGAAATTGTAACTTTAAATCCTATATAAATTATTATTTTGATATTTGTTCACAAGATTAGAACACAAATAAGATTATAAAAAATTAACAATAACATGGATAATCAAGACTTATTCTCAATTGTCAAGTACGGTTGTTACAATAATAAACAATCTAAGATACATCTTTAAACAAAAATAACTTTGCTCAGAGTAAAGTAACTGAAAGAAATTTTCAATATATTCATTCTTCATTATCTCTTATAGCAAGAACAGTCAGCTCTTTATCTCAATCTTACATAATGCATCTGTTTGATAAACATGAAATTACATTCAAGTATTGAAAGTTTTACACACAAGAAAATACACATTATGGATGTTGCTTTATGTACTAGATGTTTGATACCCAATAAAATACATTTTTTGTATATAACTTTATGTAATTGTATTAAAGATACATTATGTAAGATTTAGATAAAGAGCTAGCCATTCTTGCTATGATAGTTCGAAAATAATTTCAACCACCGTACTGGTTGATCGAAGCTAAGTCTCGGTCCTCCATATTTGATTAAATCAAAGTATCGCTGAACCATTCTAATCTATTTAATATCGGAGAAATCTGATGCCATCGAGAGTTGATTAAGGCCTGGATCAGTTAATTAATGTCTAATTAATACTTTAGAAAACATTTCAGGCCTAAAGAAAGACCTGCAATAGGCAGATTTAGCTCCTGCATAATGCATGTTTAAACGTTTTGTATATGTAATGCATGAAAATACATGTAATTATTGTATGTTGCTTTGTGTAATTGTATTAAATGTTCTGTATATCATGCATGAAAATACATGTAATTATTGTATGTCACATTAAAGATGCATTATGTAAGATTTAGATTAGATAATGAACTGCAACTCCTCTTGTTCTTGTTCTTCGTGGGTTTTCTCCGGGTCTTCTGGTTTCCTTCATCTGCTGGGGGATTGGATGGCCAAATGGTTAGCACGTGCACGCTGTATCATAAGACCTGTCATTGAGTCAACTGGCATGGTTTCGAATTCCCGGTTGTACGTGATAAGGAGTAGGATCGCATGTCCAACCTCGTGGGTTTTCTCCGGGTCCTCCGGTTTCCTCCCACTGCTAAAGACCCCTACGCGCAAGTGAATTATTGAAATAAAATTGAACCATATGTTAGTCCCGAAATGACCTAGTTTGTGTCAAGTGGAAGTTAAAACCCATTTCTGTCTCTCTGTCTTGCAGGCGATTAACGTTCGAAAAAAGTCTAAGGTTCTGCCAGTTCAAGTTGGATGGACACAAAACTTGGCACATTTGCGGGGTTGGGCGGACCGAAAACAAAAATAAGACAAGTTGGGTGCAATATTACCCTTGGTGGAAGTAGATGGTAAAATCTTGATTCTAAAGTCACTAAATGGAGTTTAGCGTCCTACTGTTCTGCTCCAAATGGGAAAACAGGGATACGTCTGGACAGCAGTGTTATTGCTTACTCTTATATCACATTCCAACTTTCAAGGGTTCTATTACAAGACTTAGGTTTTTCGTGCCTTCCGAAGGACTATACGTTGTCTATTGCCAGGCCCTCTGCCGTACAAAACTGAGTGCTGTCAAGATGAATTCTCTCGGCTTGCACAAGTATTGAGGCTAGAACCTCAACGTTAACCAGCCAATATATCTTACTCACTGAGCCACTGTGACTTCCCTTGATTCTAAACACTGGTAAGTCCACTAAGCAATTGTACTACCTTGTGTAGTATCAAGGACAGCTGCCTGGTCATTTGGATGGGACAAAAAATAAATGAGGTCCTGTGACACATTGGCGTGTATGTAAAAAATCTATTGGAAATTGGAATTCGATATAAGCGGAGGCTACAGTGCCTCTGTCTGGGCAAAATATGGCATATGCCCCTCTTTATTAGCCCAGTCAGAGCAGATCGAACATCAAATCCCATAGCATTTCAATTCATATCCTATAGAAATGGGGCCAAGCATCTCCCACCCACAAAATATAAACTGGGACCCCCTCCTCCCTGCCCCCCCCTCCCAAAAAAAACCCCAACAAACATAGGCCTACATTTACAAAAAACAAATTTAACATGAAAAACAAAAAAAATTGACCCATTAAAAAAAAATTAAAAACCAACATACAAAAAACAAACTGTACCCCCCCCCCCCAAAAAAAAAAAAAGCCCTATATAACAAGCGTTATTTATATAAAAAAAAACAAAACAACAAATTAATTAGAAAAAAAAAAGCTCTATAGAGAATTACTATAGTAAAATACAATGTTATTCTATAGTATTTTTACTAAAGGGTGGGGGGGGACGTTTTATACGTGTACGATCTGAATTCTCTACCATTATTAAAATATTCAATATTTCTTATTAAGTCTTCTTTGAGCTTCCGTAAGGGAATTTTTGTTGCCCATAAACGACCATTTTCATTGGTTCAAGCAATCACGTCAATAGGGGTCATAAGTTCATGTATCATTACAGCGTGGCGTGATAAAAGCCGAGATGTAAATACACCGTTACTTCTGTGCTTAAATGGAGTCACATTGAATTGAAGACAAGATTCGACTGATCTAGCATCGAATTGTATTGAATATTTGGTTCGTTTACACAAAAGATGAGTTTTCCCACATTTAGAAGCGTTTTAAGCAATAAGGTGGGTTTTATATTATATCTCTAGAATTAAATTTATGTGCATTCATAATTATTACTGACATGTCATTGGGCCCTATTTCACTTCAGTATTTGTTGTCTTTGACCGTATTCAACAAAATTGGTCATTAATGACTCAAAATCAAAATTAACCGAGTTTAATTAAGTAGCGCTTATAAATTCGGAATACTCGCCACGTGGGCACGCATAGATTGTAACACGTTATATTTATGTATTTTAATTTGTTCATTCATATGGATCAAGTAATTGTACGGTATTTAAAATTAACTTATTTAAATAAAATTAAATGTCCATCCCTGATTAAGTGATTTGATTAATAGGCCAAAGTTAAAGTAGGCTAATGATAAATAAATAATAGGCTACACCAATTCTAAAATTTTAAAATATCCTAATATGTAATAGCATTTTTTGGTTTAAAAAAATATATCAGTCACCAATCCAAACATGGCTCATACCATATGAATTCATTATGGCTGAATATGGTGGAAATTTATTACCTGCATGCAACTTTCCAGATAAGTTAAATCTAAAAATTCCTTTTTATAAAAACCTGTATGCCAACTGGTATACAATCTACACAACGCATATAAAGAACATTGCCCACACTGAAAATCAAATTATTTGGAATAATACAAATATAAAGATTAATAATAAAACTATATTTTTAAACTTTCTTTTTAACAATAATATTCGGTACGTTAGTGAATATTTTGATAAAATAAATAAGATCGATAATCAATATTTAGAAAAACATCAATTTATCTTAAAAGGAATAGAAAAGTGTATCTTGCAGTATGTACAGGAAGCGAGCGAGTTTGAAAGTGCGGTACATACAAATTTTAATTGTAATAGAACTCCCTTGGAAGATATAAATACTAATTTTTACAAAATATATAATACCCATTTTCACAACGTAAACTTAAAAAATATTTATGATAGCCGAATACAAGCAAAGTTCAGCAGGCCAAAAGCCATTAAAGAATGGGAACACATTCTAGATACCGAGTTAAGTGATTTAGACGTAGAAAATATATTCAAAATAATAAACACTGTATGTCTTAGTACAAAACTGAGGAGTTTTGAATACAAATATCTCCATAGGATTATATTCACAAATGATAAATTATTCAAAATTAGAAAAGTTGATAACACACTCTGCACTTTCTGTGAATCTAATATAGAAAATGTAGAACATCTCTTTGTCCTTTGCCCATTTTCACAAATAATATGGAATCATCTTCATACTATCCTAGATCGTGGTAATATAAAGATAAATATAAAAACACATATAATACACCTTGGTCTAACTAACAAATCAAATTATATAAGTAATACTGAATGGATTTTCATTAATCATGTAATTATTTTAACTAAATTCTATATATATCGGGCTAAACTACGAAACGAAATGCTCAATATTAATAAGTATGAAAGCTTTTTAGTAGAGCATGCTAAAATGGAGATTGAGTTATCTCCAGAATTATACACAAATAAATGGAAATATCTTTTTAAGAATTAACAGATTGCCTCCATAACGATTCCCCATTGATGGATTTATGTACTTAGATCTGTGTATAGTAGGAACCCTGCGACTCACCATTTATATAGAATAATGTATTTTATCATTTAAGATATAAATGTACTTAATATATGCTTGTAGAAATCTGACGTAAATAAAAAAAAAAAAAAATAAAATTTTTTTTTTTTTAAAATAATTAGTAAAATACAATAGGGTGGGTACAAATTGAAACTGATCTAGATAAATTTAATTTATTGTAGGTATTGGATGCATAGGATATTAATTCTAAAACCGGAACTAATTATTTTGAAAAATAAATATTTCGACAGATCTTTATATAAAAAAATATTACACAGTTTACACATGTTAATTGTTATGGCAAATTTTTAAATCCAGACTTACCGGCCAAACTTATCATTTTACTGTATGGATATAATAATAATAAATTTTTTTAAAGAGACTGTCTGAATTAATCATTTTTAAATTGTTTTCATGGTATTTAGTGTAGATGGGTGGGAAGAAAAACTGAGGTCCCGTGTACACATTGGCGTGCACGTAAAAGATCCTTTGGCAGTTGGACTTCAAAATAAGAGTAGGCTGTAAATGTCCCTCATATATGGCCTACTCTTATATCAGATTCCAACTACCAATGGATCTTTTACGTGTACGCAAATGTGTACACAGGACCTTTCTTAAAAAGAATATTAGATGTATGTTTCATGCATTATGCAAGAGCGAAATCTGGCTATTGCAGGTCTTTCTTTAGGCCTGAAATGTTTTCTAAATTGTTAATTAGATATTTATTAATTTATCAAGATCATAATCAACTCTCGATGTCATCGCCAGCCTGCGATATTTACTGGATTAGGATACCATTTAGTGGATTTTAATACGTTTTGTGATAGATGAAACCCCGCCAGTTGACTCAATGACAGACCGTACGATTCAGTGCAGCTTGCACGTGCTAACCATTCGGCCATCCCCCCCCCCCCTTACCTAATGACCCTTTAATAAACATAATGATTTTGTTGTGTTTCAGAGTACACTCCTTACAGTTTGTACAAGATGGCTGGCAACCAAACCAAATGTTGTCAGGAAGAAGGTAGATACCAACATGGTATTACAGACATTGCAACCTGTCAACAACAGTTCACGACCTTTAGTTATTCTGTTCAGCTGGATGAACGCGAAAGAGCGTCACATTGCCAAATATGGTAATCTCTATGCCAGTGAAGGTTTCGATGTTTTAAGTCTTCGCGTCGGTCCTTTAGACGTACTTCGACCCCAAAAAGCTCAAGGTGCCGTTAGAAAAGTAATAAAGATTTTGGAGGAAAAGGAACAAAGAGATAAACCCCTGTTGATTCATGGCTTTTCAGTTGGGGGCTACGTTTGTGGCGAGATGTTGGTACAGTTTGAAAAAGAGGCCCCGAAACACGACAATATATGTAGAAGAATTCATGGACAAATCTTCGATAGTCCCGTCGACTTTGGAGGGGTTCCTCGAGGAATAGCAAACATCTTGGCTGATAATAAAATAGGAAGATCAATCATTGAATCAACAATTTCTGGTTACCTGAAAGTTTTCGAAAACGTTGTCACAAAACATTACTTGGCCTCGTCAGCGGCATTTCACGCTAACTTTCTGAAGTTGCCGTCGCTGATGCTGTACTCACGAGCTGATCCCATTGGTGTGGATAAAGATATAGAGGTCGTGGCCAATAAATGGAAAGCCCAGGGGAATCCTGTTACAACTAAATGCTGGGAAAATACACCCCATGTTAGTCATTTTCATCATCACCCCGACGAATATGTAGAAGCCATTTTAAAATTCGTGAAATCCGTCGGTTTGTCCGGCGAGGAACTACAGAGAGAAGACATCTTGAATGAACAAAGAATGAAGAGAGTTTCAGTTTAGATGAAAACTTTCAAAATGGTGTCTCTGTTATGTGTTATGTCAAGTTGAAAATGAGAAAAGATTTTTAATGAATTTTCGGGGGAAATATTATTTGTAACTTATCCCCGTTGGCATGTTGAATCCACTCTTGATTAATTTTACACGCTTGGAAATAAGGCCCCCATCACTGATTTACACGTCAAGATATAAGGCACACATCACACAGATTTCAGGTTTAATCAGATGCAGTTCATCTGATACCTTGAGGAGTTGGGTGGTCTGGGATCTGAGTGGTCTAGTGGTTTAATGCGTGTGCATGAAGTCACAAGGATTGTCATTGAGTCAGGTGGCGTGGTTTCGATTCCCCACTTGTAAGTGACAAGGCGTAGAGTCACCCTCTAACTTCGTGGGTTTTCTCTGAGTCCTCAGAATTCCTCCCACTGCTAAAGACCCCTACGAGCAAGAGAATTATTGAAATAAAATTTTGCTCTCTCTGGCATAGATTTGTCTATTTCATTTGCACTGTTTTTAATAATAGGCACCGTTCACCGATTTAAGCCCGTACTTGTTTTCGTGGTATTTCAGCACGCTTTTTTGTCAGTGAAAAAGTTGGTTTAATGCAAATGTAATGGGACTGTTTCCATGGAAATACAGCAAAGACGCATACATGGAAACAAGCCTTGCACACTTGTAAATAAGACACATGTCAGGTTAGTTTGTCAGGCAGGGTCTCTCTGGTTCCTGTTAGTTTGTCAGGCATGGATTTGTTTATTTGCAGTGTTTCTATGGATGGTATTATTGATAAATGTCAGGTTCTAGTTCAAGAACAACTAGAACCATTAGATCCAGGCCTGTTGATATCGGTTAAACATGGAGACACTGGAATGAAGTTATATCAGTGTTTAAGATTTATTAATTTAATTCATACATAGATATCCCTGAACAATAAACTTGACAAGACGTTTTAATCCATGAGTAGATATCTTGACAACACAATTTAATGCATAGGTAGATATCTTTGAATAACAAATTGTTTATGAATTGCAATGTGACAAGGAGTAGGGTCGCCTGTCCAACCTTGTGGGTTTTCTCCGGGTCTTCAAGTTTTCTCCCACTGCTAAAGACCCCTACGCGCAAGCGAATTATTGAAATAAAATTGAACCATATTAGTCCCGAAATGACCTAGTTTGTGTCGAGTGGACGTTAAGCCCCATTTCTCTCTCCGTCTTATGAATTGAAATGCATGTTGTGGTAGTTACTGCCTGACTGAGTTGGAATCCATAGATAGTGAAAAAAAAAAGATAGCCAATCCTATATGACTTAAATACACTAGTGAACGTCATTATAAATTAGTTGAAAGTTTGTATAGGTATCAAAAGTGATAATTGGTTACCATGGTGAAATTGGATGATGTCAGCATCCATTTATATGTGATAATTGGTTACCATAGTCAAGTGTTTATGTTACCATAGTGAAGTGTTTATAGAAGTTGATAAGAACATACCCTGAAATCTGTGAAATTTAGCAATATGTTAAGATGCTACAATTAACAATTCAAGCATGTTCTTTTATCATTTGGGCTGCAATAATAATTTGAATTTAGATTGCCAAATAAGGTTTGTTTAAACATTTCCAAATAAAGTCTATTTAATTAACATTGGTGGTCACATGACCAATCACAAGATTTGTCTCAAATATTTTCAAGGATCTTGGAGATTAAAGGTTTAAGTTGGATTATTTGTTAAATATTGTTACAATATACCTGAAGTATTTTTACCTGTAACTTTATGTAGAAACAAAATCTTTTATTTACTGCACTGTATATCCATGTCTTAATAGTTTATTAAAGATGTATTATGTAAGACCTAAATATCTGGGCCCTTATTCACGAAAACTTAAACTAAGATACAATCGAAATTTTAAGAAATACTGCAATTCGATTGGCTGACCAGTAAAATCAATTTGCATATATCCAATGAAGTTGCAGTATTTCTTAAAATTTCGGTTGTAACTTAGTTTAAGTTTTCGTGAATAAGGGCCCTGCCTTTTGCAGGTCTTTTTTTCTAGCTTCAAATGTTATGTAAATGAATATTTTGACATTTATTCACATGACAAGCCTATAATCAACTCTCTAGATCATCGGATGGCCGAGATTTAAATGGATTTGAACGCCTGCAAGATTTTTAAATTTAACGATAAAATGAATAATCAAAACTTGTTATCAAATACAGTTACTATGGTAATAAACAATATATGCTACATCTTCAAACAGTGATAACTTCGACCAGGATAAAGTAATTTGAATGAAATTTTCAATATATTAATATTTCATTATCTATTTTTGAACTATTATAGCCATTTTTTTTATCTAAATCTTACATAATGCATCTTTTACTCCTTCACTTTGTTATTTTTGCATTCCATAGACAGAACTGTCTGACCCAGTACTTAAAATTATTTAATATATCTAATGAAAACTTTCCCAGATACCAAATTCTTGTGCATTTAATTTTTAATCTAGTTTTAAATCTAAGTCACTTGTAGTTATTGCATGTTATTGTTTGTATATATTAGATAGTAATACTATTTATATACGAAGGCAGATTGATTAAAATACAGATCTATATTTCGTGTCGTTTTTTTTTTATACATTCGATGGCCTCCACTACATGAAGATCAGAGGTTGTGTCAGGGCAGGATGGAGGGCCTGACAAGGACAGCTGTCTAGTCATTCGGATGAGACGAAAAAACGAGGTCCTGTGTATACATTGGAATGCACGTAAAAGATCCCTTGGCAGTTGGAATTCGATATAAGAGTAGGCGATAGTGCTGCTGCCCGGGCAAAATTTCCCTCATAGCACACTGTATGGCATATGCCCGTCTTCATTAGCCCAGGTTAGGATCAGAACAGTAGGACGTTAAACCCCATTTCATTTCATTTTGTGTCGGGGGTTATAAAAGCGGCCTTTGACCCTATGATGTCATGGGGTTTTTTTATTAACCAATCGCCGCCTAAATACAACTTTTGCTGTGATTTGTTTTCTATCGCTGCGATCGTTTACCCACAGTTCCGTGTACCAGACGACAAGAACTCAAACCAACACACCATTTCATTGGCTATTCCCTCACATCAACCAGAATGTGGGATATTTCAAAATTCTTCCAGATCCTAGTATAGTTAAGACAAAAAATGGGAAATTTTGCACTATAAAAAGTGTTTTAATCAGACTCTTAATTAGGTCACATCAATTTTAACTTTCGTTCTTCAGACACACCTACCAGATATTAAAAATTTAGCTTCTTATTTCTTCCGGAAAATTTGGCAGTTGGATGGCAGAATAGTTAGTGCGTTGTATCATAAGGTCTGTCAGTAAGTCAACTGGCGTGGTTTCGATTCCTCGGTGGTATGTGACAAGGAGTAGGGTCGCCTGTCCAACCTTGTGGATTTTCTCGGGGTCCTATGGGTTCCACCCACTGCTAAAAACTCCTACGCGCACTCTAATTATTGATATAAAATTGAACCATTTGTTAGTCCCGAAATGATCTAGTTGGTGTCGAGTGGACGTTAAATCCCATCCCTCTCTCTCTAGATATGTATGGTGTATGCCCTATACGAGCAGAACAGTAGGATGTTAAACCCCATTTCATTTCATTTTTTCATTAGCCCATTTCATTTCTTTATATATTGATATGGATAGTGATTTAGATGAGTAAAACTCATAACCAACGTTACATACATGTATCGTCTTGACTTTGATGTTCATAGACAGAAATGTGTTATCCTTCAATAGTTGACTGAGAGATGGCAGTTTGAAAACAGTAATGTCAAGTATGGATGATCATAATTTGAAATGAAATGAAATGAAAGGGGTTCAGCGTCCTGAAATCGCCCAAATCAAAACCACGCCACTTGACTTAATGACAGACAAAATATATACAAAAATTTATCAAATGAATTTCTGGTTATAAGGTTAATCTTTAGTTTGGGTGTTTGGATGGCCGAATGGTTAGAACGTGTGCGCTTTATCGTAAGGTCTGTCGATTCCCCGGTTGTACTTGGCAAGGAGTAGGGTCGCCTGTCCAACCTCGTGGGTTCTCTCCGGGTCCTCTGGTTTCCTCCCACTGCTAAAGACCCCTACACACAAGCGAATTATTGAAATAAAAATTGAAATAACCTAGTTTGTGTCAAGTGGAAGTTAAACCCCATTTCTCTGTCTCTCTTAATCTTTAGGTCAAGGTTGAGATATTTAGGTGGTTAAATTGGATCACTTATCATAAATCTGTTTTTAGAATGTTATTTCCTACTAGTGGACAGACCAAAGTTCAATCAAATCTTGACCTATTATTTAACTGTATCAAGTAAATATTATTGTTGTCCATTTTAGGCCTTCAGCCAAAATTTCTACATTGCTTAGAAACCGGATTCCACTACATGGTCCTCCCTACGAAACAAACTATGCATTTTTGGAAAGCTTATAACACCAGGAACACAAATCCAGAGAGTTCCAAGCCAAATGTGAGCAGATGAAAATTATAACAATTGTCGAGTAAATGCTATATTTATACTAACAATTGATAAGTTGACATAAAATTAAATATTGGCGAAAACACCCAATGCCTTCATCCTCGGCAAAGAATATTGGTTAAATTCTTATTTAAACCAAAATGCAGAAAACATAATGGACAAGGGAACATACAGAATTTTATAATAGAGAGTTGGACTGGCGGCTATATGGTACAAGAACCCGGAGAAAACCCACAAGGTTAGACAGGCGAACTCATCTGAGGAATCGGCTGCTCTGGGCGTGTCTTTAAAATGAAATGAAATGGGGTTTAATGGCCTACTATTCTGTTCCAACTGGGCTAAACGGCATTCAATGTGCTACGGCCGGGTTCTTTTACGTGCATGCCAATGTGTACATGTGACCTCTGTTTTTCCATCCCATCAGAACGACTATACACTTTCCTTGCCAGGCCCTCCGTCCTGCACCACTGAAAAGGGGGAACCCACATCGGAAAATCTCAATGAACTTTCACAACAAACACCAGATCGATCACAGGACCTCCTATTTAGTGAGTCAACGTCCTACTCACTGAGCCACCGTGACTCCCATATCTTTAAAATGGGAACATGTATTGAACATGTTGATAACATTTTGTAGATCATGAATAGTTGAATACACATCTTAATCTTATCAGTGACAGTAGAACGTGATAAACATTCATACATTATGATACATTATGGGAGATTAGATAATGAGTTGACAGTTCTCACTATAATAGTTAAAAACTAGATAATGTAAAGGTAATTTGCTGAAAATTTCATTCAAATTGATCCACTATGAACCGAGAACTAAGCGATTGAAATTTCCCCCTAGCCTCGGTCATAATTACTAAAGTCAGTACAATAAACAGCATAGTCTCGATTATCCATATAATCGTTAAATCGAGAAGGAAAGTTATGCAGTAAATCGACTCATAATCCACTAAAGATCACAGGCTAGCGATGCCATCTAGAGTTGATTATGGCCTGGATAGGTTAATTAATGTCTAATTAATAATTTAGATAACATTTAAGGCCTAAAGAAAGACCTGCAATAGGCAGATTTAGCTCTTGCATAATGTATGTCTAAGGTATGATTGTTATTGTAGCCGACAAGCAAGTTGATTGACTACTTAATTAACAAGTAATAATTAGCCTGTTGTAATTTAGCCGAAAGTAGATTGATTTATGATACCATAGTGGCCTGTTAATTGTTTTAAGATCTCTGATTCGTATCTTATCAGTGACAGTAGAATGTGATAAACGTTCGTACCATATCCCACTGACCCTCAAAATAATTTAAACACGTACAAACATTATCATCCCTTATCAATTTTTATTAAAAAAAAATTCTGATAAAATTGTAAGGGTCTCGGTCAATTTGAAGAAAATGCTGAATCCCCGGTTATTTCAACATATAATAGGGCATCTGCAAAGTTGATGCAGGGGTATAAAAGAACATGAGCAGATGAGTTGTCGAGAAACATATTGCCCGTTACAAAATTGAATGAAGTGGGGTTTGATGCCCTACATCCTAATAAGGATGGGAAGCCACAGTGGGTCGGTAAGTAAGACGTGGGATCACTAACCTGGAGATCCTGTGTTCAATCCTTGTGTAAGCCAACAATGTTTAAAGGGATTTTCCGGCAGAGTTTCCCCTTGTCATTGGTAGGGTACAGGACAGAGGGTCTGACAAGGGATAATGTATATTTATGTACACACTGGTGTGCATGTAAAAGATCCTTTGGCAGTTGGAATTTGATGTAAGAGTAGGCCACAGCGCTGCTGTCCAGGCAAAATTTCCCTCATATAGCACACTGCAGGAGCCCAGTAGGAGCAGAACAGTAGGACATTAAACCCTATTTCATTTCAGGATGGTGTCAAGCAGGTGTTGACTGACTTGTGTTGCCACCCTGACTCTATCTAGAGAGGTTTGATACATGGTAATAGTGTACACTGAATGGCAGTAGGACTAGGCCTGTTCATCAGTAGAGAGGTTTGATACATGCTAAGGTTGTACACCAACTGGCAGTAGGACCAGGCCTACTCGTCAATAGAGAGGATTGATACATGCTGGCAGTAGGACGACTCAGCGCAACTGTCATTGACGCTTGTGACCTTATTCGTTGCTATAAGTATATATGGAGTCACCACAAGGCGCAGACCCAAAAACACAAAGGCAGCTCTGTGAGAGAGAGATAAATGGGGTTTAACATCCACTAGACACAAACTAGGTCATTTCGGGACTAACGTATGGTTCAATTTTATTTAAATAATTCGCTTGCACGTAGGGGTCTTTAGCACTTGGAGGAAACCGGTTGACCAGGAGAAAACCCAAGAGGTTGGACAGGCTACCCTACTCCTTGTCACATACAACCGGGGAATCAAAACCACGCCAGTTGACTCAATGACAGACTTTATGATACAGCGTGCACACGCTAACCATTCAGCCATCCAACCCCCCTAGTAGCTCTGTACTCTTGAGATGACCAAATAGTAACATGCATTGAACATGTTAAAGACATCTGTAAACCAAGTATACTTAACATGATTACATACTTTAAGCTTATCATTGAGTCATTGACAACATAATACCAGGCCCATATCCTACTGACATCCCAATATATATAATCACGTACCATTTATCATACCCTATCGATTCTGATAAAAAACATCATTTATCAATATATTAAGAGAGAGAGAGAGAGAAATGGGGTTTAACGTCCACTCGACACAAACTAGGTCATTTCGGGACTAACATATGGTTTAATTTTATTTACATAATTCGCTTGCGCGTAGGGGTCTTTAGCAGTGGGAGGAAACCAGAGGACCCGGAGAAAACCCACGAGGTTGGACAGGCAATATATTAATCTGAGTTTACTAAACCCAGTTCAAGAGTACAGGTTTTTTGGGAGGACAATCTGATTATAATACAGATTTATATTTCGTTTCGTTTTTTATACTTTCGATGGCCTCTACTACATGAAGATCTGACAAGTTATAGCGATAGGTTCTGTCAGAGGTCATACGAGCGGCTTTTGACCCTATGACGTCAGACATTTGATTAACCAATCAGCATTGATGTTACTAGTGGATTACCCACAGTTCCGTACAAAACACGCCTAAAGCTCGCCCTAACAGACAGTTTCATTGGCTAATAGCTTGCATCATTCAGAACACTCAATGATAACTCTTCCAGGTCCTAGCATGGTAAAGACAAGTAAAACGAAAATTTGAACTATAAAAACGAAATGAAATAGGGTCTGTGTTTTAATCAGATTGTTGGGGGGGTGGGGGGTGGGGCTGCATTAATTGTGTACTGCATTGAAAGCAAGTTTTTATGTCCTGATAGAAGATGCCCAGCACAATTTTATTCTTCTTCTTGCTTCTTGTGTTACTAGTTGAAATCTATTTGATGTGTTGCTTTTCATGTCTAAGTGCGGGGAGAGTCATGAGAGTGTTGACACAAACTAGCTAATTTGAGGATTAACATGGTACAATCTTATTTCACTAATTTGTTTGCAAGTTTGGTTTCTTAGCAGTGGGAGGAAAAACAGGGTTGAACAGGTGACCCTACTCCTTAGGTTCAAAACCAAGCCACTTGACTCAATCACAGACCTTATGAGAGAGAGAGAGAGAGGTCATTTCAGGACTAACACATGGTTCAATTTTATTTCAATACATCGCTTACGCGTAGGGGTCTATAGTAGTGGGAGAAAACCGGAGGACCCAGAGAAAACCCACGAGGTTGGACAGGCGACCCTACTCCTTGTCACATACAACCGGGAAATCAAAACCACGCCAGTTGACTCAATGACAAACCTTATGATACAGCGCACGCACACGTGCTAACCATTCGGCCATCCAACCCATATACAGATCTTATGATCAGAAGTACCTGTGTTAGACCACCCAACAGTCACTTTTCAAGTCTCTTCATCTTAATCAAAGATAGACTGGCTTCTTATAGAAAACATGTACATGTCTGGAATGGACACTATGCAAACCGTCTGACTCAACACCTCTTAGACCAGTCAGACACATAACTCACCCCATAAAATTCTTAAAACTTGTAATGATAAAGCATAGATATGAAAACAAACAATAGTAGATAAAATCATAATAAATTAATCTTTATTAGTTTTTCTGAATTAACATAACAATACACAAGCCTGGAAATAAGGCATCTGTCACAGTCCCTCTGTCGGCCATTTTGTCTTTTTGCAGTGTTTTTATTAATTAAATTAATACATGTCCGGCAAAAAATTAAATTGTTGGCAATATCACTTTGGTGGAAGTGGATATTACAGCTATTTCACACAAAGTTCCAAATGTCCAGCAAAAAGTTCAGTTATCTTCCATATCACTTTGGTGGAAGCAGACGTTAAAGCCATTTAACACAGACAAAAGGTTCCAAATGTCCGGCAAAAGGTTCAATTATCTTCGATATCACTTCAGTAGAAGCAGACGTTAAAGCCATTTCACACAGACAAAAGGTTCCATAATGTCCGACAAAAAGTTAAATTATCTTTGATATCACTTCAGTGGAAGCAGACGTTAAATAAAACTATTTCACACACAAAAAGTTCAAAATGGCCGGTATTATTTTTATCAAGTACAACCGACACCATTATTTTACAGGACTGACAATAAAACAGATACAAAATAAACTTAACAACTTTATTTTTAAACTCTCTGACTACACCCATAAAAATATTATAAGAATCTGGGCCCTGTTTCTCGAAATCTTAACTAAAGATAAAATCCAAATTTTAGTAGATACTTCAATTTTGATTGGCTAAGCACTAAAATCATTCTAATATTATCCAATCAAATTACTAAAATTTGGATTTTATGTTAGTTAAAATTTCGTGAAACAGGCCCCAGAATATATCTTTTTGTTATGGGCTTACTGTAAATGGCCAACATATCCAAAGACAGGGACACAAGTAAAATGAATTTTTTCATGGAAAAATGGATTTACTGCTTGTTAGTTTATTACACGCTTCCGTCCCCCATTTAATCTATGTATATATAAATATAAATATTATTTTAATAATGGTATTAATATTCATAATAACAACTTTATAGATTTACTACTTCTTGGTTTATTACACACGTTTCAATAACCTTACAGGTATCTTTATCAAGTAATGATCAATAATGAATAATAACCTTACATTTATAGTACATCCATGAGTAAAACAATTTATAACAATCAATGTCAAGAAGTAATAAATCCATAAAGTTGTGTTATTATGAATGTTCGATCATTATTATTATTATGAGGTGCAATGTGCCACTTGAAACGGCCCATTGTGTGACGTATACCATAGATTGGACACCGCTGGTCCAGAATAACAAAGTATAAATAGAATTACGAGCTGATCATCTATTGGCTACGGAGTTTAATTGGTCTCGTATTTTTGATAAACCATCCAACATGGTGTCAAGTGTTTCTTTAGAGAGTTCAACCTGCACACCATTAACATCAGGCATAGAATTTACATCAGTTGCTGTCTCCTGAACCTGAGAAAATAACAACAAATTTTACATAGCAGGTGTATTATAAGACATCAACACATAAATAAAGTAGCCGAAATAGGGCTAGGGAGTTTAAGGTCCTTACCCAGATCTCCAAAAGGGTAAGACGAAACCCCATCCACACCAAATAGGGCTGGGGAGTTTAAGGTCCTTGCCCAGGTCTCCAAAAGGGTGGGACGAAACCCCATCCCAACCACGTACCAGGTATAATATAAGACATCAACACACAAATAAAGTAGCTGAAATAGGGCTAGGGAGTTTAAAGTCCTTACCCAGGTCCCCAAAAGGGTCCACACCAAATAAAGCCTAAATATTAAAATTGTCTTAGTGTTATGCCTCTACTCAACCGACTGCACAACACAGGAATTTTATTGTGTGGTCCAAGGGGAGATAAAATGGTGAAAGGGAAAGAGATATATGAGTTACTTCCCTTTAACATTATATTCTATCAAAAAATATTGGGGATACACAATTCATGAATGTTACAGAATTGCAAAATTCTCTCAATTGTAATATAGTAATGATCAAGTGAAAATGGTGATTATGATAGGCGCAATCTTCACCCCTCGCGCAGATTGCAATATGCGTTGACGTCCTGCGCAGATTGCAATATGCGCTTATGAAGCTATATAATTATGCTACATAATTTGAAAATCTAAAGATACATTTACACAACTTTTTAAACCTTGGATAAAATTGGAACAAACATACCGAAACAAATGTGCCCTAATTAAAGTTGCCAATCTGAATTATATATTTTTTCCGACAATATTTAATTTTTCCGAGCTTAATCCATGTTAAAATCAAGCAAATAAAAACTCAAACATCAACTGGTATATAATCTTCTAGATTGCATTCAATTGGATTAAAAGGTGGACCATCAATAGACTTTACTGTATAGTGCTAGCTTATTTATATATAGAGGGAAATGGGATTTAATGTTCAAACGGCACAAACTAAGTCATATCGGGACTAACATATGGTTCAATTTTATTTCTATAATTCACTTGTGCGTAGGGGTCTTCAACAGTGGGAGGAAACTGGCGAACCTGGAGAAAACCCACGAGGTTGGACAGTCGTAAAAGTGGGGAATCGAAACCACGCCATCTGAGTCAATGGCAGACCGTCTGATACAATGTGCACATGTTAACCATTCGGCCAACCAAAGCTTATTTATAATATTTGCAGGCTTTCCTGAATGCTGTGAAAGTTTAAATACTACATATCTTTGTAAATGAATTGAACTGAACCATTTTCGTACTAATATTCATTTTAGAGACTCACTTTTCACAATATTGTAGTTTGCAATGGATACAATAACAAATAACATCAGCCTTTTTTTAATATTTAATGAATATTTATGGATTTATTGCCCTTTCTCTAAAAATTTCATTTACTTGGACCAAATTAATTTATTTATTGTCGTCTCCAGTTCAAAACCATGCCTCTTTACACAATGACAGACATTCTGATTCATTTAGCCACCCACCCCACCTCAAATGAGAGAGAGAGAGAAATGGGGTTTAACGTCCACTCGACACAAACTAGGTCATTTCGGGACTAACACATGATTCAATTTTATTTCAATAATTCGCTTGTGCGTAGGGGTCTTTAGCAGTGGGAGGAAACCGGAGGACCCGGAAGAAAACCCACGAGGTTGGACAGGCGACCCTACTCCTTGTCACGTACAACTGGGGCCCACCTCAAATGAATCAAGGAAATGTACTGTAGGCCCAATTATCAGACATGCAACCCTGATAAATATTATTGCCAATGACAAATGATGGATAACAACACTTTCCTATAAACAACTTGATGACATAAATGTAATGCTTTGAAATTTAGTGTTTATGAGAAGTCATTTTAATCCTTTGACACACTACAAAAATCCCTCCCATATCGGACTTTTAGAAAGGATTGCCTGAGAACCCGAATATTTTTTTGTGGCCTTCTGAAGATACTCCATGTTACTTCACAATTTTTCTTCATTTGGAAAAGATATTACAACTGCTTTTATTTGTGGTCTAAGGGGAGATAATATGGCTTTAGGGTGAAAGGTGCATGAGTTACCTCCCTTGACATTTCAAACCTATTTGGTACAGAGTTTTGGTACACACCCATATAAAGAATAAATAACTTGCAAATTACAATATTCTGCAAGATGAATATTGTGAAATGGTAACTGTTGATTGAGAAAAATAATAGAATTCCAATGAAAATTTCAAACAAGTAAACCAAAGTAATATTTCACAGAGGATGGTAGTGAATGAAATGGGGTTTAAATTCCTACTGTTCTGCTCCTAACCTGGGCTAATGAAGACGGGCATACACCATACAAAGAATGCTAGAGAATGGTTTTACGTTACCTGCATGTTTAAGATACAGGTGGGAACGGACATCCTTGCTATAGAATCAGAGGATGTCTTGACGTCCACACGCCAATCAAAATCTACTAAATTAGGTAGCGATACTGAAAATAGAGAGAGTAACGGCCATTAACGTCAACACAACACAGATTAGGTAATTTCTGGACAAACATATAGTTTTTATCTCCTAATTATTATAGCACAACTTCCATGACTAGTGCTCACATGCATTTTACAGAATGTGGCACAGAAATTAAATACAAAAATACAAATAAGACATCAAACATTGAAATCAACTTGAAGTCTTATAAATTTCATTAAACATACATTATGCAAGAGCTAAATCTGCCTATTGCAGGTCTTTCTTTAGACCTGAAAAGTTTTCTAAATTATTAATTAGACATTAATTAACCTATCCAGACCAAAATTAACTCTTGGTGGCATTGGATTTCTCCGATACTAAATAGATTAGAACAGTTCAACAATATTTTGATTTAAGCTAAAAATGGAGGAGCAAGACTTAGCTTCAAACAACCAGTACGGTGGTTGAAATTATTGCACATGTCTTGTCAAACCTGCAAAGGTCAATATCTTTGCTCGCAATAGAGTAATTTGAATGAAATTTTCAAATTATTCATTTTACATTATCTATTTTCGAACTATTATAGCAAGAATGGCTAGCTCTTTATCTAAATGTTACATAATGTATCTTTCATGCAAACACTATCATTACTATAAAATTAGAAATCTATGAGTGGCCAGTAGCCGTCCCAGATTTATCTCATAAAGCGACTAGTTTCGTTCATTTCGAACTCATCAGACTTAAAGGAGCTAAATCGCTAATATTTTGGACCTAGAAATTAACACAAATGGGTTGAATCGCATATAATAATGTAATATGAATGTATATAAACTGATTTACATTCAATCGTTTCTGTTTTTACTGTAATTTCAAATCAGTTATTTTCGCCGAAATACTCCAGAAGTCTCATGTGAATGGCAATCTTTAGCGTCTGATTATTCCAGTCTACATCGATAGTATTTATTGTCCATGCTCTCCAGATAAGAATATGACATCACCGTTTGACATGACTTGTGGAATATGTCTAGCCTCGTTCTTTGCGTCCCTTGTTCCTAATGGCGCTGAGATACATTATGGCACACGATTCGTGTACCAATGGTAAAATGTTTAATTTGTCTTAAATATTGGATATCAGAAGCCTATCTTTTCCCGGTAAGATCACAACATTAGTGTAGATTTAAATTCACAAATAATTTGTGTTTTCAATGTCAAAGACTTTGGATGATAATGAGTTGGAGTTTAACCTCCACTCGACACAAACTAGGTCATTTCTGGACTAACACATAGTTCAATTGTATTTCTATAATTCGCTTGTGCATAAGTTTCTTTAGCAGTGGGAGGTAACTGGAGGACAGGGAAAAAACCCACGAGGTTGGACAGGCGACCCTACTCCTCTTGTCAGATACAACCGGGGAGAGAGAGAGAGAGAGAGAGAGAGAGAGGGGGATTACCTTGACTAGCACTAGCTATAGACTTCCAGCTACTCATATTATCTATAGTAATCTTAATTAATAACTCTTTTAAATTCTTCTGAAAATCACCTGAAAGAAAAACGTTCACATTTAAATTGCATGCTTCTTTGTTAAACTGAGTCTAACCTACAGACAAGCAGTTCTTTCTTCTATGGTCATGTTTGCAGAGCTAAGGGGGAGAAATATTTATTGAATGTCTGGGGATCTTTTACGTGCTTGCCGACATGTACACTGGCAGACCTAGATCTTTTGACCCATTCAAACTAGGTAACATTTTACTTGTAAGATGAGGGGATTGGGTTGGCCGAATGGTTTAATGTGAGCATTTTATATCAAAAGGTCTGTTATTCATTGAGGGGATCACGTGGCTAAGTGGGTAGGACGCTGGCTCGCTAGCCTGGAGGTCGGGTGTTCGATCCCTGCATTGGCCGAGAAAGTTCATCCAGATTTTCCGGGATGGTTCCCCCTTGTCAGTGATGCAGGTTAGAGGGTCTGACAAGGACAGCTGTCTAGTCCTTCAGATGATACGAAAAACTGAGGTCCCGTGTATACATTGGAATGCACGTAAAAGATCCCTTGGCAGTTGGAATTCGATATAAGAGTAGACAATAGTGCCGCTGCCCGGGCAAAATTTCCCCTCATAGCACACTGTATGGCGTATGCCCGTCTTCATTAGCCCAGTTTAGGAGCAGAACAGTAGGACGTTAAACCCCATTTCATTTCATTTCTGTTGTCCAGAAAGTTTCTAATTTTTTAGCCTAGTTTCTCATTGTCAATGGTGCAGGATGAAAAGCCTGGCAAAAGAACACAGAGGTTGGATTACACTTTGCCGATATGTGCTTTAACCCAGAAAAGTGGGACATGTGGTTTAGATTCCTCATGACACAAACTAAGACAATCAATTATTATTAATAACTTATTAGGATATAACTGGAGTGTAATTATTATCAGTAACTTACTAGGATATAACGGGAGTGTAATTATTATCAATAACTTACTAGGATATAACTGGAGTAGAAACTTGGGATCCGATGATCCATGGAATACTGACATCTTTAATAATACACTCAAACTTTTATATAACTGCAATAGACATGTACATGATACTTTTATATAACTGACATAGACCTATACATGATACTTTTATATAACTGAAACAGACATGTACATGATACTTTGTTTCAATGGCAATAAGTAATTGAACTGGAATATACGGGTCACAATTCTATGGAATACATTTACTGCTTATTAATGAGCGAGGTTTCTACTGGATTTCTCTAGTTGTTTTCAAGCAATGATAAATAAAAAAAATATAATGAGATAATATTCACATGTAAAAAATACTTGGTTAATGCTTACCAATCAGAGACACCCTTCTAATTACCTTGAAGGATACTTTGGTCATTTGGAGACTAATATATAGTTCTTGTGTTTTTCAAATGGTTAAGTACTGTGCAATGTTAGAGAGGAGAATTTTGCCTAAACAGTGGCATCCCCAACCACCTGTTCCTCGAATTCAAGAAGTCAAGGGTTCCTTTTTATATATGCATGCCAACATGTGCACAGGTTGACCTAGGTTTTCTTAACATCCAGACAACAGTTTGAAATATCCGAATGTTCTCAGTCCACGCCAGGACTGGAGTCGTATCCAAGACCTGAGTTTCGTGCCTTGCTCGCTGTGCCACAGTGGCTCAATTCTATGACAAGAGAAAGAGAGGGAGAGAGAGATGGGGTTTAACATCCACTCGACACAGACTAGGTCATTTTGGGACTAACATATGGTTTAAAGTTTATATTTCAATAATTCGCTAGCGCGTTGGGGTCTTTTAGCAGTGGGACGAAACCGGAGGACCCGGAGAAAAAGCACGAGGTTGGACAGACGACCATACTTCTTGTCACATACAACCAGTGATTCGAAACCACGCCAGTCAACTCAACTTTAGAAACTGACCTTAGTAACTAACAGTATACTTGTATTTAGAAACTGACCTTAGTAACAGTAGATCTATCAGAGCCTAGTTTATCTATAGCCATATTTAAAATATTATCAGATAATACTGGTTTATTTCGGTATAAAAATGCTTCACGACAAATCTGTATAACATCATCTTTGGAGGATGCCTGAAAAACACATGAAAATCATTTAATACTGTCATCTGTATAACATCATCTTTGGAGGATGCCTGAAAAACACACAAAAAACATTTAATACTGTCATAAATTTTTTCGATTTGTTCCACATTTACAAAAATATCATGAATTGAAAATGTTTCAAATTTCAGAATCACATATAGTCAACACAAGCCAGCGCAACCTACAAGTTTCCCTGATATCTTTTGATGTGCCTCTTTTTAATCAGTGAAATTGTTTATCATTTGATAGTTTCATTTTGCTTACTGAATTATTAAATAGGAATGGGGGGGGGGGGAACGACAACATCCCCTTAATAGAGTAATGAGAGAGAGAGAGAAAATTGGGGTCTCTAGCAGTGAAAGGAAACCGGAGGACCCAGAGAAAACCCATGAAGTTGGACAGGCGACCCTACTCCTTGTCACGTCCAACTGGGGAATCGACCAAGCCAGTTGACTCATTGACAGACCTTATGATACAACGCACACGCACTAACTATTTGGCCATACAACCCTCTTTAAAAGGGTAACAATGGCTGGACTAGCAGGTAGATCTGTGTAGCTGCTGGATCAAACGCTAATGCTAGCGACGAGAGCAGATATCAATAGATATTTAAAAATCCCTACATTTGTTAAAGGTACGTGTTTTAACCTGAAACGTAATAAGATGAATAAATCACTATTAATTAATTTGGGTACATTTGAAGTTAAAGGGAATGGATGCTTATAATTAACCTATTTCCTACTGGGACCTCATTTGATCCAATTCTGGCCAGTTTGTTCAAAATGGATTAAAAACCCTGATTTTTAATGTTGATTGAAGAAGGAAAATTTGATATTTTCAAAAATGCAAATATGGCTCACAGAGGCTCGCTCGATCTTTATCCCCCAATATCTTAGAGGAAAAATAATTTCATATAAAAATATCGGTTTACTAACATTTTTTTATTGGATTGGTTACACCATTTATAGAGTCTGGTTTTCATGATTGAAGTTTTTTGATCGAAAATCAATGTCAATATTTGGTAGATTTCAAACAAGTTTTTATCTTTCCCGAAGTCTGAACCATTTTGAATCTTCTAAATTTAAATGGAATTGGGGGGAAAAAATCTGGAGATGTTTATTGTCTAAAGTGTGAAAATGATTAGTGCCCAGCGGAGACAAGGAGGGTCAGTAGGGGAGAAATGAAAAGAGGGGTTTTGTTTGACTTTCTTTGTCCTAGAAACACTATAAATTCCCACATTACATAATATTACAGAAGTTGTTCAAGATGTCAAACAGGATATTTCATTAAAAATCCCCTCAGCCCCCCTTTTATCATCTAAGCTAAGTATGGTATTCATTAGTAGATTGCGCCTTAAACAAGATCCCTTTTTTCCGAGGGCCAAAGAGATGACACTTCCAGTGAACTACACACAGACAATGGCCAATCACAAACCATCACCTTTATAACTCCCCTCTTTTTTCTTCTTCACAAAACACTTGCCATGGTTTGAACTGGACAAAGGAATGGAGTATTATCTGTCTTACTCACTTTGTTTGATTTCAGACTTTAGTAAGACTAAGTTGTCACAATATAAGTTTTAATCAAAGAAATAGTATTTAAAATAAATTTTTTGATTTCAGATTTCACTAAGTTAAGACAATATATAGAGAGTATTTAAAATAAATTTTGTTTCATTTCAGACTTCAGTAAGACTAAGTTGAGCCAATAATTTAATCAAAGAAATAGAATTTAAAATAAATATTGTTGATTTCAGATTTCACTAAGTTAAGATAATATAAATAGTATTTCAAATAAATTTTGCTTGATTTCAAACTTCAATAAGAGAGAGAGAGAGAGAGAGAGAGAGAGAGAGAGGGGGTTTAACATACACTTGACACAAACTAGGACATTTCGGGACTAACATAATATGGTTCTATTTTATTTCAATAATTCGCTTGCATGTAGGGTTCTTTAGCAGTGGCAGGAAACTGGAAGACCCGGAAAAAACAACAAAGTTGGAAAGGTTGACCCTACTCCTTGCCACATAGAACTGGGAAATCAAAACCATGCCAGTTGACTCAGTGACCTTGTGATTGAACGCGCACACGCTAACTATTCACCCCCCCCCCCACCCTCCTGAATTCAATAAGACTAGGTTGAGCCAATATTAGCTTTAATCTAATAAATGGTATTTAAAAATAAATTTTGATTCGATTTCAGTTAAGATAATGTAAGCTTAAAAGAAATAGTATTTAAAATAGTTTTTTGTTTTGATTTCACACTTCAATAATCAATGAAATAGGTTTAAAAATAAATTAGTCTTAACACACTCTATTTCAAATTTCATTTTCATTATATTTTTACACTACCGGGTACACAAAAGAATGTTGTAAAAAATTCTGTTATTTAATTTGACCAAAAAAGTGAGAAAAAATTTCTATACTATAACGATGTAGACTATTCAGTTGCCTAAGAAAGGTTTTAAAATTAATGAACTGATGCTTTACTGTAAGGTAACAAGAAAAACTCTTCTTACTGTAGCTTTAAAGAGACTATAGTTCTGTTTAGATTTTTGCTGTCGGTAAAAACTAATTTTTGGATTTGACTATTTAGTCATGATGGGTGGAGTCTGTGGGGGGTCCTTGATTACATTGTATATAAAGTTCTCTTTGTAACCTAAATAAGCCAGGTGGCCTAATATAAAAAGACAACGAAATTTTTAAACATATTTTTAAACATATTTGATCAAAGATTATGTTGCTTTGTTTTTTTGGCTTTGAGTTGTAGTCATGTCCAAAATCAGACAAAATTTATTTTAAATACTAAATACTATTTATCTGGATGAACAAATAAACAATTAAAATAAAAACGTCCTACTTTTTTCTATAACAACCTTGCCCAAGTTCACCATGCATCCTCAGACTTAAGATAAGAATCTACTTAAAATTGTTCACTTTATTTTAACCAAATATTTTAATGTATCAAATACATAAATACAAAACATGTGCAATATTTTGTGTTTCTGGATCAAAATTTTGTATATCTGAACGAAAGATATTTCTTAAACAGTGATTAAAGTTAAGTAAATTCTTAACTTAAGGTTAACCTCCACTCAACACAAACTAGGTCATTTTGGGACTAACATATGGTTCAATTTGATTTCAATAATCTGCTTGTGTGTAGGGGTCTTTAGCAGTGGGAGGAAACCAGAGGACCTGGAGAAAACCATCAAGGATGGACAGGCGACCCTACTAATTCTCACATAGAAGTGGCGGGTGGGGGGAGTAAGTGGATGAATGGTTAACATGCACGCGCTGTATCATAAAGTCTGTCATTGAGTTGAGTCGACTGGCGTGGTTTCGAATCCCCAGTTGTACGTGACAAGGAGTAGGGTTGCCTGTCCAACCTTGTGGGTTTTCTCCGGGTCCTCCCACTGCTAAAGACTCCTACGGGCCAAAAGATAATGAATTAATGTAACAAAGGAACTTTAATAGAGCAATTTTATTAAGACTAGTTTCTCGGCTTTAAAAAGGAATTTCACTAATAGTAAAAGACCATCCACCCCCTCCGCCAAATTACAAAATTTTTTAAAACTTAATATTTCATGATAAAAAATTTCTTTTACACTATTAGTATTACCATAAACAATTTCTGGACCATCTCATCGCAGAACATGATAATCAAAGTTTTACTATTTATATATATAGACACCCCTACCCACTGAACTAGATGTAGGCCTATATATATATATATATATATATGAAAAGTTAAAGATAACAACAATAAGCTAAATAACAATAATACTGATTTGTTAGAAGCCAAAGAGGCATAATTTATTGACAAATCGCTGCCAGCTTTAAATGTAAAATTATAGTAGTTTCATTGCATACAGGCCTAGTTATTGTTATCTGATTTGATATTCTATTAAATGTCCCTTTTTTGTACTACTGTGTTACTATGACGCTATGACGTCATAGTCATTGTTGTATTAACTAAATTATGTTGTTTACCTGAAGAGCTTAATAAAATAAGCGAAAGCGCTAGTAATCAACAAATAATGTAGTTCTTTTTTCAAAAACTTTTATATTTTTGTATAAATATGTATATAAAATGTAAAAACTTAATATTTCATAATAAAAGAATTTAATTTGAATCTGCCTAGCATCAATAAATTGTTGTTGGGTCCCTCGATCTTCTCAATTGCTGAAAATGATTTTCTATATAAAACATTTATAATATTTTAATTATTAAATATGTTAAAACCTTGAAGCTTTGAAGGGAAGTATTTTAATAACATTTATTTGTGACTATATAAAACGATTAATCATTTTACGACATGGATAAATTTCATACATATTTTCCTCAATAAAAAAAATGACTAAGGAGACTGGGTGTGTGTACTACATCTATTTTTATTTCCATGATGTACTTGTATGTAGGCTATACACTATACATACATACATGTGTGATTCTTCTTGATCTCGCTACAGGAAATCGAGCGGTCCACTTTAACAAAGGGGACAAGCAGTTTGTCACAAGAAAAAAAACTTGGGCTTATTTTGTTAAAGATTATGAAATGAAACATTTAAATTCTTTTTACTCTTTAAGGAAAATTAATTAAAAAAGAGATGTAAATTTTAGTGTTCAAAATATGAAAATATTTGACGCTTGCACCCAAAATTTAACAACCTTGCAACCCCTCGTGATGAATGGTAGATCCTGTCTATAACAAACAGTACAATTATCGTGGCTTTTGAACGAAATTTGACATTAATTACATGTAAACCAAGTCAAATATGCGATATACCTTTAACAGAACATTTAAATCCGAAAATTCGCACTGCATTTTGAAAACTTTGTCCTTAATTTCAAGTAAATTACAACAACAACGGTGTCCTTTTTTCACCACGTGACTTTACTATGGGCGTATTTACATTGTGGCGAAAACTGTCGAGTACTCTTTCCGGAGATATCCGTAAATGTCAGCAAAAAGCGCGCGTTTTCTACATGCGCAATGAAAAGCTGAAATTTGACGTCATATTTATTTAGCCAATGAAAATGATTTTTTTGGTCACATGTTGAATTAATTGCACGCACCGGGCGGGAATCTTAACGGAAGGTCGTCTGCTGATCCTTTGTTTGGAAAGAGAAGCCAGCGAGGAAGGACTGTTCGTTATTTTGTCACGAAAAGGAATCTCACTATAACAATCATCATGCCTGGAACAAAGTAAGATCTGCTAAAATTTTGCAATTAATGATATTAGCTGTTCACCTCATATTAATAATTTATGCTGTAATTAACCCAGTCAGCCACACTAGAATTTCTGAACACAAACACACCATTGTGTGATGAAAAGCGTGAAGCTGGCTTCGCTGAATCTCTCGGTTCACGGTAGTCACTCTTCAAATATTGTTTCAACAAAGTTGGACGATACCTAGACTCCTTAACAAATTCTTGACAATGTGATGCAAATGTTAAAAAAGGTAGAGTTCATTTCTAGGGCTAAGTTATTGTGAATTTTTCTTATTTCATAAACCGTGAGTTAGTAGGCTAGCGCATTTGAAAACATTTTGATATTCATTAGACCAGCGTGCTGACGGTTGTTTCTAAACAAATATATCAGTTTATTTGTACAATCGTCTGCAAGTCGAGGATTTTGGCAGTCTTCCTAATAGCTAGAAATGATGTTGAGTTACGCGGACATCCTATTCGGAATTTCCGTCACTTGAATTGAAAAAAATAAATATGACGATTCTTTTTCAGGACCGACGTTGAAGTTGAAAGTACCGAAACAACTGAGACCACCGAAACTACCCCAACGGTGGCAAAAACAGTTGAAGATGTCAAGGAATTAAAAGAAGGGGTAAGGACGTTTTACTGATAAATTTTTAAATAAAAAAAATTTCCCGGTTCCCTATATATAAATTTGTGCCCATTGACTGAAATGTACAACAAGATGGTACATAACGTAAAGTATTTAGATATCAACTTAAAATCTATTTCCTCATGAAGCAGGAAATAAATTATCCTGACTAGTATTAAATTTAGATATAAACCACTTTGATCATGGTTTGACGTCCATAGTATTTTAAAAGATTGGTTTTTCTTATTTTACAAATTAGTTTACATCGATAAATTAATATAACTCAATTCTCTCTATTTTTAGAAAAGTGAAACTAAAGAAGCAGAAAGTACAGAAGCCGAGGCAGAGGCAAAAGCAGAATCTGCTACCACAGAGGAAACAGAAGCCACAGAAAAATCAGAAAATACAAATCAAAATGCTGCTACAGAATCTAAAGATGCTGACAGTAAAACAGGTACGAACAACTTTGAGTAGCAATATCTTCATTAATATTGGAACATTCTTTTGTCAGTCAAAAGATGGATGCAATAGTCTAAATTTTTGCATAACTAAGTTGTGGTTTCAAGATCTGTTGAACGATACAGCTAAATACAGGGGTCCATCATGTCGTGTCCAGGTTGTAGAGTTGTAGCTGTGATAGATTCTGTCCAGAGATAATGCTCTCTGAGCTATTTCTCTGTAATAGTAATATATTATATCTTATCTTTCTGTAAACTAAAATTATGAACTTTTTTTTACTTTCAGAAACAACAGAATCAACAACTGAAAAACGATCATCCGAGGAAGCAAATGGAGAAGATGAAAGTCCCACAAAAAAAGTGAAATCAAACAACGGTGACACGACTGCAGAGGCTGAGAAAGCTGATGCGTAGTTTATTTATTTTATATACATAGAAACTTTAAAAATTCATATCATAGGGTTATAAACTCACAACCTCAAAGTCAAGGGTCCTCATTATACCATATTGAATCAAGTTGTAAAATTTGTGTCGTCCGTTTCATTAATTACTAGTTGTTTTCTGTATGTAATAAATCTTATTATGGACATTACAGCTGTGTTATGTTTGGTGTTGTGAAATCTGTGTTACATGTGTGTTCCTGGTTCTGTGAATTTGCGAAAGGGGGAGAGGAGGGGTTTTTTTTATGTATGCGAGACAGGTTCCGCATGAATCCTATTCAAATGTCCTGAATATAAATATTAAAAAGTTTTGAAAAATCTTCCAACAAAAATGTGTAGCTATGTGAATGTTCTGTTACATTTTTGTCAAGTGAAAGTAGAAATGTCTGGATCCAAAAGAAATTCTCTTCTTGGATAACAGGACATTGGAACAGATTCAATACATTTAGCTGCACACGTTTGTTTCAAGACGGTTTATAACTTTAAATGTTGGATTTGGAAATTTCCATTCTTTAACTATTTTTCCAATATTGGAGCTACAATCAAAATTTGGTGCTTGCATTGTGAAAATTTAATCCTGCAGTTACAATTCCATCTATTTTTACTTGTCATATCGACCGTTAAATCATGAGTTGCAATTAAACCAGCCTGCGGACGTAGAGCGCTTGTGGGCGAGAACAATTCTAATTCATGTTGGGTAGGAATGGGGTCCATTTAGGTAATGGGTGCATTTGAATATGGGTTAGTTGTTGCAAAAAAAAAAGTAGTACCTTACATCCCTGCCTTGTAGAAGACATAAGAACGCGTACTGAAATCCAGGGGATTGTGCACTAGTTCAAATTCATCCTTTCGAAACCTTTTTAAAAGGTGTTCGAGTGGCCCTTTAAAACGTTGGGTCGCTAATCTGTAGTACCCCATGTTCAACCAGGTGTTGACTGAGGAACGCCATCGGAATTTAACGCCGTGCTTCCCACTTATCAGTGATGCAGGACATTCTTGTAAGATACAGTGCAGTCATCGGACGAAGCGAAAAAACCCCTTCTCATGTACACATTCGCATACAGGTGAAAGAAACCTTGACAGTTTAAATTCCATATGGTATTTCCCTTGTAGCACAGTGTATGCCGTACGCCCGTCTTTCTTATCCCAGTCGATGCAGAATAGAATAGTGCATTAAAACCCCATTTCGTTTTCTTGAAATTGTCGTTTCGGGAATAGAGTTATCCAGAGGGCACATTGCGTTACCCGTAACGTAATATTCGGACAGGCGGCACCTGCTTCCGCTTTATTTAAATGTCCAATTTACCCAAAATTATTGGGATAATTTCAAAATCGAATGTTGAAACGATGGTAGGCCAACAACCTCCATTGTCCCGTGGTGAAATTAAAAGAGAAATTGAGTTTAACGTCCACTCGACACAAACTAGGTCATTTCGTGTAACTAACTGGAACATGGTTCAATTTTATTTTCTTAATTTGTTTGCGCGTAGGGGGTCTTTAGCAGTGGGAGGAAACCGGGGAAAACCCACGAGGTGGGACAGACGACCCTATTCCTTGTCACGTATAACCGTGAAATCGAAACCATGCCATTTGACTCAATGACAGACCTTACACGTTGAGCAATTGAATACACAATCATCCGCCATATACCTAAAAGTATCGTTTTAGTATAGTGGTTCCCAACCTCTTGCCGACGGCACACCTTGGAACACATGAAAACATAGCGACACACCTGGCTAAATACATATGAAAAATATTTGAATTTTACAAAATAAAAACACGCAAGTCATAGACGGCATACAACCGTAGATAAAAACTAGTCATAGGCACATAAAGTGATTCAAACTAAATAAAGAAAAAACACAGCTATAAACTTTTATACCAGTAAGTAAATTTATTGCATAAAAACGCCCACGAGGAACAGCATACAATTACAAAAATGACATTAATACAACAAATAAAGCAGTAGACACCAGTGAAGATACTCAATTGAGATCATGAAGTTTTATCCATTTTTTTAGTGTGCCGTTTAAAATTTCGCGGCACACTGGTTGAGAATAAGTGGTCTAATCAAATTGAAATAAACACTGAATAGTATTCAAAACATTGGCTGTTGGATATTTTCACTTGAAAAATGTATTTGTACTTAACGTAGACGTCCATTTTTCAGCACTGATTATCGTAAAGATATAAGGCCCCGGTTTCACAAAATATTCTCAGACTTGAGTTAAGAATTTACTCAAAATTGTTTGATTTACTTTAATAACTAAAATATAACCACCTAAAAAACTTTTATCACGTATAAAATACACCAATAAAAAACTACAGTACGTTCCAAGTTTTCTGTTACTGGATCAAAGATGGAGCCACGGTGGCTAAGTGGTTAAAGCGCGGTCTACCTTTCGATCCCTGCATTGGCCGAGAAAGTTCATCCAGATTTTACGACGTGGTTTCCCCTTGTCAGTGGTGCAGAACGGAGGGCCTGACAAGGACAGCTGTCTAGTCCTTCGAATGAGACGAAAAACCGAGGTCCCGTGTATATATTGGAATGCACGTAAAAGATCCCCTGGCAGTTGGAATTCGATATAAGAGTAGGCGATAGTGCCGCTGCCCGGGCAAAATTTTCCTCATAGCACACTGTATGGCGTATGCCCAGTATAGGAGCAGATATTTCTCATAAACAGTGATTGAAAGTCGGAGAATGCTTTGTGACACCGGTTCAAAGATGCCGACAAGATTGTCCCGTTCCTCAATTGCTGGGGTAAACGATACGGGCGAGGAAAATGTTGTCTAGTTGTTTGGATGGAACAAAATATCGCGACGAAGTATACGTAACATGATCTATTATTGATATCCAGCGTTCCGCAACTCTCCTTTCCAAAGTTAGTCCTACACCTCTTTTCCACCCTCACTTTCCGGTTGCCTTATAGACTGGACTAGATCAAGCTTGCATGAGACCCTGGCTGAAAAGGCTACTGGGGCCCTTGCATCAACAGTGAAAAGAGGGCATTATTCTGGCCATTGTCCGCCACACTCCAAAATTCAATAGATTTATATATATATGCAACAAAACGTTTTTTTTTGGGGGGGGGGGGCCTTTAATACTGGGAGCCCATCTAGTACCCATTTCATCCGACCACCCTGTAGAGGCTTTAGTTTTTATATAGTAATATAAAATTTGCTGTGAAGCATTGGGTTTGTGAGAGGACGAACACTATTAATATTCAGCTTTCCGTTCACCGTGAAGCTTTCGGATTTCTTGAAGGATCCTTGATCCTTATCAAATTTGGTCAACACCAAGTTTCCCGTTAAGGTAAACTGCTATCTATAGTTATCGTTTTTTTCGAAAAATAGCTCTTGTGTGGGTGGACCAACAAGCTTCTTGGTGTGAGCGTATTTGTGTTGCTATATCGTGTTTTCAAAGTATAAGAGTCATGAAGATGACGTTGAATCAGTACCCACTTTCGTTCCGGAGGTACCACACCCTTTCCGAAAACCTAGCCGTACAAATTAACCCTATCGATTTCAGAGTTACGGCTGTCTTGTATCCCCTAGCGATAGAGTTCAAAGTTTTTAACGGGTTTGTTTTTGTTGTGAGAGGACGAAACCTATCCTAGAAACAGATATGCCTATCTATTAGAAAAAACACCTAAATTTCCAACGGTCGGAAACCGAGTCCACCCCTGTAGATGTCTCCTAGTCGTTTGGATGGGACGGGAAATCGAGGTCCACTCGCTTACGGGCATGTACGTAAAACAATCCTTGGCAGTAAAATACTGAGATGGTGCCTGGGCAAAATAAAACCATGGTAACAGAACATTAGTCTCAAAGAATTGCCGTTTTCATTAGACCAGTCGGTGCAGAAAAGTAGGACGTGAAATCTCATTTCATTTCTAAAAGTATTGTGTTGACACTATATCTACAGTAGCGGATTATCAGTGAGGCTGATGAGGCTGCAGCCTCAGGCCCAAAGATTTTATAAAAAAATTTTTTAGACTTGTCTGATACGATTAAAAACGCATAGACAATGAATGTTAGGGTGGGGGGTTTAGGCCCAACGGGAATCAACATAGGCCCTGACCCGAAATTAATTAGGCCCACGCCATTTTAAATAGGCCCTATTTAAAAACTAAATAGGCCCTCCAGCAACTGCCGCCTCAGGCCTTGGTTGAGCTTAATCCGCCACTGTATATCTATACGATAAAATACATGACATCCCTATCTGTGTGTTCTATAGTGAAAGGTCAAAGATATTTGGGGTTATCTCCCATGCCCTTTCTTGTGAAAAATGTGTGATTTTTCCGAAAGTCTACGAAGTTTGGCTGTAATAACAATAATTCCGTCAGATTGAACATCATCCAACCGAGAACTTTTAGCATGAACATACCCATCATATTTATATTGCCAATGAGTGCCAGAATGTATGAGGCAAGTGGGCTAGATACCTGCATGGCTTCGATGTTGACGAAACAGAATGGATTATCTTCATTCGTCAACTTGATAAGTTACATAAAGTAATGTGAAATTTAGAATTAACATAGTTAATATGTTGCTATGGTTGTCCTGATTATGCTGAAAAAGTTTGACTTTTAAAGTGAACACGGGTCCTTCTTAGAATTGGTAATTTAACACTCGCCTCTGAGTGATAAACTGATCGTAGAAGAACATTTAAAGGGGATCACGTGGCTAAGTGGGTTAGACGCTGGCTCGCTAACCTGGCGGTCGGGTGTTCGATCCCTGCTTTGGCCGAGAAAGTTCATTCAGATTTTCCGGTGTGGTTTCCCATTGTCAGTGATGCAGGATGGAGGGCCTGACAAGGACAGCTGTCTAGTCGTTCGGATGGGACGAAAAACCAAGGTCCCGTGTACAAATTGGCGTGCACGTAAAAGATCCCTTGTCAGTTGGAATTCGATATAAGAGGAGGCCGTAGCGCCGCTGCCCAGGCAAAATTTCCCTCGTAGCACACTGCATGGCGTATGCCCGTCTTCCTGCAGGACAGGAGGACGTTAAACCCCCATTTCATTTCATTTCATTTCAAGAACATTTAATTTGGTAAATTTTATTCGACCCATATATGGAAATAGGAGTAAACCCACGAGACGGGTGGTTATCTCTGCACCCTCGGACAAACTGGTTTCATTATGGAGAAGAATACCTGACCCGACTAGAAAACCAAACTATTCACTTTTCCCACACGACACGCATGGGTCACTTTTCTCTTCGGATTTAGGCGATTATATTAGATGCGAATATGATTTTTATTTACGGGGATTGGATGGCCGAATGGTTAGCGCGTGCGCGTTGTATCATATGGTCTGTCATTGAGTCAACTGGTGTGGTTTCGATTCCTCGATTGCACGTGACAAGGAGTAGGGTCGCCTGTCCAACCTCGTCGGTTTTCTCTAGGTCCTCCAGTTTCCTCCCTCTGCTAAAGATCTCTACGCGTAACCGAATTATTGAAATAAAATTGAACCATGTGTTAGTCCCCAAATGACCTAGTTTGTGTCGAGTCGACGTTAAAACCCATCTCTCTCTCTCTCTCTCTCTCAATTTTTATTTATTTGAAAAATATATGTCAATCTTTTTTCCCCAATGGACCCCTGATCCCTCGGATCACGTCCGACACTATAGACCATAGCCCAACACCACCACTGACACGGATGCGTAAGGAGTCGACCATGTGCAATTAGTATCACACCAGAAAACTAGTGCAGGTGTTTTTCCCGCGTATAGGTTAATTAACTGTTACGAACGACAGGTGCGCCAGTCCATATTCAGAGCCACACTTTTGTCTTCGCTTGTCAACTTTTCACCTCACAATAAAAAAGGAACCATTGAGATACTACAGTAATATTATACGCTACTAATTTTTGTTTGTTTCGCTAGAACACGAATCAGATATAAACGGGGGAATTTAGGATACGAAATCTAATTGAAACTATCTCCACCAATCCATAGTCAAAACGTTTGTATAGAAAACCACGGGTTTGGACAGGCGACCCGCTCTTTGTCACGTACAAACGGGGAATCGAAACCACGCCACTTGACTCAATAACAGACCTTATGAGACAGCGCGCATTTGCACATTGGCGTGCACGGAAAAGAAAGCTTGAGGTCTGGAATTCGAAATAAATAAAAGTAGGCCGTAGTGTATGCCCGTCTTCATCAGCCCAGTAGGAGCAGAATAGTAGGGCGCAGTTTTGCCTCCCCCCACCCGAAAGCAAATTTGCCGACCATAGCTCTAAAATATTTACTGTATAGACTGTGCCGGGTGCGCCCTCACCCCGTAAAATAAAACCTTCACTGCCCCCCCCCCCCCCGCAGCTGGCTACGGGCCTGGTAGGGCGTTAAACCCCATTAAATTTCATTTCATATGTGTATATAAAAGATTTTGCTTTAATCCTGGAGAAACGGTGACATTTATAACATGAGTTCACAGTTTATATCATACGTCACATTTCCTGTGTGGCATAAATTACTTTCGTATAAGAAAAAAAGAGAAATATTTGTCTTAATAATATTACGGTTTTGGGTGAGATTCGGTTAAACTGCGTATATAAAGCGGGAAATCTAAAAGCTCGAGGATATACAGAATAATATCGCTAACGAAACTATAGCGAAAAAAAAACAAATCCCAGACGGTCAAACGTTCGAAGGGTTATTTCAAGGGCAAATGCGAGGTTAAGCAATGCATTCAGTTAATACCGAGGTATTGTATACGTGAAATAACCGTTGACTTTCGACAAAAGGTAGTCGAAACAGCAGCAGCCCGGGCCAAATATCCCTCATAGCACACTGCATGGTGTTTACCCGTTTTCATTATCGCATATTCGGTGAAAAACAGTAGGATAATAAGCTCATTTCATTTCATTTCATTTAACTTCCGAGTTAAACCCCTAGCGTTTTTCGTGATTAATATATGGCTCATATAATAAACTGATTAATAATTAAGATTAGCGCGATCAATCTCACCTACGATTATTGTGCAACTAATGGAAGCATTGACATTCTATTATAGCTTGTATTTGAGTCAGTTAGGTCACAAAAAATACAGGATTTAGGGCTCTTTATAAAAAGACGGGAAGACGGGATCACGGTCGGCTATCTGATAGAATTATGACCGTGGATTCAAAATATTTCGTTCTTGGATACGACACCAAGGTGTCTCTAAATCCATATTTGATAGATTTAATATGTTTGACACTGTATATCGGGCTGTTATTGAAGAAAGCACATAAATATCAAAGATGACGTCTGCGAGTTTTAGCAGCGCGGGATAATCGATATCGTTAGTGGTTACGATTCCAACCTAAGAAAATCAATACTCGCCAAGCGTTGTTACACCATGATCAATGATAATTTGACGTTGTTGTTTGGTGTATATTGTTTAAGTTTGTTGGTTATAATAAATTGCACACGTATGATGTAAGGTGGCCACGTGTCGATCACACAAATAATCATCATTTTGTGTAATAATAGAGACAGCACGATCACAGAACTGTTAGCTTATTGCAGTATAGCTGTATTTAATGAGGATGCAATGCACACGGGTCTATAATATATTATATTCATTTGTAGAACCCTTACATTTCCAAAATTCATACTTTTGTTGGGGCTGAGAAGTGGGGGTGGGGGCGTTAAAGAACGTTTTATTTATTTCACGAATTTGTTCATGTATAAATTATAAGTAAGTTAAAAATACAAGTGGCTCGGTTTCGCTCGCGGTGTTGACTGCTAAGAAGGTTCCTCAGACATTTCCGACGTGGTTTCCCCTTGTCAGTGGTGCAGGACGGAATGCCTGACCAGGACAATGTCTAGTCCATCGGATGGGACGAGAAACCGAGGACCCGTGATTGGCGTACACTTAAAGGAACCTTTGACGATTGGAGAGAGAGAGAGAGAAATGGGGTTTAACGTTCACTCGACACAAACTAGGTCATTTCGGGACTAACATATGGTTTAATTTTATTTACATAATTTACATAATTTGCCAAGTCGGTGCAGAAAAGTGGGACGTTAAACCCCATTTCAGTTCTAAAACACAATAATGATTTCATAACGGCACTGATTTAGAAATTCGGCTGATGTTTTATATTGTTGGGATCTGGGACTCGCGTGCCCAAATTATAAAAACGGGCAGTAAGGAAAATTATCCCCCCCCCCTTACAACTATTGATAACTTCGCCCAAAATAAAATAATTTCAATGAAATTTTCAATATATTCATTTTGCATTATCAATTATTGAAATTGTATAGCGAGAACGGTCAGCTCTCTATCTAAATCTTACATAATGCGGAATTCATCTTTAACAATTAACTTGGGTTTACCGCGGGGTTATGACGTGCGCTCTAAAGGGATTTTATCGGACAGTGGCGATGAAGCTCATGACTCCCTCAGGAACTTTCTGGGCCAACAAAAAACTGGAGCTCCTGGTTACGTAAGTCACCATGACTCTCAACAAATTTTACCTAGAAATTGATAAGACAAACACACGAGGAAATCGCAAGCCATGTAAATAACTATCAATTCAAGTGAACAGTTTGATATCTAAAAATATATCACTTTTCTTATATTGTAGCCTAGGTCATGATTCGATCCATTGGCTTTCAGCAAATTTGCTCAAGGTTTCTTACTGAGAAGAGCGAGGACTCACTAACCGGGATATCCGGGTGATGGCTGAGAAATCTCTTCTGGATTTTTTGGGTGTGGTTTCCCCCTTGTCAGCGGTGAGGGACGGGGATTTCGTTGGGATATGGCACGAAAAAACGATGTAGGTCTACCAGTACGCGTTGAACATTTACAAATATAAATCCTCGGGTAGGAATTCAACGAAGAATAGGCAAGAAACGCTGTCGAACGGGCATATTTTTCTCCTATGGTCACAACGTAATGTGTCTTCATTAGCCATGTTGGTGCAGAAAAGTAGGACGTTGAACGCTATTTCATAAATTCCTTTTTATTTCAGTGAGACATTTCCAACATTTTACTAAATAAATTGATGTATATGGTTATGGCACTGACGTGATGTATAGGGTTTAATTAATAAATTAGGCAATTACAACAACTTTAATACAGGCTTATATTTCATAGTCAACTAAATACAGTGCAGTTATTTGCGCGCTTGTTATTCAGCGCCTCTGCTCTATTTTCCATACACAACACTGTGTTCCGCGTGCAAGGTACATACATAATTATCAGGTTTATTTACGGAAAACTTCAAATAGACTCGGTTGTTTATTTCATTTGAATATTTACATAAAAATAGCAGGAGGCAACGCCATTAAAAGTCTTAATGTTCTCGACACAAAAGACTGACCCAGTCATGTCACAAAATAAATAAATTAGCATGACCCCGTGAATGATTACGTGGTATAAACTATTTTCAACCAATCACCTTTAAGCATTGATGTCTGATGCGGATCTTGTTCTGAAACCACGTACTATATCCGGTTGATATTATTAATTTTTGTGTTCGTGAGTGAAAAACATCTGTTTGCCTGTAAAAGACAAAATTATTAGCTTTATATTGTTTTAAAATAACTGGTAAGTAGCTTTCGATATGGATTTGTATAATTTGGTCAAAGAAAAGCTTTAATAATGAAGAAGCGTGATTTATTTAATAGACTTATAAACTTAAGACACCCCTTTTCGGCTTTATTTTTTCTATGATAAGTGTTACTCTTCTAATTATCATGTATGTATGGCATACAATTTTTTTTTTAATTCTTTTGTTATTTATAAAAGTCATAGTCGAAATGAAATTGGATTTAATGACGATCTGTTTTGCCCCTAATGTGCTAATCAGCGTATTATTTCAAAATACAGAAGAATGAATTTATGATTTGTTTTAAAATGTTTTTAGATAGATCAATTAATTTTGAATTATCAATGTGAATTGATGAATATTTATTACATTAGAGGAATAAGATATTTATTGTATTAAACACCCTTTTTGGTCCATGGGTCAGCATACATAATTATGATATGATATCAGAAACAGATCAAAACTACATAAATGGTGGAGACAGCAATTACTAAGTTCTTGGCAGGGTCGAATTAAGCGGATGAGGGGCGGTGCTGACTTAGTTTAGATCTGAATGTAGGACTCTTTACACTCGCCCTGTACGTTCATGAACCGCCCTATTGAATCCTTGTGGAAAAAGTTTCGCCCCCCCAGTCAATTTTACTGGGCAACCTTTTACTGCTAAACGGTCGCTTGTCAGTCTCTGAGTAAAGGAACATTTATTTAGGGAGAAAATAAGACCTTTCTTACCTTGCAAGAGTCAGTACATTAATGTAGGGTAACACACAAATTTATGTAATTCGGCCATATATGACGAAATGACATTTAGTTATGCAGTGGGTTGGAATGGGAATATTACCCCCCCCCCCCAATTAGTTGTACAAAAATATTCATACAGGTATTATAAATAAATATTTCATGTGTTGCGGTAGATTTAACAAAGTGAGGATGGGTCACAGCTAAAGACCCCCTACGTGCAAACTATTTATTATACCATATATTAGTCCTGAAACACCCTAGTTTGTGTTGAGGACATGACCGAATAATTAACGCACATGTTTGGGACCAGAAGGTCTGTCATTGAGTCAAGTGGTGTGATTTCTTTTCCCCGCTTGTACGTGACAAGGAGCGGGCTCACTTGTACAACCTTGTTGGTTTTCTCTGGGTGCTATGGTTTCCTCCCACTGCTAAAACCTCTATATGCACTCAAATTATAAAGAATAAAATTGAACCATATGTTAGTCTCCCTCTCTCTCTTATAAAACTTATTCTTGTGTTTTTTTATTTTTCAGCCATGATTCCAAAGTTAATAACAACGGCTGTAGCTAGCATTGTTTTATTATATGTATTAAACATTTCTGGTAAACCTGTGGCACCATCGAAACCGGTCGAAGCCAACTCGAAAGATGAAGAAGTGGTAAATGTAATGAGAAAACTATTCAAATTTATACCCCAAAAATAGATTTCTCATTTTTCTATTCTTTTATTTTTATTTAAGAAACAAGCAGCTTCATCAATTTTATCTCCGCCCCAAACACTGAAAATATTTTATTTTAATGCTGCTTTATTGTCATTTGAGGGATTTTGAATACATTGAAAACTACAATATTGGGAAAGTTTTATCAATAAAAAGAATAGAGTTATTATTTATATTTTCTTAAGGTGTGTTATAATCTATTTTAGTAAATTTGAGCCTAAATTTCAATTTATCATAACTTTGTCAATACTCAATTGAACCATTTTTAAACCGATATTGGTAAGAGAGATGAAACTTTCACAATATTGTAGGTTGAAAGCAATTCCAATAGCGCTGGGGGGGGTTGGATGGCCGAATGGTTAGCATGCACACGCTGTATCATAAGGCCTGTTATTGAGTCAACTGGCGTGGTTTCGAATCCCCGGTTGTACGTGACAAGGAGTAGGGTTGCCTGTCCAACCTTGTGGGTTTTCTCCCACTTCTAAAGATCCCTACGCGCAAGCGAATTATTGAAATAAAATTATAACCATATGTTAGTCCCGAAATGACCTAGTCTGTGTTAAGTGGACGTTAAACTCCATTTCTCTCTCTCTCTCCAATAGCGCTAAATGATGACACATCGTCAAGCCTTTAATATGTGAAACCCGCAAAGCGATGATTATTATCGCTAACGAATTCTCCTGTAAAAGAAAGGGGTTGTGGATGGCCGAATGGTTAGCACGTGCGTGCTGTATCATAAGGCCTGTCATTGAGTCAACTGTCGTGGTTTTCGAATCCCCGGTTGTATGTGACAAGGAGTAGGGTCGCCTGTCCAACCTCATGAGTTTTGTCCGGGTGCTCTATTGAAATAAAATTGAACCATATGTTAGTCCTGAAATGACCTAATTTGTGTTAAGTGGACGTTAAACCCCATTTCTTTCTCTCTCTTTGTAAAAGAAAATTTATTTTTTGATTAAGCTGATTGTTTCTATGGATTTACTATTTTTTGTCTGTAGTTTTAGTTAAAGATACATTATGTAAGATTTAGATAAAGAACTAGCCATTTTTGCTATAATAGTTCGAAAATAGATAATGTAAAATGAGTAATTTGAAAATTTCATTCAAATTACTCTATTGCGAGCGAAGATATTAACCTTTGAAGGTTTGACAAGACGGGTGCAATAATTTCAACCACCGTACTGGTTGTTTGAAGCTAAGTCTCACTCCTCCATTTTTAGAATAAATCAAAATATGGCTGAACCGTTCTAATCTATTTAATATCAGAGAAATCCGATGCCATCAAGAGTTGATTATGGCCTGGATCAGTTAATTAATGTATAATAATTTAGAAAACATTTCAGGCCTAAAGAAAGACCTGCAATAGGCAGATTTAGCTCTTGCATAATGTATGTTTAATTAATCTGTAAGCTAAACACAATTGGTTTTCAGGTACTCTTTATAATTCAGTAATGTAGATATTTTTTATTTGTTGCTCATAGTGAGCAGGTTTAATCATGTGGATACTGTTAGTGCACTAGGCTTGAGATTGGAATTTCCTGAGTGGAACAAGGATTTGGGTTATCAGCATGCAACCAGGCCATATAGAAAACAAAAATTCTGATTCTCAGATAATCTCTGGTCACTGAAAAAGGGCTGCATGACTGTTTTTATTTTAGAAAATAAAAATAATCTCATTAATCACTGCATGTTTTATCCTGTTACAGGAAGTAGCTCTAAAAAAAGTATAATGAAACCTGAAATGTGGCATAGGCTCATTTATCAAGTAGACAAGTACACAACCCTGATAAATTATACTGGATAAAAACACTTTCCTATAAAAAAAACATGATGACATAAATACAGTGTCTTGAAATGTGATGTTTGTGAAAAGTCATTCAGCCCATTAGTGTTTCTTTTGACAAAATAATAACACAAACATCCCCCCCCCCCCCCAAGACACAGACACATCATATTTTTTTTTAGTAAGGATTGTCTGAGGACTGAGGGGAGGTTGGATGTATCATAAGGCCTGTCATTGAGTCAACTAGTGTGGTTTCGAATCCCCGGTTGTACGTGACAAGGAGTAGGGTCACCTGTCCAACCTCGTGGTTTTTTTCCGGGTCCTCCAGTTTCCTCCCACTGCTAAAGACCCCTACAGGCAAGCAAATTATTGAAATAAAATTAAACCATGTGTTAGTCCCGAAATGACCTAGTTTGTGTCGAGTGGAGGTTAAACCCCATCTCTCTCTCTCTTTCTCTCTCTTAGGGGGTTGGATGGCTGAATGGTTAGTGTGCGCGCGCTGTATCATAAAGTCTGTCATTGAGTCGACTGGCGTGGTTTCGAATCCCCGGTTGTACGTGGCAAGGAGTAGGATCACCTGTCCAACCTCGTGGGTTTTCTCCGGGTCCTTCTGTTTCCTCCCACTGCTAAAGACCCCTACGTGCAAGCGAATTATTGAAATAAAATTAAACCATATGTTAGTCCCAAAATGACCTAGTTTGTGTCGAGTGGAGGTTAAACCCCATTTCTCTCTCTCTCTTTCTCTCTCTCTCTCTCTGAGGACTGAGAACCAAAATATTTGTTTTGTATGGCCATAGATCATAAGATCTGTCATTGAGTCAAGTGTTGTATTTCTGATATCCCAGACATGTACGTGACAATGAGTAGGGTCGCCTGCCTAACCCCGTGGGTTTTCATTGGGTACTCGGGTTTTCCCCCCCAGTCCCAATTCTAAAGACAGGAGTTATTGATATAAAAATATACTGTATGTTAGTCCTGCAAAGACCGCTAGTCATTGTTGATTGGAAATTAAACTCTTTTTCTCTGTGTACACATTGGTGTGCACGTAAAAGATCCCTTGGTCGGTTTGAATTGGATGTAAGAGAAGGCTGTAGCGCCACTGTCCGGAAAAATGTCCTGCATAGCACACTGTATGGCGTATATTCGTATTCATTAGTCCAGTCGGAGCTGAACAGTAGGACGTTAAACCCCATTTCATTTCATTTCCCTTATTATAGCAAACTGTATGGTGTACAGCCGTATTCAGCAATTTATAAATAACGGCCTATGTATGGTGATGGTCACAAGGTGTCATTCTGTTCTTTTTTAAATTTAAATACTTTTTATTTTAATTCCTTTCAAACAAGACTTAAGAAATTAAGACTTTTTTAGTTTATAAAAGGTGATGGAAATGATTTAAATTTATTTTCTATTTCTGTATTTGTTAGAATAATTGGGATGCACTCAATAGTTTTTAACTGTTTATTAAAATAACTCCATTACTCTACCATTTAAAGGGTGTCCCAAAAAACCTGCTCCATCTTTAAACAATATAATTATAGCAATAATATTTTAAAATACTTCACATACTTTTAATACAATAATATTTTAAAATACTTTACATACTATTAATCATTATATAATATATTTATAGCAATGATATTAATATTACTGGATAGAACAAATCGCATACTTTTAATACAACGGTATATAATATGCAAACGTTTATTTCAATTTCATTTACACTATATGTTCAAGATGTCTGCCTTTCTGTTTTATGACCAATGTCATACGATGTCTAAAATTGCTAATGGAGTCTTGATCATTTAGTGTTGTTATTTTCCCGTGTTTTTCTCTTGCATATATAATATGCAAACGTTTATTTCAATTTCATTTACACTATATGTTCTAGATGTCTGCCTTTCTTTTTTATGACCAACGTCAAACAGTGTCTAAAATTGCTTGATCAGTTAGTGTTGTTATTTTCCCGTGTTTTTCTCTTAATACTAATAGTTTATTATAAATTATATGTATATGGTGTTGATTTTATTTTATAAACAGAATACTGGTTTAGAGTACGACAGATATTTACGAGAAGTTGTGTCCGTATTAGAAGAAGATGATGATTTCAGGAAAAAATTAGAAGCAGCCAATGTGTCGGAAATTAAGGTACTTACAAAGATTCTGAATGTTTTTTTTCTCACCACTCAAAGGTGGGTTGGATTCCTGATTGGTTAGCGTGTGCATGTATTATCATAAGGTCTGTCATTGAGTCAACTTGCGTGGTTTCAATTCCCTGGTTGTACGTGACAAGGAGTAGGGTCGCCTGTCCAACCTCATCCTGGTAATAACATAATAATAATGATAAATAAAAGCGTTGTCACACAGGTTACTGGACTTTGTAGTCAGATATGTTTAGGTCAACTATTCTCATGCTACTGCACAAAGCTTGTTTAGGGGATTGAGTGGTCCTTCGATTTCCTCCCACTACTAAAGATAACTGTACAGGGGCCTGTTTCACAAAATTTTACCTAAGATAAAATTCAAATTTTGGTAATTTGATTGGATAATATTAAATTGATTTTAGTGCTTAGCCAATCAAAATTGAAGTGTCTACTAAAATTTGGATTTTCATCTTTAGTTAAGATTTCGAGAAACAGGGCCCAGAATTCGCTAAACAAGTAAATGCGTTCAGAATGAGACAATTCTAGCCTTAATAATGCAAGAATTTGTTTTACTAGCAGGGGTCTAACATGTATGCTTTAGGTGGATCACGTGGATAAGTGGGTAAGACGCTGGCTCGCTAGCCTGGAGGTCTGGTGTTTGATCCCTGCATTGGCCGAGAAAGTTCATCCAGATTTTCCGGCGTGGTTTGCCCTTGTCAGTGATGCAGGACGGAGGGCCTGACAAGGACAGCGGTCTAGTCCTTTGGATGATACGAAAAACTGAGGTCCCGTGTATATATTGGAATGCACGTAAAAGATCCCCCTGCAGTTGGAATTCGATATAAGAGTAGGCGATAGTGCCGTTGCCCGGGCAAAATTTTCCCTCACAGCACACTGTATGCCGTATGCCCGTCTTCATTAGCCCAGTTCGGAGCAAAACAGTAGGACGTTAAACCCCATTTCATCTCATTTCATTTCATTTGTATGGTTTAGATCATAATGCCTGTAATGGTGTCGAGTGGTGTGACTTTGATTCCATGCTTGTGTGCGTCACAGGGAGAAGGGTTGCCTGCCCAATCTCATGGGTTTTCACCGTTACATCCCATTTCCTGCCACTGCTACGTATGTGCAAGCGAATTATTGAAATAAAATTGTTCCATAATATACCTTACCCAGTTATAGATGTGACTAATTTTTTTTAAAAGATTTGATTGATTTATGTATTTTTCAGGATGGCAGTATAGCTAGAAATTTAGAATTTGTAGGAAATCACATCAGAACCAAGTTAGATGAAATCAAGCGAAGAGAAGTCGAACGATTACAGGAGTTAGCCAGGTTAAAAATGAGGACAATGAAGGGTACGCAAGTCTTGCATAATATAGCCTATCATGGAGGTATGCCTCAGTTGTAATTTGTTGTTACTATGGTTACGTTTTGTTGCCATGCCAACCATAGTCACCTGTTCTTTTTGCTGCCTTCTAGTTACCTATAGTTACCATGGTTTATCACAGCTAAGTTTAAAACAACCTTTCTTTCTTTTTATTCACTTTTTATTTTATTTGTTCAGTAAAACCAGATTTTTGTTGATGAAACGAACTGTACCCTCTTTCCTAAATCATCCCCCCTCCCCCTTGTCAGTGGTGCAGGATGAGGTCCTAACAAGAATGTATAGACATTCGGATGGGATGAAATATAGGGTCCTGTGTACATATTGTCAAGCATGTTAAAGAACCCTTGACAGTTGAAACAAGAGTAGTGCAGTTGTCCAAAGAACCCTTGACAGTTGAAATAAGAGTAGTGCAGTTGTCCAAAGAACCCTTGACAGTTGGAACAAGAGTAGTGCAGTTGTCCAAAGAACCCTTGACATTTGAAATAATAGTAGTGTAGTTGTTCGGTCAAAATTTCCCTCATACATACTGTATGGCATCAACTGTCATCATTATCCCAGTCGGTGCAGAACAGTAAGACGTTAAATATCAAGGGTGCGGGGTGGGCGAATGGGGTCAAACGTGTGCGCTTTAGATTATAGGGTCTGTCATTGAGTCAAGTGGTGTGGTTTCGATCCCAGGCTTGTACGTATCAATCAAGGAGTAGGGATTGCTTGTTTTATCTTCAGGGTTTTCTCCAGGTTCTAAACCAGTTTCCTCCAACACGTGTGAAAAGTCAACTGTTTCTTTCACGCAAAATCCTCTAAACTTAGATCAGGGTATCCTTGTTTTTTGTTTTTTTTACGACCCATTATACCATTTCCCATTGATCAGAAGTTCACATATAGTTTTAAAGTATCGATACTCACTCAGGGTTCCCGCGGTCCTTGAAAATCCTTGAATATCCTTAAATTTAAAATTTCATTTTCAAGGTCTTGAATATCCTTGAATTTCGCGGAAATAGGAAAATATCCTTGAATTTCAGTTGAGATCCTTAATTTTGTTTCAGATGTCTTCAATTCCTTTTAAATATGAGATTATAACGATAGTTGGTAATGTTTTGGTTATTTTTAAGATGAAAAATTGTAACTTCAGGCTAAAAAATATCCTTGAAAATCCTTGAATTTGACGTATATCTATCCTTGAATATCTTTGAAAAAATGTTTGACGAAGCCGCGGGAACCCTGTCACTTCCCATTTACCTAAAGCTTTTCTTTCTATATTCTATAAATGAATTCAGTAATTCAATCTGATTACAATACAGATCTATATATCGTTCCGTTTTTTATACTTTCAATTGCCTCTACTACATGAAGATCTGACTGGGTGTTGCGATAGGTCGCGCCAGTGGTCATATGAGCAGCTTTGTACCCTATGATGTCAGACATTTGATTAACCAATCAGCATTGATGTTCCTAATGGATTACCCACAGTTCCGTGCAAAACACGTCTAAAGCTTGCCGTAACAGACCGTTTCATTGGCTAATCCCTAACACCATCCAGAACACGTCAATGATAACAACTCTTCCAGATCCCAGTGTAGTGAAGACAAGTAAAACAAAATTTTAAACTAAGTAAAAAAACGAAACGAAATAGGATCTGTGTTTTAATCAGATTGTTTGTAATTGGAACATAGTCAAATAATACTCTATTTATGAATAACAATTACTATGGTTTATTTCACCACAACGTTTCAACACGATTTCATAAATCGTTATCAAGCATGTAACACAAATAAATTTCCTTTCCCCGTCTCCTTGTGGTCATGGTTTATTGTAGCAAAATTATTTATTTTATAACTTTTATTAGTCTCTTGATAATGTTTTATTAAATATTAAATTAACAACCAAATATAAATTTAATAACCAATTTGAATATTGAATTGGTTAAACCCCATTTCTTCCTCTCTCTATTCAAGGGCCCGAGGGATTACCACCATATACCGTAGTTGTTATTCAAGGGTCCGAGGGACTACCATTTAGTTTCTATTCAAGGGCCAGTTTGTTTCTGATCATGTCTGATACTATGGTGATAGCCATATTTATAGAATCTGGTTTTACTGACGTCCTATAAGCTGCTGATCGTCATTTGAGAGAATTTGAATCTTTTACAAATTTGTGAAAGTTGAACATCTAAAAAAAAAAAAAAAAAAATAGAGAGGTTTCGCAACTTAACCGTTACACTTAGATTTAGATAAGTGCAAGTGTAACTACACATTATAACATTTCGCTAAATTCACACTAACAGTTACACTTAGTAGGTGGCGACACAAACTAGGTTCAGGGTATCAATATGCCTATATCACACGGATAGATCGATGAAGATGAGATTAGTAAAGCATGCACATGTTTTGTCTCAGCCTCTTCTTATTGTATCTACATGAAGGAGAAGGTCTTCTCTATGGATTTAGTTCGTGAAAAACCACGATTCGGAGAAAAATTGTGTGCTGGATCATAGAAATTAGATAAAGATTAGCTAAGTGTTGTGAACTTAGAGTTATGTAGGCTGCTATCCGTCAGACATACTTTTTGACATGCTCTTAATGCCATACGTCACAAAATCTAATGACGTTTAACCGTCTTTAAGTGTAAATGTAAAGTTGTGAAACCTCTCAAATATCCGTAATTAAATGTTAAATATTCAATCTATTTACATTTTAGTGTGGATTAAGCATGAATATTTAGATTTTGTCAGAAAAGTACAAGTGACGATGAGCAGCTATAGAGATATATCGACCATCTGCGATATAATAACTATTAAAAGTTAACAAAGTTGTATTTCTTCATATTTAAAACGTTTAAATCTTCACGGCAGCTTAAATAATTATCTATGATAACAAATTGTTAGACTAGGAACTTGTCTCCAACTGCTACTCATCGTGTTGTTCTTGAGGCTGACGCTTTTTGAAAATAGTGGGGTTTGATCGGCCGAATCGTTAGCATGTGCGCGCTGTATCATAAGGCCTGTCATTGAGTCAACTGGCGTGGTTTCGAATCCCCGGTTGTACGTGACAAGGTGTAGGGTCGCCTGTCCAGCCTCATGGGTTTTCTCCCGGTCCTCCGGTTTCCTCCCACTGCTAAAGACCCCTACATGTAAGCGAATTATTGAAATAAAACTGAACCATGTGTTAGTCCCGAAATGACCTAGTTTGTGTCAAGTGGACGTTAAAACCCCATTTCTCTCTCTCGCTCTTTTTTGAAAAAAAAAGCCCATGACTCGACCATTTCCAATACGATCGACATGAAACTCAGCATGTTTGTTCCTTGGACATTTGCACATACATTGACGGACTTGGATATTTGATATGTCGCAATTCTAAGATGGCTGCGATGACATTATCAAGCTTCGTTTCTGGTCCATATAGTATGCTGCTTCTTGGCTCTATTATCGCACAGAATTTCTTTTATGCAAAACAAATATTGTATTGATGAAATATGCACTGCCTCTGAATTCTATTTTTTTAAAATTGCTAATATTGCTAATTGTGCTAATAATTATAAAAAATGTTGTGACCACACCATAATACAGTTGTAATGCAACTAATAATGATAGATTTGTTTATTTTAATAATTTGGAATATTCTGCTTTTGTGAAAATCTAAACCATATGTAGTAGATTATTTTAATTGTATCATCACCATCTTTAGATTAATTTTCTCATGTTAAAGCTAAATCTGCCTATTGCAGGTCTTTCTTTAGGCCTGAAATGTTTTCTAAAGTATTAATTAGACATTAATTAACTGATCCAGGCCTTAATCAACTCTCGATGGCATCAGATTTCTCCGATATTAAATAGATTGGAATGGTTCAGCGATACTTTGATTTAATCAAATATGGAGGACCGAGACTTAGCTTCGATCAACCAGTACGGTGGTTGAAATAATTGCACACGTCTGTCAAACCTTCAAAGGCTAATATCTTCAATTGCAATAGAGTAATTTGAATGAAATTTTCAAATTATTCATTTTGCATCATCTACTTTCGAACTATTATAGCAAGAATGGCTAGTTCTTTATCTAAATCTTACATAATGTATCTTTAATAGAATGCTGAAAATAAATGCATTGTTAGAATCTATATTGGATAGGAGATAAACAAATAGATATATTAACTGTGATCTATTAACTGTGTGTTATTGAGTAAAACTGTGATGTATTGTAGACTAATATAGATAATAACTGTGATATATTAACTGTGTGTTATCAAGTAGAACTATGATATATTGATATAACACCAGGTGTTAATATACACACTGCTGATTTATTGATTATTAAATTAGACTAAAAAATATAGACACATATATACACCATACTTTTCAATTTCATCTAAAATTTATTACTTAAATATTAGTATAATAAAACCAAGTTTAATACTTGTCTTATTCAAGCATAATAACCCTAATAACTCATAGATCTAATAAATCATACGGCCTGTCATTGAGTCAACTGGCGTGGTTTCGAATCCCCGGTTGTATGTGACAAGGAGTCGGGTTGCCTGTCCAATCTCGTGGGTTTTCTCCGGATTCTCCAGTTTCCTCCCACTGCTAAAGACCCCTACGCGGACGCGAATTATTGAAATAACGTTAAAACCATATGTTGGTCCCAAAATGACCTAGTTTGTGTTAAGTGGACGTTAAACCCTATTTCTCTCTCTCTCCCTTATCTAATAATAAATATAAATAAACATTTACACCATAATTTTAATTATATCTGCTCTTTTATTACTTAAATATTAGTATAATAAAAACAAGTTCATATACTTGTCTTATTCAAACATAATAACCCTAAAAACTCTTATCTAATAAAAAAAATATAGACACATATATACACCATACTTTTAATTTTATCTGCTTTTTTATAAATTAAATATTAGTATAATAAAACACTAAATAAATCAATAGAAAACCAAGTTTAATTTCCTTCTTATTCAAGCATAATAACTCTTTTTTAAAGAACTTTTATTATATATTAGTATAGACTATAGAGACCTATGACTTAACCTAAACTAGATCAATAATAATCAATTTTCAATCAGTCACTGAACATGGCACCTGTCACCAAATTGAGTTTATTTTAATGTTTTTGACTGTACATGAGTTATTTAGTTAGTTAGTTATTTATTTAGTTATATTTTATGAGATTTTGGTAATTTTGTACAAAGTTTTATGCCTTCACTTATAAATATACGTAAAGAGTATTATCCTGCCTCCATTAAAACTGAAGTTAACTCTCAAAAGACAAGCAGGGTTGAATGGCTGAATGGTTAGCACGCTGTATCATACGGTCTGTCATTGAGTCAACTGGTGTGGTTTCGATTCCCCAGTTATACTTAACAAGGAGTAGGGTCGCCTGTCCAGCCTCGTGGGTTTTCTCCGGGTCCTCCAATTTCCTCAACTGCTAAAGATCCCCTACGCGCAAGCGAATTATTGAAATAAAATTGAACCAAATGTTAGTCCCGAAATGACCTAGTTTGTGTTGAGTGGACGTTAAACCCCATTTCTCTCTCTCTCCCTACTAGACTGGAGGTCTCTTTTTTCTGGCTTCAAATGTTATACAAATTATTATTTTGACATTATAATGACAATCCTATAATCCACTCTCTAGACCATCAGATGGCTTAGATATTAAATGCATTCAAGAGACTGTGGTGTCGAGATCACAGACATGAAAAACTAAATTTCTGAACAACTTTATTAAATGATGTGTTTGTATACTGGTATATTTTACATGTTGACAGCATTTTGTGTCCGCATACCTTTTATCTTTTCTTTTCGTTTTACCATGAAACAAAGTAGTGCTAATATTTTTTTTATGTATACGTATATAGTGTCTCTAGTATTTTACTTTCATTTTATTTTTTAATCTTTTATTTTAGGAGCAATAAAAGATTTCAAGATGCCCGGTCATTTAGATGTGATGAACCCTCATTCATTTGAAATGAAAGATTTGGAACATTTGATTAAAAAGGTAAAAACAATCTAGTCAGTGTAATTTGATTTGGCTCTTTATATTGTAGAACTTTGTACTACAGGTAGTTCTTGGGGTCCTTTATTGGGGGCCCAATATATATTCTCATTGATCATAAGGTCTGTCATTGAGTCGAGTGGCATAGTTTTGATTCCCCGCTTGTATGTGACAGGGAGTAAGGCCACCTGTCCAACTCGTGGGTTTTCTCTGGGTCCTCTGGTTTCCTCCCACTACTAAAGACCCCTAAGTGAAAATGAATTATTGACATAAAATTGAACCATATGTTGGCCCCAAAATGTCCTAGTTTGTGTCGAGTGGACGTTAAACCCCATTTCCCTCTCTCTATATTCTGATGACTGAGGCAGATTGAGGTTGTCTAGTAGTATGTCCAGGTATTTCAACCTCTTCTTCTGTGGGGATCACGTGGCTAAGTGGGTAAGACGCTGGCTCGCTAGCCTGGAGGTCGGGTGTTCGATCCCTGCATTGGCCGAGAAAGTTCAGTGATGCAGGATGGAGGGGCTGACAAGGAAAGCTGTCTAGTCGTTCAGATGGGACGAAAAACCGAGATCCCGTGTACACATTGGCGTGCACGTAAAAGATCCCTTGACATTTGGAATTCGATATAAGAGTAGGCCGTAGTGTTGCTGTCCGGGCAAAATTTCCCTCATAGCACACTGTATGTTGTATGCCCGTCTTCATTAGCCCAGGTTAGGAGCAGAAAAGTAGGACGTTAAACTCCATTTCATTTCATTTCATTTCTCTTCTTCTGTATCAACACCTTGAACTGCCAAGTTCCACTGAAAAAAAAATAATGTTGCTTTGGATTTAAAATAAAATGGTAGTAATATTTCGGTATTTTGAGGGGGGTTGGATGGCTGAATGGTTAGCGTGCGCGCGCTGTATCATAAAGTCTGTCATTGAGTCGACTGGCGTGGTTTCGAATCCCCAGTTATATGTAACAAGGAGTAAGGTTGCATGTCCAGCCTCGTGGGTTTTCTCCGGGTCCTCCGATTTCCTCACACTGCTAAAGACCCCTACACACAAAATAATTATTGACATAAAATTGAACCATATGTTAGTCCCGATATGACCAAGTTTGTCTCTCTCTGAGGTTGTCTAGATATTTCGATGACTTTTTCTGTATCTACACCTTGAACTGGCAAGTTCCACTGAAAAAAATAATGTTGCTTTGACTTTAAAATAAAATGGTAGTAATATTTCGGTATTTTGTATTGTTTAAACTTAATTAAATTTTTTTTTACCATCAGACGACAACCGATCTGGAAGAATTAGATAAACAACGACGTGAAGAATTTAAAGAATATGAAATGGAGAAACAGTACGAAGAAAAAGAGAAATTAAGTCATTTATCACCCGAGGAACAGAAGAAAGAACAAGCACGTTTAGAAGAATTAAAAAAGAAACATGGAAAACATGAAAAAGTTAATCACCCGGTAAGTACTGGATAATGTGGACTTATTAAATGGCATGAAACACTGAATCATCCTGGGGGGTTGGATGGCTGAATGGTTAGCGTGCGCGCGCTGTATCATAAAGTCTGTCATTGAGTCGACTGGCGTGGTTTCGAATCCCCGGTTGTATGTGACCGAAGTAGAGTCGTGGGTTTTCTCCGGGTCCTCCGGTTTTCTCCCACCGCTAAAGACCCCTACGCGCAAGCGAATTACTAAAATAAAATTAAACCATATGTTAGTCCCGAAATGACCTAGTTTGTGTCGAGTGGACGTTAAACCACATTTCTCTCTCTCTCTCTCTCTGAATCATCCAGTAATTACTGGATGATCTGAAAAAGTTAATAATCCAGAATGTACTGGATAATCTGGTCTTATTAAATAGCATGGAAAGGTTAATGACCTGGTAAGTACTGGATAATCTGAACTTATTATGGTGCACAAAATAAGGTCAGACCCTATTTCATTTATTCGTTACTGGATAATCTTGACATATTACTGGAAATGAAATAACATTAGTCCCAATTTCATTCATTACTGGATAATCTTGATTTATTAAGTGAAATGATTCGTCTTTAATGTCTTCATTTTCTGCACCAACTGGGCTGATGAAGACAGGTATATTCCATGCAGTATACAGTGTGGGGAATATTGTCTGGACAGTGACATTTTTGCCTACTGTTCACCAAATTATTGAAAAAAAATTGAAGCATATGTCAATCCAGAAATGAACTAGTTTGTGTTGAGTGCACATTAAACCACATTTCACTAACGATTTTCCAGTGTAGTTTAAATCATTTGTTATTTAAATCATTTGTTATTTAAGTCATTTTTTAAATCATTTGTTATTTAAGTCATTTTTTAAATCATTTGTTATTTAAGTCATTATTTAAATCATTTGTTATTTAAGTCATTATATTATTCATTATTTAAATCAATCATTATTAATATCATTTGTTATATGAATCATTTCTAATTTATATCATTTGTTATTTAAATCATTATTAAAATCATTTGTTATTTAAGTCATTTTTTAAATCATTTGTTATTTAAGTCATTTTTTAAATCATTTGTTATTTAAATCATTATTTAAATCATTTGTTATTTATATCATTTTTTTTACAGGCCAGTAAAGATCAATTTGAGGAAGTTTGGGAAAATCAGGATCATTTAGATAAAGAAGATTTTGAACCTAGAACATTTTTCAACTTACATGGTATGCAATTAATAATAATCAATTACTCTGAGATTTCGTTCTTTAAAGTTGGTGAGCTGGGAAAATTGGTCAAATGTGCCAAAAACCGGCCATGGGCAAGCGCGTATAAGAAGGCTTAACAATTGCAATCCAATTCCTGTCCAGGCAAAATTTCCCTCATAGCACACTGTATGGCGTATGCTAGTCTTCATTAGCCTAGTAGGAGTAGAACAGTAGGATGTTAAACTCCATTTCATTCATTGTTTAAAGATACATTATGAGAGATAAGATAAAGAGATGGCAGTTCTCGCTATAATAGTTAAAAACTAGATAGTGTAAAGGTAATTTGCTGAAAATTTCAGTCAAATTGATCCACTATGAGCCGAGAACGAAGCGGGTGAAATTTTCGCATAGTCTCGGTCATCATTACTAAAATCGTTAATATAAACAGCATAGTCTCGATTATCCACTGTTTTGATTTAATTATCAATGGCCGTTAAGCGGCATCTAGGAATCTAATCCAGCCAACATCGAAGGCTAGCCTTGACATCGAGAGTTTATTATGGTCTGGATAAGTTAATTAATGTCTAATTGATAATTTAGATAACATTTCAGGCTTAAAGAAAGACTTGTAATAAGCAGATTTTGCTCTTGCATAATGCATGTTTAATCTAGATGTGATTTGAAATCTAAAGTCGAACCAGACGTTATATTTAATAGAGGCATGTTAAAGTAATTTTTTACTGTGAGATCTTTGTAATGTTCTGAAAGAAATGTGACATAATGTTTTTTTTTTCTATAGATACTAATAGTGATGGTGTTTGGACTATAAATGAAGTTGAGGCTCTCTTACAAGTAGAGGTATTTATTATTGGTCATATTTAATCAATGTCAAGGTTATTCTTGTTGTTATGGCTCAGTGAGTTTGTGTGTTGGCCGTGATTTTCAATCATGGTCTGCTACTGTCGGTGGTGCAAGAGAATGTATTTTGGCAAGGGAAAATGTGTAGTCATTTGGATGGGACAAAAAGAAATAGGTCCTGTGTACTTATGGACGTTCACCTGAAAGAAACCTTAACATTTGGAATTCCAAATAAGAGTAGTTCGTAACGCCGCTTTCTGTGAAACATTTCCCTCATAGCACACTGTAAAGCGTATATACCTGTTACCTGTCTTCATTAGCCCAGTCAGTGCAGAACAGTAGGACATTAAACCCCATTTCATTTAAAGTCACTGCAGCTCCAACATGGTTGATGTGGGGGGGGGGGGGTAAATGGCCGAATAGTTAAATAGTTAGCACGTGCGCGTTGTGTTATAAGGTCTGTTATTTAGTCAACTGGCATGGTTTCGATTCCCTGGTTGCCTGTCCAATCTCAACGGTTTTCTACAGGTCCTCTCACTGCTAAAGACTCCTATGTGCAAGCATGTTATTGAAATAAAATTGAACCATACGTTAGTCCCGAAATGACCTAGTGTCATAGGCGTACGGGGAAATTTTTGATTGGGGGGGCGGTGGTGGTTGGTGCCCAAAAAATGTAGTTAGGTTCTTAGTATGTTACATAATAATAATAAATTCGCTGTTAAATTGGACACATTCAAGAACACAATATCTTTTTTTATACAACTTTTACAAAATACAATTGTGTGCCCAAATTTTCCCAGCATTTGGTGCCCAAAATGGGGGGGCAGCCCCCAGCCCCCCCAGCTCGTACGCCTATGCCTAGTGTGTGTGTGGAGTGGGCGTTAAACTCTCTCTCCCTCCCCGACATGGTTAACCATCTTGTATTTTTCTATTCTAGTTAGATAAAGTCGCCCCCCCCCCCCAGCCCCCCCAGCTCGTACCCCTATTTTTCTATTCTAGTTAGATAAAGTGTACGGAGAGAAAGATCAAGAAGAAGATGACCCGATTGAAAGAAGCGAAGAAATGAATCGAATGAGAGAACATATTTTTACGGAGATTGATCAAGATCGTAACTTTATGATTACTCAGGAAGAATTCTTGGCGTACACCGGACCAAAGGGAGAAAATAAACAATTTGAAGAAAATGATGAATGGAAGGTGATTTTTGTGAATTGTTTTCTTCAGTTGGGTTTGAATAGTATTGCATGACCAAATTCCAAAATGAATTTCAGTTCTCAACTCTCACTTGAAATGCCGTCTTCAGATTTTCTGGCGTGGTTTCCCCTTGTTAGTGATGCAGGATGGAGGGCCTGACAAGGACAGCTTTCGATATAAGAGTAGGCCGTAGCGCCGCTGCCAGGGCAAAATTTCCCTCATAGCACACTGTATGACATATGCCCGTCTTCATTAGCCCAGTATAGGAGCAGAACAGTAGGACATTAAACTCCATTTCATTTCATTTCATTTCAATGTAGTAACATCTATGTCTAGATAGTAGTTGCAAGGAGGACTGCACCACACACAAACAATTACACAAGACAAATCTACGGACAAGACACAATATACAGACATCACAAACAGCAATCGTACATATCATTATCAGATCGTGAATGGTTCCGGGAGATAGCCATAAGTGCCTACTGCGTTGAACAGTCCCAGGCCTGTATTGAAATGAAATGAAATGGGGTTTAACGTCCTACTGTTCTGCTCCTAACCTGTAAAAGAAAGGGGGTGTGGATAGCCGAATGGTTTGTACGTGCGCGCTGTATCATAAGGTCTGTCATTGAGTCAACTGGCATGGTTTCGATCCCCGGTTGTACGTGACAAGGAGTAGGGTTGCTTGACCAACCTCGTGGGATTTCTCTGGGTCCTCCGGTTTTCTCCCACTGCTAAAGACCCCTACGCACAAGTGAATTATTGAAATAAAATTGAACCATGTGTAAGTCCCGAAATGACCTAGTTTGTGTCGAGAAGAAACCCCATCACTCTCTCTCTCTCTCTCTCTCTCTCTCTCTCCTATCTACCCTAATGACCACAGACCGCGTTTACTGCTCCCTAATTAACCTGAACTACTGCTCCCTGATTAACCTGAACTACTGCTCCCTGATTAACCTGAACTACCCTAATGACCACAGATGGCGTTTACTGCTCCCTTACTGACCCAAATCGATCTAAAAATAGAAACGTCATTATTTCCATTTGCACAGATGTATATGCTCTCTTTTTTTGCAGACGCTCGATAACGAGGAATTATTCGATGATAAAGAATATCAAGATTTTATGAACGAGCATCATCGTCAACAACAACAACAACAATTAAACGTAAATATTTACAATTATTTCTTATATCCAATTTGTTTTTACAGACCCTTGACCAGGAAGATAATTTCACTGATGATGAATACAACGAATATGTTGCGCAACATCATGCCCGGGCAGCTGCTGAAGGTCTTAATGTAAATGTTCATTCATTATCAACTCCTATCTTCTTTCCGTAACAATCGTTAGAATTTATAAAGATGCATAGTTTTAGCTTAAGGCACGCTTTCCATTTACACGTTTTAAAAAAAAAAAGCAGCCTTTCTGCAAAAATTGCAGAAATGTTTGTGGAATCACATGTGAGGATTCGTCTTTACAGCTTGACATAGTTTTACGTTCATTGATTTTGTGGAAGAGAACCAGTGTTTGTATGCCAGAACGTAAACATCTGCATGCGCACAATTCATGCATATAAAAGAATTTCGCTCATCGAGCAACTATTTGTCCGAGCGCAGAAACACTTAAATGGAAACGGTCGCATTAAATTTAGATTTGATCAACTGTTTTTGCCAGCGTAAATGAGTACATGGAAAGCGAGCTTAAGAGGTAGACCTGAAAATATTTTTCATGAGAGAGTCTAATTTGGCCGGCAATAATTCATTGGTTTTTAATAAGCACTACTCATTTGGTGCTAAATCTATTTGTTAAGGCCAGCTCAATTTGGATCAAGGTTGCTGAGACTTCAATAAGGTTTGGACACGTAATTGTTGGAGAGATTGTAGGTTAGGGTTAGGGTAAGCATTAGGGCTTGGTCCAGGGTTAGGGTTGGGATTAGCGCTAGTAGCCCAGTTTACATCTCGTGACCTTTGACCAAACCTGAAGTTGGCCTTATCAAATAGATCTAACCACTCATCTGTTATTGCAATATGATTGACATGAAGCGTGGTTTATTGGTTCCTTGAAATTTACTCATCGATTTATAAATTTACAAGTTTTGAGAGAGAGAGAGAGAAAAATGGGGTTTAACATCCACTCGACACAAACTAGGTCATTTCGGGTCTTATATATGGTTTCATTTTATTTCAATAATTCGCTTGCATGTAGGGTTCTTTAGCAGTGGGAGGAAACCGGAGAAAACCCACGAGGTTGAACAGACGACCCTACTCCTTGTCACGTACAACCAGGGAAGCCAAACCATGCCAGTTGACTCAATGACAGACTTTATGATACAACATATTTTAGCTTGCTGGACTTCTCCTTTCAAGCAAGGGGGTGGGATAACCGAATGGTTAGCGCGTGCACTTTGTATCAAAAGGTCTGTCATTGAATCAACTGGCATGGTTTCGATTCCTCGGTTGTACGTGACAAGGTGAAGGGTCGCCTGTACAAACCCTGTGGGTTTTCTCCGGGTCCTACAGTATGTGAAAGCGAATTATTGAAATAAAAATCTAACCATGCATTAGTCCCGAATAACCTAGTTTATGTCGAGTGGACGTTAATTAAGCCCCATTTCTCTCTCTCTTTTTGGCATAATCCCAGATTTCATTTAGTGTAACTGGGTCATAGATTATTAGAATCAATCATTCTAAATTGAATAGTTATAGTCGTCATTTCATTTAATCTTGGTCATAGATTATTAGAATTGAAATTTTAAATAGTTATAGTCGTCATTTCATTTAATTTAGTTCTAATTCTTTTAAAACTTGTGCATCTTTATATAAGTTCACTAATTTATCTCAATTAACAGTGATTTTTTTTTCTGTTAATATCGGTTGCCGGTCCTTAAAATCTATCGCTTGTCTTCAGTTCTGTGATTTTTTTTATTTTCTGCACAATTTATCTTATCTTTTTTCATTTTTCTTTATTTTGTTTTATCGTTAATTTAGTTTGACTTCCAAATGGGAGAGGGTGGGTGCGAATTACTGTTTGCTCTAGATCGAGGATTTTCAGCTGTACAGATATTTTAGATTTCCATAGTAAAGTGTTGTAGTGACATTTCGCTAGCGGAGATGGCTCGAGGCCCATAATGAAGGGGTCTGGGTGACCTCCCCCCTAAAAATTGAAAAATTGAAACGAGATAGATGCATCTCACATTTTGACCCAGACCAGAAGAGGGTCCACCTCCTGGATCTAGGTCTGTCATTGAGTCCAGGGGAGTGGTTTCCATCCCAAGCTTGTCTGTGACAAGAGGTAGGGTCGCCAGCCCAAAAATTGTGGGTTTTCTCCGGGGCCCCTGTTTTCCCCTTTAGCTTTTAAATCACATGGGGTAATCTGACATTCATTGCTTTAGAACAGTCACAGTGCAGAAAAGTAGGAAGTTAAACCCAATTTCATTAACTTATTTTAAATGATTTAGTAGTAACGATTTTCTGAAGTAGTATTCGTAATTTTATTTTATTTTGATACTAGCGGATGACCTGGCACTGCACGAGTTGAAGGTAGTATAACTCTGAAACGGCAAGCGGTAGTCCATCGCCACCAGGCCTATGTTACTCCCCGGTCTGGGCTAACCCTTTACACCAAATTTTAGCCTCGGAACAGCCCTAGTGTAGCTGCCAACCCCTGACAGACAGTCGACAATCACAAATATTAGTATAGATTGGGTTTTGAAGGATTGGTTTTTAATTGCATGACTTGTGATTATGGTATCATATTATACATACATTGGGTTTTCAAGGGGGTGGCTAAGTGGGTAAGACGCTGACTCGAAGTTCGTCAGGATTTTCCGACGTGGTTTCCCCTTGTCAGTGGTGCAGAACAGAGGGCCTGACAAGGACAGTTGTTTAGTCATTTGGATGAGACGAAAAACCGAGGTCCCGTGTATACATTGATGTCCACGTAAAAGATCCCTTGGCAGTTGGAATTCGATATAAGAGTAGGCCATAGTGCCGCTGTCCAGGCAAAATTTCCTTCATAGCACACTGTATGGTGTATACCCATCTTCATTAGCTCAGTCGTACCAGAACAGTAGGACATTAAATCCCATTTCATTTCATTTGGTTTTGAAGGGTTTGAAAGGATGGAGTTTAATTGTATGACATGATGGGGCTATGGTATGTTTGAAAGAATGTATGACATGATGGGGCTATGGTATTATATATACCTTGTCCCTGTACTGATATTAAAGTTTTACTGATAGTGTTTATATTTTGAATTAAGGAGGAACATGAGGGCTATGGTTATGATGATCGTGATAGCGAACATGAGGATGTAAGTTGGCCTTGACACCCATTTCCCTGAATTATCAAACTTTTACCCAAATACCTTATTCCCAGAAAGTTGATTCCTTTTGCTCTAATAATAATACAACTAATGTCCCGTTCCCCACCTGCTGCCTTACCCTTTCTTTCTTACAGGATGCACTTTTTAATAACATTATTGACAAACATAAATCACTACATCTCATTGATTAAATTATAACCCAATGACATTGATATTACAAATCGACACAGTCTCATTGATATTACAAATCAACACAGTCTCATTGATATTACAAATCGACACAGTCTCATTGATATTACAAATCGACACAGTCTCATTGATATTACAAATCAACACAGTCTCATTGATATTACAAGGAGGTGGATGGCCGAATGGTTAGCATTTGCACGCTGTATCATTGATTCAACTGGCGTGATTTCGAATCCCCAGTTGTACGTGACAAGGAGTAGGGTCGCCTGTCCAACCTCGTGGGTTTTCTCCGGGTTCTCCGGTTTCCTCCCACTGCTAAAGACCCCTACGCGCAAGCGAATTATTGAAATAAAACAATTCAACCATATGTTAGTCATTTTCTAACCTTCATAGATCCCTCCCCACCTTCTCTGTATCCCCTTTTGTGAGTGATTCTAAACTAAACCCTTTCTTCGATGTAAATAAAATCACTCATGTTTAACCTCCAGAAGTCCCTGCTCTCCCCATCCCTTTTTAAATTTTAAAAACACCAACTTAAATCATTCTTCGTTAAGTTTTTGATATCAAATTTAAATTCGTCATTCAAGTAACTGTATTAAACTAACTTACCTGTCCCTTTAAACTGTATTGATGCATTTGATTGGCTTGCCCCTTTAAACGGTATTGATGCATCTGATTGGCTTGTCCCTTCAAACTATGTTGATGCATTTGATTGAGAATCTATTAATAGTATCATAAATCTGTTAGTAGTAACAGAGTATCTTATTGACAGCATGTTTAACAAGGTTATTTTTTAGATTATGATAGTTATTCCCCTTGATTCAGTAAGGTTGCTCTTTTATAATCTAGCTTTAGTCACATTGTTAACCTTTTTCTGCATATAACAAGTTCCTAGGCAGTTCAACGTTAAGTGCTGCTCTGACAAAATATTGTCACATACAGGAAATGTAGTAGCCTGCTTTAATTGAAATTAAAGCGGAAATCGCAAATTTTTAAGTTATATTTTTAAAATTTATTAAAATAAAGCCTGAAAATAGATGGTATCCATAAACAGTCCTACCTTGTTAAAGATTAATCCTATAATTCACTATTGCCAGCTGAGAAATTGGCAAAAATATCATTTTCCTCTTCATTTTCAAATGTTTGAAAAAAGCTACTCAATGGTGGAGAATAGAAAACAAGGGAGGTAATTGGGAGGTACTTGTGTTATTATTTCCAGTGTAAATGAGTTTTAAGTGTGAGAATGACACCTATGATCGTATAATAGTGAGTTGACAACCTATTGAGCAAAAGACATAGAAATAATTATGTTTTGACTTTCTTACAAAATTTGCAATTTCTGCTTTAAGATGGTTATTTGTTAGTAAATCTCTCATTATATGTTCATCTTAGTTTGTAATAGTTTATATCTAGTCATTTGGATGGGATGAAAAATCAAGTTCCAGTGTATGGATTGCCATTCATGTAAAAGAACCGTTAACAGGAATTTGATAAAAGAATAGGTAGATGCTCCTTTATCCGGGAAAAATTTCCCTCATAGCACAGTAAAGGGTCAAACAGAAGTTATATTACTGTATATATGGCGCATGCCTGTCTTTATTAGCCCAATTTCTAATATATGCCTGAATTGAAACATGAAGTTTGAGGAGGTCCTGTGCATGTTATAATTTGAATGACATTCAAACAATGTCTAGTAGTTGAATGTTTTAGAATCAGACTTTTTATGTTGACAAACTTATTTTTTTTCTTGTTTTTATTTTGTTTTTGTATTTAAATTGTCACTAGATGTATTTTGAGGAAGATGATGTAAGTGTTTATATATGTATGTATATGGATGTCAATCTCATTGATTATGATTTTATCTCTTAGCTCCTGATACGTGTAAATATTAACCAACACCAGTTCCCCATAAATATTGACTACAGCCCAGTTCCCCATAAATATTGACTATGGCCCAGTTCCCCTTAAATATTGACTACAGCAAGATCCCTGTAAATACTGACTACAGCAAGTTCCCTGTAAATACTGACCGCCCCAGTTCCCTGTAAATATAAGAAAAAAGGGATGTTATTTACCTTAAGTCACAGAACTAGTACAGTCCTTAAATGTGACTTGAGTTGTTTGAGGCATTTGAGCAGGGGTAGCCACATCTTCAGTAGAAGGCTTGATCTCGCTTTAACATCTTATCAAGGCCTTCACATAATACCCTGCATATTTCAGCACCAATTTCAATTGGGTATTCACTCAGCTTGTGAGCCTATCAGATTCCTCGATCATCGCAAATACCAAGTCTCACGCTTTACAGCTAAAATGTCTACCTGTGATAATTGAGTTGCAAAGTTCAAAGTTCGTTCAATGTCAAGGTATCCATGGAGGTCCCTATGTCACAACCTCTGATTGAACGCTACTTTTCACATGTTTGCAGATAACATAGTTATAAGTTCGGGAATTGTAAAGTAATCTAGCAACGTCCAGATGTTGTAAAACACTTCAGTCGGTGCTTCAGGAACATGAGGTGGCAAGCCTTTTATATACTATACCTCCATTTGGATGGATGGTCGAATGGTTAGCACGTGCGCGCTGTATCATAAGGCCTGTCATTGAGTCAACTGGTGTGGTTTTGAATCCCCAGTTGTACGTGACAAGAAGTAGGGTCGCCTGTCCAACCTCGTGGGTTTTCTCTCCGGGTCCTCCGGTTTCCTCCCACTGCTAAAGACCCTTACGCGCAAGCAAATTATTGAAATAAAGTTAAACCATATGTTGGTCCCGAAATGACCTAGTTTGTGTCGAGTGGACGTTAAACCCCATTTCTTTCTCTCTCTTTCCGGTTTATATTCCGACACGGTTTCCCCCTAGTCAGTTTGCCGGAAGGAGGGCCTGACAAGGAAAGCTGTCTAGTTGTTCGGATGGGATGAAAAACCGAGGTCCTGTGTTTACATTGGCATGCACGTAAAAGATCCCTTGGCAGTTGGAATTCAATATAAGAGTGTTCGATGTAATTGTCGCTGCCTGGGCAAAATTTCCCTAATAGCAAACTGTATGGCGTATGTCTGTCTTCATTAGCCCAGTTCGGAGCAAAACAGTAGGACGTTAACCCCCATTTCATTTCATTTCACAAATGTTTTTTTGGTAGCAATATCAGTTACTAACTTATTGTTTATTTTTTTCCATTTTCTGTGAAATAACAACAACGCCCTGTTGTCTTTGATTAAACAGACTCGGACTCAACAATGGTACTCTGTTGTCCATGACTACCGAATTCTGTGATCTGGTATTAGACACCTTTGCTTTCAGGGGGGTGTGTGTGTGGCCGAATGGTTTAATGCATCCGCTTTAGATCATATGGTCTGTCATTGACTCAAGTAGTGTGGTTTTGATTCCCCGCTTGTACGTGACAAGGCGTAGGGTCGCCTGTCCAACCTCATGGATTTTCTCTGGGTCCCCTGGTTTCATCCTACAGCTAATTAAAGACCCCTACATGCAAGAAAATTAAAATAAAATTGAACCATATGTTAGTCTTGAAATGACCTAGATTGTATCGAGTGGATGTTAAAACCCATTCCCTCCTTTATTCCAGAAAAATAGATCTGGTGAAGTTAATTGTATGTGACAGTCTTTTCTTTTCATTTACTTACATTAGTCGTCTCAAATTAACCAATTTCTCTTTTCTTGTTCTTGTTTTTATTGTTATTTATTTATTCTTCAGGTACATCCAAACGTGCAGAATATGCAGATTCCTCCTGGTAGTCCACAAGATCTTCATTTACAACAACAGCAGCAAATATTAGCAGCTCAGCAGCAACAACTGCATCAGCAACAACAAGCTCAGTTTGCTCAGCAGCAAGCCCAACAACATCTACAACAACAACAAGCCCAATTTGCTCAGCAGCAAGCCCAACAACAATTTGCTGCTGCCCAGCAACAACAGCTACATCAACAGGGTCAGGGTATACAACAGGTAGAGATCGTTTATCATTCACAACAAATCCATTAGATGCTGGGCTGTGGGGAGGTTAGGATGGCCTAGTGGTCTAGAGTCTCGCGCTTCGAGCTATAGCTGGTCGAGGTGGATGTCCAAATGGTTAGTGCGTGAGCGCTATATCATAAGGTCTGTCAACTGGCGTGGTTTCGATTCCCCAGTTTTAGATGAGTAGGAGTAAAGTCGCCTGTCCAACCTTGTGGGTTTTCTCCGGGTCCTCCGGTTTCCTTCCACTGCTAAAGACCCCTATGCTCAAGCAAATTATGGAAATAAAATTGAACCATGTTAGCCCCGAAATGACCTAGTTTGTGTTGAGTGGACATTAAACCCCATTTCTCTCTCTCTCTCTCTCTTTCCTCCCACTGCCGAAGACCTCTATGTGCATACGATTTATTGATATAAAATTGTACCATATATTAGTCCTGAAATGACCTAGTTTGTGTCGTGTGTGGATTGTTATTGTGATATCGGTTTTGACTTAAAGTCACTTTGTTTCTGAGTCCTTTATTAATTTTTATAAGCAGGGTGTTCCAGCCCAAGGAATGCAAGGGTCTCCAGTCCAACAACAAGGTTTACATGGACAACAACCACCTGTTCAACAACAACAACAACAACAGGTCCCTGTTCAACAACAAGGTGTACCAGTACAACAACAACAAGGTGTACCAGTACAACAACAACAAGTCCCTGTACAACAACAACAACAGCAACAGCAAGCCCCTGTGCAACAACAGCAACAGCAGGTTCCTGTCCAGCAACAACAGCAACAGCAGGTCCCTGTCCAGCAACAACAAGTCCCTGTTCAAAATGCTCAGGTACATTGATTTAGATATTAATACATCTTGCCTCCAAAATGATGCATTTTGATTCGTCTTAACCCTTTAGCACGCAATCCGTCCTAATTGAAGACCACCCCCAAACCACCCAAGTCACACGCCACCAAGATCTAATGAAGGGTTCTATGATAGGACAAGCTTTTCACATATCTTGGTGGTTTCAGGTGGTCTAAGGCAGGGGCTAAGTGAGAAGGACGCAATGACATGCTTTGCATCATGGTTTTGAGTTTTTGCCCCCCCCCCCCCTTTGCAAATTGTAAAAATCATGCGGTATCAATGCAGTTTTCAACATTATAATCATAACCATGATGCTTGACCAGTATCAAACATATACCGTGGGTCGGATATGCTACAATATTACTCAGCGACCCTCCCCTGCACACTCGTTTAAATATTGTTTTTTGGGGGCTGGACGGGATCTTGTTTTTCATGCAAAGTCATGAGTCGTACCACGTCCCTGGTCTCGCAGATCCAATTTCGTTTCGTTTTTATAGTTCAAAATTTCGATTTTACTTGTCTTTCCTACACTTGGATCTGGAAGTGTTGTTATTTAACTCGTGTTCTGCTTGAAATGAGGGGTCAGCCAATCAAATGGTCTGTCGAATCGAGCGTTTGACCTTTTTTGCGCGGAACTATGGGTAGACATTAGCAGCAATAGAAATCAAAACAAAGCAAAAGTAGATAAAAAATACATGGCGGTCGCTAATTGGTTAATCGAATGACTGACGTAATCAGGCCAAATGTCGCTTGCTTGGTACGTGAAGTCATAGAACGTGAACTCTTATTATAACTTGTCAGATCTTCATGTAGTGTAGGCCATCGAAAGTATAAAAATGAAACGAAATATAGATCTATAATTTAATTAGATTGCTGGTCTCGAGAACAAACTGACAGTCTAGAATGAAATGAAATGAAACGGGGTTTAACATCCTACTGTTCTGCTCCGAACTGGGCTAATGAAGACAGGCATATGCCATACAGTGTGGCTCCATTATTATAAGTGACGATTATATCTGTTTGTTTCACGGTTTTAACTCATTCCTCTCTTCTTTTATTTTTTGCAGCCAAATCAAGGTCATCCTAATCAAGTCTAGAAACTCTTAATCCTTAATCATCTACATGGAAGATCTGAAAACAAAAACAATTAAAACCAAAATGAACAAGAAAAAACAAAATTCAAATTGAAAGTAGTACAAATTGAAAGTAGTACAAATATTTTGTGTAATTTGGCCGATTAGATATATATTCATAATGTAAACAGGGTAAGTGCCAAATAAGTTTCTGAGACTTGGTAAAATTTTACTCAAGTTTAATCAGCCCTTAATTCATTAAATTCAGGGTGTTTTACGTTAAACTTTGAGTAAAAATTAAATATGAACACAACTTACCTAACCTTTGCTAAGGGGGCCAAGATACCGTAATAGTACCGGTATTCAGTTTTCTGAAATTTAAATTCTTTGTCACAATTTCCATTTCAAATTATTATAAATGACATATACATGTATATTGAAGGCAAAAAATGGATTGTTCTTTGTATGAACTTTTCTTGTTAAAGATGTTTGGGAATGGTAACAATTAATAACCTCAAAGGGAGATAACTGACCCTTTTCTTTCCTTGGAGTTCCAGATGTTTTTTCTTCGTTTCTGTTTTCAAAACTCTGATATACTTCAAATATATTTACTATATTTTATTTAATAATGCTTGAATTATTTATTTGATGTAATAGCAGCCCTGCCCTCGTTGTAAAGTTTATTTAAATCAGTTATAAATGTAAATTTAGCGATATAGATGCATGAGTCTTTCATGAAATATAAATGATTGTTTTTCATCATTTTTTGATTTCACACCGTATTCCATTTGCATGCATTATTTAGAAATTAACTTCCAATTTTATCTTTGAGACGTTGTCGTGGTTTTTTTTTAAGAACTATCGTCACAGTTTATCATGAGGAATGTATTTATAAAGGATTATGTTTTTCCCCCATTATACTGGATAACCATCTCTATAGATAATAATAGTCGTGATTATCAAGTCATTCATATTTTATCAAGTTAAGTACATCCAGCAATCATTTCCGACGATCTCATTTTATTGAGAGGAAATTTTTTTGTGTACTTAACCTCATGTACTGATATAGCTACAAGCTTAGACAACAGGCACCTGTCAAAGACCTTGTCAGAAACAAATTATGATATATTTATTTTGCTGGCCGAATGGTTAGAGTGTGTGGGTGTTGTATCATAAGGTCTGTCATTGATTCAACTGGTGTGGTTTCGATTCCCCGGTTGTACATGACAAGGAGTAGGGTAGCCTGTCCAATCTCGTGGGTTTTCTCTGGGTGCTCCTGTTTCTTCCCACTGCTAAAGACCCCTACGCGCAAATGACCTAGTTTGTGTCAAGTGGAAATTAAACGAGTAGGGTAGCCTGATCAACCTCATGGGATTTCTCCGGGTCCTCTGGTTTCCTTGCTCCTACTGCTCAAAACTCCTACACACAAGCAAATTAATGAAATAAAATTGAACCATATGTTAGTCCCAAAATTACCTAGTTTGTGTCGAGTGGATGTTGTACCCCCTCCCCTCTCTCTCTTTCTATTTGGAAACATAGTTTGGTTTCGATTCCCCGGTTGTACGTGACAAGGAGTAGGTCAAAACCTCGTGGGTTTCCTCCGGGTCTTCTCCCACTGCTAAAGACCCCATACGAGCAAGCGAATTATTGAAATAAAATTGAACCATATGTTAGTCGTGAAATGACCTAATTTGTGTCGAGTGGAGGTTAAACTCTCTGTCTCTCCATGGTGCCTGTTGTCCAGGTTTGTAGCTATTACTACTCTTTCTCCATTGAATTACAAGGTAATCCTATCCTTTTGTATATTTTGTTTCCTTTTGATTCTTGTAAAAATATCAAATCTTAATGAATTGTTGTATTTAGTCATTTGTCTTAGGCTTCAGTTTTATTGTTTAAAAGTAGATTTACCTCAGAGTTATACATTCTCTTTAAAACTTATTTTACTTAATCATTTTCTTGGGGGAGATGCCCTTATAAAAAAAGGCTAAGGGCCTAAGGCTCCACTAGTTCAAGTATTTAAGTACAGTCGACAATTGTGCATCGATTTTTGTCACATTTTCAAGATGGTGGTGATGACATCATATTCGTTGCCTGCTCCATATAATACCATGGTGCTTGTTTTTCTAACTTTAACCTTTTTAACCGTGGAAAATAGATTAGTGTCAGACATTAGGTCTTCTATTGTGAAATAATATACAAATTCTAATTAATTCATTGAAATTAATTTTAATTTGTCATTTGAATCAAAATTCTAGAGAAGCCAAGGGTGATAATCCATAAATCAAACAGGAGTTGTCTTTCCATTACAATTAAATAAATTTATTTTATAGATAGGTAATCTCTTTCACCACCCAGGAATTGAACCTTAACCCTCAGTGAGTGTGTTTAACTCCTGCCAGGGTTTGAACCTTGACCATCAGTGTGGAAGACGTAGACGTCAGAACCATCGAGATAATCTGGCAAACTGCGATCACGGTAACCATTTTGTTAGTCAGTCTGTAAGTTTAAGAGATCAACATTAGAACTGAACAGATATAAAATAATAAGTGTTCAGTGTAAACAAAAGGAATGATATTTCTGTATAAGATATATCAGGCAACTGTGTAAGATACAGTGGGCCAGTCACATGATCTGTGTAAGATACAGTGGGCCAGTCACATGATCTGTGTAAGATACAGTGGGCCAGTCACATGATCTGTGTAAGATACAGTGGGCCAGTCACATGATCTGTGTAAGATACAGTGGGCCAGTCACATGATCTGTGTAAGATACAGTGTGTCAGTCACATGATCTGTATAAGATACAGTGGGTCAATCACATGATCTGTGTAAGATACAGTCGACCAGTCACATGATCTGTATAAGATACAGTGGGCCAGTCACATGATTAGACAATGACAATTGAGTAAATAGTTGGCTGGACTACTTCCATATATGGTTCTGGTACACTCTATCCTTTCAGTCATAAGGGCCCACTGCTTTTTATAAGGCTGTTTGTTAAATATCTTTTAGCACATTAAAATAGACATCAGTCTTAAAGGAGAAATAAAGCTGTTTGTTAAATATCTTAATATAAACTTTATAGTAATAGAACCCATCATTCTTAAAGGAGAACTCTAGCTGTTGGCATTTTATTGAATAATGCATTTATTTAATTATGTACTATCAGTCTCAAAAATGTAAAACCGAAAGTAGAAACCATTTCAACTTTAAATAGCAGATATTGACACCAGCCGTCTCAGTTATTTAGATGGTTAGCGTCTTTATTCGTTAATTATAGTTGAAATGATTTGTTACTTTGCTTTGTGTATTTTTGAATAGAAACGATTGGTAATGACTGCGGTTTTCCTTTAATGAACTACCGAAATTTATTAATTGGAAAATGAATAAGAAAAATAGTGCTATCATTTTTCACTTTTTTTTATTTCATACTGGGTTATAAAAATTCATTTTAAATTCTCCATTCCATTGTAAAAATTGGCAGTTAGAAATTATTTTAAACTTGTAATTTTTTTTTTATGTTTTTTTTTGCCAGCTTTACATTATTATAAGTTTGTAAATATTAAAATTGTGTATATTTAAGATGTCCAGTTTTGTGTATTGTTGGAAAGTGGGATATTTAACATATTATTTTATTAAATTGTGTCTTTTTCTTTTTGTGTAGGTGTCAAATTGTAAAATATAGTCTCTTATTTATCTTTTCATTTCTCAATCGCTAGAATACATTTTTTTTTTAAAAAGAAATCTAGGTGAATTATTAAGCTGCTATTTATGGCTAGTTTCATCTGTTCAATTTCTAGCTTAATTCTTATGAAAAACTATTTTGTTTGTCTGCCAGAGGAGAGACACATATAGTTATATATTTGATGTTGAGGGAATCAACCGTAGGCCCGTAGTCCCCCCCCCCCCCCCGAAAAAAAGTTTCCCGACCATAGCTCTAAAATACCTACTGTAGACTGTGTCGGGTGTGCCCCCCCCCCCTAAAAACCTCACTGCCCCTCCGAAGCTAGCAAGCTGGCTACGGGCCTGATCAAGGGATATATTTTGTGTGTACTATAAACAATTATATTATAACTAATTAAATGTGTCTCAGAAGACAGAAAAATGCCAAAAAATAAAAAGGTTTGGTACTTAGATTTTATGTCTTGTAGTTCAAAAATAAATAGTCTCGATTATCTAGTCTGTTGGTTTAAATCTAATGTCATGTTTGCAAGGGGTAGATAATTTTGTTTGATTTTGTAAACCTGCTTGTCTTCTTTAAACCCTGTTTGTTGCAGCTTTTTCCATGGAAAAAAAATCACCAAATATATTTTAGACCTTTGACCATATCAGAAAATTTAGATTTTATTTTGTCGAGTAGAAAGAAAACTGTCCGAGAATGAGTAGTCTTGCTTCTCGACCAGATGCAGGAATATGTAAAATACAGAATATAGGAAAATGTTGTAAAAAATTCTCTACTTGTATCAATATTTGTAGAAAATATGAAATGGCTAGGTCTCTTTGATTTGGTTGACAATAAAATTGTTGATTTGTTTTGAATACAATTCAAAGGACTTGTCTTCATTGGAGCAGAAGATTAGGACGTTAATCCCCATTTTATTTCATTTCACAATTTAAAGGCATGGTAAAGATAGAATCCAAAAACTGTCAGTGTAAAGGACCTGTCTTTATTAGCCTGACGTCATAGGGTCAAAAGCCGCTCGCTTTACCCCTGATGCGACCTACCACTACAACTGGTTATAGATCTTTATGTAGTGCAGGTCATCGAAAGTATATAAAAAACCAAACGAAATAGAGGGTTAGTTATCCTATAGTTGTCATCTATGAGTTTCTTCCTAATCTAAAACTGCTGGCCGTCATTTCAGGAATTTCTTTCCAAATGCAATATTGTGAAGGCTGAGTCCCTAAATATTCATTGAATTTCTTTCCAACTTACTTCAATTTTGTGAAAGCTGGGTCCAAAAAAGGAATATCAGTACAAAAATATTCAGTATTTACAAAGATATGAAGAACTGAATATTTTGCAAAACATTCTGCGTTCTCTGCCGACAATGTTTGGGCAAAATATACTAATGTCCAAAAGAAAGTATACACACTAAAAATATGACTAAGTTTTGTTTAAATTAAAAAATGTGATAAAACTACACTGAACATGTCTCGTGCGTCCAAACTCAGTATTTCTAAGCAAATAAATGGCAAAACAAATTGACATGGTACCCAAATACCGCATACAATGGAAAAATGCACAGCGTATACTTTCTTTTGAACATTAGTACATTTTGATCGGCCGCCATTTTTTGTAATCGGATTGAATCCAATCTCGGAGATTATCTGCTGTTGATATCTTGGTTGCCTTAATTAAATGTCAAATAGTCGAATTCAGTAGATTTTTAGCGCCGGATTAAATTTTGTTCGAAAAATGCAAATGACGATCCGTGACTTTAGAAGGTAAATGTAGTTATATGATTATATTGTAAAAATAGAATAAAGTAAATTATTTTATTGTTGATGGAGATCTAAAACTTTTATAAATAAATCTTCTTTATTATTATAATTCACTGTGTTTATTTTTATACACCCACATTGAAATGTCATATATTGCCGTCGCCCCCGTCCATGGATATAAGAGTAGGCAAAATTTTCCTCATAGCACACTGTATGGCGTATGCCCGTCTTGATTAGCCCAGTTTAGGAGCAGAACAGTAGGACGTAAAACCCCATTTCATTTCATTTCCATCGATCCGGCATCCGCAATTGCTTGTGGTCGCTGTAGAGGCTAAGGGTAATGTCCTATACACAGTGTTTACGGTCATGAGACAAAGAAGAATATTGATTTTCAGCCATTACTGTCAGAGATATGGCCCTTGATCACTTTTAAAAATCTTTATACCTATATTTATACCAAAGTGTTAACGGTCAGGAGACGAAGAATGCTGTTGATTTTCACCGATTTCTGATAATTACTGCCAGAATAATGGCCCTTGGTCACTTTGAAACATCTTGTGGATACTGTAGAGGCTGAAGTTAATCTGATCGACTTCAGATTTATACACAGAGTTATGCTTTTGAACAATTTCTGATAATTACTACCAGAGTTATGGCCCTTGATCCTTTGAGAAATCTTGTGGATGCTCTAGAGGCTAAAATTAATATAAATTTATACACAGTGTTTAAGCTCTAGTTATTTAATGGGTTGTTACTCGTAATCAGATTTTAGTGTGTTGTAAATGTTTCCATTACATATAAAAGAAAAAAATTATGTTACAGCCCTTCTTGACTGCCCAGACGACTTAGCTGGTGTTGGCGTATGTTTGGTTGCCTGGCAACCTATCTTTTATGGCGAATAACGTGGGGTCCCTGGGGATTTGATCAGTTCCAAGAGACAGTGCTGTTGCACTAATCTCGCGATCCTTTGTTCAATCCTGATGTTGGCAGGGACAGATTATGGGATCAGCCACTGAAGGGCCCTAGTGAGCGACAGGTGGGTGGGTGTGTGGGGTTTTTTTTGGTGGGGGGGGGGGGTGTTACAGGGGCCGATTGCATTTATATTCGCTACAGCAAAAAAAAACCCAAAAAACAAGGACAACATAATGGTTGTACGCAAAGTTTGACAATTAACCATCCACTCTCTGGAAACAAAGGGAGGGGGCTCGAATGGTTAACGCATGCGCGTTCCATCATATGATCTGTCATTGAGTGAAGTGGTGTGGTCTTGTACGTGACAAGGAGTATGGTCGCTTGTCCAACCTCATGAGATTTCTTCGGGTCCTCTGGTTTCCTCGCTCCTACTGCTTAAAACTCCTACACACAAGCGAATTAATGGAATAAAATTGAACCATATGTTAGTCCCAAAATTACCTAGTTTGTGTCGAGTGGATGTTGTACCCCCTCCCCTCTCTCTCTTTCTCTATGGAAACAAAATTGACAAAAGAAAAAAGGCCCTTGCTAAATGGAGCCTGGATGGCCTGCAGAATTTGTGTGAAAAGTTATTTCAATTTTAAATGCTGAATTAAAGTATATATTTTTCGAGACATTGGGTTAAATTTTGTCTCAAAGGCAAGGTTTTAATTTTTCAATTGTTGTTAGTCTTCTAAAAACATTATTTTTGAATATACTATTGGTGGTGGTGGTGGTGTTGAGGGGGGGGGGGGGGGGTGATGTGATATACATTACCTGTAGCCGCCCAGAAGTCAACAAGATCTTAATCCAGCTCTGGCAGTAGAAGGCTGCGATTTGTACTAGCCCAGTGAACATTGATCGTTACATTTACGTAAAGTTTACGTCATTTTGGTTAGCGTCTAATAATGGTAAAACTTTACGGTTAAATTTACGTTACTTTTACGATAGAATGGTTGTGTTACCTTAAAGTAGCCAAGTCTGTAACTCAATATCATACAAAGTCTTCGACACTGGAAACACAAATTATTTGTCATTTTAAATGAAAATTAATGTTGTGATCTTACCGGCAAAAGATAGGCTTCTGATATCCAATATTTAAGACAAAATAAACATTTTACCATTGGTACACGGATCGTGTACCATAATGCGTTTCAGCGCCATTTGTAACAAGGGACTCGAAGAACGAGGCTAGACATATTCCACAAGTCATGTCAAACGGTGACGTCATATTCTTATCTGGCTGGAGAGCATGCACAATAAATATTTTCGCTGTAGACTGAAATAACCAGACACTAGAGATTGCCATTCGATTGAGACTTCTGACGTATTTCGCCGAAAATAAATGATCAGATATTAGAGTAAAAACATAAACAATTGAATGTAAATCAGTTTATACATTCGTATTACATTATTATATGTGTTGCGACCCATTTATGTCAATTTCTAGGCGCCAAATATTAGCGATTTAGCTCCTTTAACATCAGAAAATGACGTAAATGTAACGTGAATTATTTTCGCTTTCAATACTTGTGGATTAAATAACCGTATACCAATGTGTGTACATTTTAACAATTGATATTTAGTTGGAATTCAGACATAATAATGACATATGTTTTATTGTTTATAAATCTAACGTTAATCTAACGTAAATTTTACGTCAGGATTCTAACCGGTAGTTTATGGTTAGTTTTCTAACGTAAATCTAACGTTAGTTTTTTTAACGTTAATGTAAACCTCATATAACTGATTCAATTCAACTTATATATACTGAGCGCCATGGAAAACGCATCACTTTTTTTCCCAAATATTTTATTACTAGGTGGTTTTGTATGTATAATATTATGCAATACTATGAACTATTGTTTCACACAATGCTCCCAAACGCAAAAAATATCGGCCCGTGTGCACAAATTGCACGAGATGCACATGAAAAACCCAATATTCACGTGCAGCATTGTGTGTGAGCCCTTTAAAAGCATGTTTTCAACTAAATGTGCAGTACATGAACTGTGAAACGTCAATCGAGCTAGAGGTGCCGAGACTTACTGAAAATCAACGGAATGAAGCCATGGGAATGTCCAGGGCTGGCATGTCTACACGTGCTATTGCCAGACACTTCAATTGTCACCAGTCCACTATTGTAAGGTTGGTGGAACGTGTTCGAGTTACTGGATCAACACGTGACCGTCAACGTTCTGGTCCACAACGCGTTACAACCCAGGCTCAAGACCGCTACATCCGGGTCACTCATCTGCGTGACAGATTCCACCCAGCGACTCGAACAGGTGCAGCAGTCGTCGGAAGACAAGGACCAGTAAGTGCCAACAGACGTCGTCTAAGAGAAGTAGGACTCCGTGCACGACGACCTTATGTTGGAGCTATCCTCAGGGATCATCACCGTCAGCGGCGTTTGACTTTGATATGGGCTCAAGGACACCAGACATGGAGAAGAGTAGGCTGGCAAAGTGTGCTCTTCGGTGATGAGAGTTTCTCTCCTCTATATTACACTGATGGCCGTCAACGTGTGTTGAGACGTCTTTGGGAACGTCTTGCAGACTGCTGCGTCTACTAAACGAATCGATGGGGTGGGGGAAGTGTAATGGTGTGGAGAGGCTTCACATTTCATCACCGGACCGCCCTACACATTTGCAGGGGTCGCGTTAATGCTGTAGCCTACCGTGATGATGGCCCGTGGAGGGCACACGCGCTACTGACATCTGTGTCGTACTTTTGGTTTTGACCTCTGTGACTTTGTACCGTTGATTACAGATTAAACATCCACAAGTGTACAAATGTGTTGTTATTGATGTGTTCCCATTTGAATATTGTTCACAATAAGAAATGTTTACAGGATCATTTGGTTATACGAAAAACTAAGTGATGCGTTTTCCATGGCGCTCAGTATAATAAAGAGTGTATAGAAAATATTGAAAGTTTTGTACTGAATGGGAATATAAATATATCTTAGTTAAGTGATATGTAAATGAAAATGAAATGAAATGAAATGGGGTTTAACGTCCTACTGTTTTGCTCCGAACTGGGCTAATGAAGACGGGCATACGCCAAGCAGTGTGCTATGAGGGAAATTTTGCCCGGACAGCGGCACTACGGCCTACTCTTACATCGAATTCCAACTGTCAAGGGATCTTTTACGTGCACGCCAATGTGTACACGGGACCTCGGTTTTTCGTCTCATCCGAATGACTAGACAGCTGTCCTTGTCAGGCCCTCCGTCCTGCATCACTGACAAGGGGAAACCACGCCGGAAAATCTGGATGAACTTTCTCGGCCAATGCAGGGATCGAACACCCGACCTCCAGGCTAGCGAGCCAGCGCCTTACCCACTTAGCCACCGTGATCCCCGAAGTGATATGTAATATTAAATATTGACGATTACATCAACGTTAACATGTTCCACACGTATCTTAAAAATTAATCTTATTGTATAAGATATTTAATCAGATATTGTAATGTATCACAATATGAAATACAACTAACTCATCATCATGTATCACAATATGAAATGTTTGTTGTAACTTCCATACTCATACTTGTACATGAAGTTGTGAATAAACTATTATTATTATAATTATTATCATTAAATACGTAATCGAATCGAACCTCAGATTTTGTAATGTATGACAATGTGAAATGTTTGTTGTAACTTCCATACTCATGTTTGTACATGTAGTTGTGAATAAACTTTTATTATTATATCGAACCTCAGATTTTGTAATGTATGACAATGTGACATGTTCGTTGTAACTTCCATACTCATGTTTGTACATGTAGTTGTGAATAAACTGTTATTATTATTATTATTTGTTATTATTATTATCATTATTACTTGTGGTCATAGCAGACGATATTTATACGGAAGTTTTTACGAAGTTTCGTATCGATACAGCGTTTGAACTGTTCTATTTTTAATGTTGACCTCAGCGGTGATTAGATTACGTGCATATGATATCAATGTGTAATATCTAGTCTTTGTAGATATGTCTACTGCATGTAGTCTGTTATTCCCAATACATGGCGTATGCTTGTCTCCATTTAAATAAACAATATAGCGCTACACCCAAATGCAATACATCCAAACTAAGCCTACATTAAAGTAGCCAAGTCTCTAACTCATCCAAAGTCTTCGACACTGAAAACACGAATTATTTGTCAATTTAAATCACCATTGATGTTGTGATCTTACCGGGAAAAGATGGGCTTCTGATATCTAATATTTAAGACAAAATAAACATTTTACCATTGGTACCATAATGCGTTTTAGCGCCATTTATAACAAGGGGCTGGAAGATCGAGCCTAGACATATTAAACATGTCACGCCAGACGGTGAAGCCATTTTCTTATCAGGTAAGCATGCGCGTGTAGACTGGAATAAACAGACGCAAGATGATGCCATTCGCTGAGACTTCCAGAACATAACTGATTTGAAATTAGAGTAAAAACGGAAACGTTTGAATGTAAATCAGCTTATATACATTCATATTCCATTATTATATGCGTTGCTACCCAATTGTGTCAATTTCTAAATCCCAAATATTAGCGATTTAGCTCCTTTAAAAGAAAGACAAAATCGATCATTCTACCTATCGAACATCCGAAATAGAAATATATGAATCAGAAATTTCGCAATACCTCTTTTTCAAAATACTAATCACGTCAATGACCTATGAGGGAAATTTTGCCCGGACAGCGACACTATGGCCTACTCTTATATCGAATTCCAACTGTCAAGGGATCTTTTACGTGCATGCCAATGTGTACCCGGGACCTCGGGTTTTCGTTCCATCCGAACGACTAGACAGCTGTCCTTGTCAGGCCCCCCGTCTCATAAACAGTGATTGAAAGTTGAGTCAATCCATAACTTAAATCTAAGAATGCTTTGTGAACTCGCGGTCTGATATATGAAGATTATTTACATATGAAGGCGTAATGTGAACAAAAGAAAGTCACTTTAAAACAAGGTGTAAAAATCGCAGTCTTGAGAAGAGAGGGAGGGTTATCTTCCATGATGTCAAAGGAGGGCTGGCTGAAATGTTCTAAGTCTGAAAAGGATAGACCAGTTGGGTTGAAACAAACCTTTGCCACCAACAAGTGCAATCGTTGACATAAGAACTGCAAGTGTTGTGTTATTATTGTCCTGGTACCAGATCATCTTGTGAACCCACCCATTGAAATCACCACAAATAGACTAAACTGGCTATAGGGTAGTCATCAAGTACCGGCAACTGAAAGGACTAACCCCAACACAGATACATGCCGAATTGAAGCATGGCGGTGAGAGCCTTGACGATGACCAGCGCCTTGGAAGGCCATCAACAGAAACCAGTCACGAAAACTCGACATATTGCCATTGTTGTGTGTATGTCTCCAGGCCCGTAACTATAGTGGGAGGGGGGCGCAGGGGGTTGGGGGACGAAGGCGCCCCCCCCCCCCCTTGCAAAAAGTTTCGCCTCCCCCCCCTGTGAAAAAATTGTCGACTATAAAAACAATAGAAATACATTGTCCGTCAATTTTAAGCACCCCCTGAGAACACTTCCCGCCCCCTCGTTGCTCTGAGCTAGTTACGTCCCTGTAAGTCTCACGAGAGGGTTGAGCACATGATCGCCAACGAGTTAGGAATGACAAACGTTTCTGCAAACGTCGGATCAGAAACGTGTCAGATCTGCGCCGTTTTGAAGCAGGTCCTGATACTATTTTGGCCAGATTTGTAACCATAGAGGAGAGCTGTGTATGGTTTTTATTTTGGAGTGGCCGGAGAAAATTTCTTCTTGACCGGCATCCAGGCCTTGCAGCATCATTGGCAAAAGTGTGTAAGCCTCGAAGGGTACAACGCAGAAAAATAAATGAAAATACACACTACTACAATACCCCCATTGCGTATTTGAAATTTTGTTGAAAAATGTTAATAACATCAAATACGAAATATGGTGATCATTTAGAGAGAGAGAGAAAGAGAGAGAGAGAGAGAGAGAGGGGGAAAGGGAGAGAGGTGGGGGGTAACGACTACTCGACACAAACTAGGTCATTTCGGAACTAACACATAGTTCAATTTTATTTCAATAATTCGCGTGCGCGTACGGGTCTTTAGCAGTGGGAGGAAACCGGATAACCAGGAGAAAACCCACGAGGTTAGACATCCGACCCTACTCCTTGTCACGTACAACCGGGGAATCGAAACCGCGACAGGTGACTCAAAAGCAGACCTTATGATACATTACGCACACACTAACAATGTATTATTTGATATATAATATAATACAAATTTATATACAAAAATATAATACAGAGGTAGAACTATACAGAGCTAATTATTGATCAAGAAAATTAACTAATGAAAATGTGCTGGTGTCAAAAAATATGTATAACCGTGTTCATGTAATAAATAGGTCGTAAATAAATGGCTAAGAATATTTTTAGGTTTATACGCTTGTAACCAAGCCATTTTATTTTTTAACTATAAGAGTTTGGTTGGTAATTCGATTTGTGATAGTAAATTTTGGCATTTCAAATTATAAAGTGAGATATGGAAATAAAGAGTATTTTATTTGAAAATTGCCAATTTATGCCGGGTGGATAATGTTCCAATATAACACGGGTAAATACACACGTGACTAGCCGGAAGTCACTTCTAAAATTTCCTGTTCGCCAAAATTTATACATGATAATAAAATCTGTAAATATGTTAAGCTGTTATTACCTATCAATGTTGCCGTCGATTTATCAATTCCCAGTATTTGAAATTTAAATTAAGTTATTCAAGAACTGTTACTTTAATTTTAAAATAAAATACGTAATTCAAATCATATTACATTAAATACGTACGCAATTTCTATATGAAAATACACACTACTACAATACCATTGGTTATCAAGTTGATGTCGTGGTGATGGTGTGGCCATTTACAAGGATTAAACACCATTAACAATATTAATATCCTTAAATGACATTGAGAAGTAGAGGTATTATATTCATAATAACACAACTTTATGGATTTACTACTTCTTGGTTTATTACATACAACGTTTCAATACTCTTACAAGCTTGATAAAGATACCTATAAGAGTACTGAAACGTTGCATGTAATAAACCAAGACGCAAAACGATGTCGGAAAATCTCAATAATAATAAGAAATACAAATCCCACAAAACAAAACATATATACTGTCTAAATAAATAATTTGCTAAATGTAAGTCATTTAATAAACACAGTTAGGTTACGGCAATAATGAATGGGAGAGAGAAATGGGGTTTAACGTCCACTCGACACAAACTAGGTCATTTCGGGACTAACATATGGTTTAATTTTATTTCAATAATTCGCTTGCGTGTTGGGGTCTTTAGCAGTGGGAGGAAACCGGAGGACCCGGAGAAAACCCACGAGATTGGACAGGCGACCCAACTCCTTGTCACGTACAACCACGCCAGTTGACTCAATGACAGGCCGTATGATACAGCACGCACGTGCTAACCATTCGGCCATCCCCCCCCCCCCCAATAATGAATGACTGACTACAAAGGGAAATCTTTACAAAGTGCTTATTTTTATATTATACAGTTCTCGCTATAATAGTTTAAAAATAGATAATGAAAACAGAAAATGCTGAAAATGTCAGCCAAATTACTTCACTCGGAATCAAGATATTAACGATTCACTTTTCGACTAGCCTCGATCATCATTACTAACGTTGGTTCTATAATTAACGAAGACTCGATTATCACAAAATGTATTCAAATCCACTAAAGATCACAGGCTAACGATGGCATCGAGAGTTGATTATGACCCTGATCCGTTAATTAATGTCTAATTAATAATTCAGATAACATTCCAAGCCCAACCAAAGACTTATAATAAGCAGATTTAGCTCTTGCATAATGCATGTTTAAATGATTATGTATTAACATTTCAAATATTGTTATGCATCCCAATTACTTCATCGTATGACTTAGTAAGTCTACAGCATCACTTATCAACCGAATCGCTGTCGCCCAATGAAGACAAGGCCTTTACATCTGTATCAAGAACGCGGGCAATGTGCTTATGTCCACATTTTTCTAAGACTTTAATTATTCGGGGTAGAACATCGTTTCCTCGATCAGACAGGATGTCGATTAGGTAAACCGCAGCTGCCTGGTTTCCATCCGATGCCCTCCTCTTCTCTGTTTGTGCTTTATCCTCATCAGAAATGATACAATATCCAAAGAAACGCAAAACCAGGTCGTCGATGTTTCCTTTGAAATCTTCTCTGAGCTCTATAGAATAGTTCCTCCATATGTCGTAATGGGCGTCCTGCATTCTCCCCCTCGACACTACGGTGCTTGCTACAACATTACCAAGAACGCCGGCCATATGCTTATGTCCACATTTTTCTAAGACTTTAATTATTCGGGGTAGAACATCGTTTCCTCGATCAGACAGGATGTCGATTAGGTAAACCGCAGCTGCCTGGTTTCCATCCGATGCCCTCCTCTTCTCTGTTTGTGCTTTATCGTCATCAGAAATAATACAATGTCTAAAGAAATGGCAAGCCAGGTCCTCTATGTTTCCTTTGAAATCTTCTCTGAGGTCAAAAGAACAGTTCTTCCATATGTCGTAATGGGCTTCCTGCATTCTCCCCTTCGACACAACGGCGCTTGCTACAAAAATGAAAATGAAATGAAATGGGGTTTAACGTCCTACTGTTCTGCCCCGACCGAGCTAATGAAGACGGGCATACGCCATACAGTGTGCCATGAGAGAATTTTTTCCCAGTTAACTGCGCTACGAGATACTCTTATATCGAATTTCAACTATACAAATGTATCTTTTACATGCACGCCAATGTGTACATGGGACCTGAGTTTTTGCCCCATCCGAACGACTAGACAGTTGTCATTGTCAGGCTCTCTGTCCTGCACCACTGACAAGGTGAAACCACATCTGAAAATTCCGATGAACTTTCTTGACAAATACATGGATCGAACATGCAACCGCCAGTATAGCGAGCCAATAGAGACTTTTGGCAAGCTTAAATTCCTGGCCCATATCGCGTATCCGTATTGATTTTGCGTGTGACGTCATCAATGCGTGTGTATTTCTCATACGTGATACGACACACGAATAGCTTTCATACGGAAAAGGTCCGTATAACATTGTTGTCTTTTTACCGTCCTTTTTTCAACTTTTATATCATAGCGTTTTTATGAATCATAATTGTTCGACATTATTGCTTTCGGGATACTTTGTAGAAACAAAAATAAGCCTATTTAATGATAACTTACCTGACATATTAGTTTTATTGGAGGCGCCACTTTGGGAAACCTGAAAAAATGGAAATTACTTCAGAGGACCTCGAAACAGCAAATTTGTAATGGAAATGAAATGGGGTTTAACGTCCTACTGTTCTGCTCCTATACTGGGCTAATGAAGACGGGCATACGCCATACAGTGTGCTATGAGGGAAATTTTGCCCGGGCAGCGGCACTATCGCCTACTCTTACGGTATATCGAATTCCAACTGCCAAGGGATCTTTTACGTGCATTCCAATTTGGACACGGGACCTTGGTTTTTCGTGACCATCCGAATGACTAGACAGCTGTCCTTGTCAGGCCCTCCGTTCTGCACAACGGACAAGGGGAAACCACGTCGGAAAATCCCGATGAACTTTCTCGGTCAATGCAGGGATCGAACACGTGACATCCAGGCTAGCAAGCCAGCGTCTTAACCACCTAGCCACCGTGGCTCCCAATTTTTAATGGCCCTTAAGCGATCGGAGGTCGTAAAAAAGCACTGCCTACCTGCACACTCCATTTAAAATGGCACTTTTATGTAGGGTGTGACCATTCTGCACATAGAGATATATCTACTTCATCCTTCGAGAATAGATCTCTGTCGTTTTTACCCCGTTTCACATCTGTCATACACACAAAGACTTAATAAACCCATTCAATTCCATTAAATGGAAGCAGAATAAATACTTCTCAAAATTCTCCAAGTGCTTAGTGCTTTCGACTAAACTCGTCGATTTAGGACTTAAAATGTCGGTCAACTAGCTGAGTGTCTGTTCTCAAGCGGAGCTAACTGTAGACAGGCAATCCAAGTTTAGTATGGGGCGTGACGAACCTGAAGCGATGGGGTGTCAAGGTATAAGTCGATGGGTCAGAGCATTGAACTCTGACAAGATTATGGCGGCCATCATGTGCAAGGGGTTGCGCCTGCGATGCTGACAAAGACTTGTGGCTATTACTTCAGATGGAAACAAAATCCGCCTCCCACACATGTACGTAAACATTCCTTGACGGAAACGATGCTGCATTCGCAAAATTCTCCTATGTGGTACTGTACACGTTACCAAAGAAATATAACTTACAATCGCTATGTGTTTCTCTGACCATTGTAGGCCTATATATGAAATGAAATGAAGTTTAACGTCCTACTGTTCTGCTCCTAACCTGGGCTGATGAAGACAGGCATACGCCATACAGTGTGCTATGAGGGAAATTTTGACCGGACGGCGGTGCAACAACCTACTCTTATATCGATTTCCAACGGATCTTTACATGCACGCCAATGTATACACGGGACCTCAGTTGTTCGTCTCATCCGAACGACTATACGTTGTCCTTTGCCAACTTTGCCCTGCACCACTGACAAGGCCAACTCACACTGGAAAAAACCTGATAAACTTTCTTGGTCAACACCGGGATCGAACATGGGACCTCCAGGTACGCGAACCAGTGACTTACTCACTGACAGTCTTTATTAGCGCAGTGTAAGCAGTACAGTGGGACATTAAACTCTCGTTTTAATTAATTCTTGTTCACTGAGCCGAATTATTTCGTTGACTAAACATTAAACCACATTCCATTCATAGAATAAATATTATTATCTTTGATTTATAACAAACTATGATATATAGTTTACCTGGTCAGCCTGTGATATATGGTTTACCTGGTCAGACTGTGATTTGTGGTTTACCTGGTCAGACTGTGATATATGGTTTACCTGGTCAGACTCTTATTTATGGTTCACCAGGTCAGGTGTTCTCTATAGATTTCCCTTAACAAACTGTCTGACGCAACTGCACTTTCGTATACCTTGTACTTCCCGACTGACTCACTATAAGCGGGAAGTTTTTAAGTTAGTTTAGTTTCGGTTAATTGACGTATGCACAATATTATTCTATTTTTAGATCTTACTTGATTGAAAAAGCTTTTGAATTACAATCATATAACCTACACCTTTGTCCTAATTCAAATTACAAATCATACTTCTGTGTTTTGAGATCAAATTGCATGGTCAACCCATTTGCTTTGTCTTCGCACTTAGTAAACGCGAAAGCAAGAAGACCGCAGCCTTCACACTGATCAGCAGTGAATATTCGCTAGGCCGCTACAATCACTGATAAGGATGACATCGTTGCGACTTAATGAACCACAAATATTAACTTTTTTCCTCCGACAAATTAAATTTTAAAACATTTTTGTAATAAATAAAGACGTTTGAAGTATTTGTAGGGAAAAATTAGTTCCTATTTAGTGTAAATTGGTATTGAAATGAGTAAAAGGCACCATTCTGCCCGAACCAATAACGTCTTATGTAAACAATGCACGGGCCATAGAGCCGATGATTGACGCCGCGTGATGTCCGTCTCTTTTACAGAGATATTAGAAGACTTTCGTAAACCTTTGTGAAACTGATTGCACAGCCTTATCCAGTGGCAACTGCCTTCTCGAGGATCTAAAGATGCTTGGCGGATCAGTGAGTAATCTTTGAAGGTACAGGTAATCCTGTCTTAATCAACACTAGCTTTCTTATCCAACTGTAGCATAAATTTTAAATATCACATTCACGAGATTTTCGGAACCACAAAGTTCACTATCCGCTATTCACTAGGAAATGAAATAAAATATAAAATCCTTACTGTTCTGCTTCTAAACTGGGCTAATGAAGACGGGCATACGCCATACAGTGTGCTATGAGGGGAATTTTGCCCAGGCAGCGGCGCTACGGCCTACTCTTATATCGAATTCCAACTGCCAAGGGATCTTTTACGTGCACGTCAATACTTAAACGGGACCTCGGTTTTTCGTCCCATCCGAACGATTAGACAGCTGTCCTTGTCAGGCCCTCCGTCCTGCATCACTGACGAGGGGAAACCACGCCTGGAAATCTGGATGACCTTTCTCGGCCAATGCAGGGATCGAACACCCGACCTCCAGGCTAGCGAGCCAGCGTCTTACCCACTTAGCCACCGTGATCCCCCCCGGCTATTCACTAGGATTAATAGTTAAAAGACAAGGTGGTCCCAAACAGATCCATACAAATTAGTGGTCGGGACAGTTCACGCAATGAGTCGCCCGCGGTCGTCGCTGTACCCTTGGAGGTAGGGGTAGGGGTGGGGGTACGGAAATTAGCCAGCAACTGACCATGTTGTTGGATGAAATTAAAAATTCATCAAAATTCATCAAATACATGATAATGAAAGAGACAAAAGCCTGATTATTCACAATTTTCGTATCATGAGCAATTCTATCATTAGGGCATGGGTATACATGTATACCCCAGAAAAGAGCAGGGTACCATTTGTATATCCTGGTACCCGGGTTCCGGCGCCCCTGAATGTAATTGACCATTACATGTGTTTTGATGTGTATACATATAACTTAATTACCTTTTTATTACGTTTGAAATTGTCCGTCATCCATTACCCGAGCATTACATCATAACAGACAATATTTATACGGAAATGTTTACGAAGTTTCATATCCATACGGCGTACGAAAGTGCAATAGCGCCGGCCTCTGCTTATATCGAATTCAAACTGCCAATTACGTGCACGCCAATCTATAGCCTTGGTATTTCGTCCCATCCGAACAACTAGACAGCTGTCCTTGCTAAGCCCTCCTCCCTGCACCACTGACAAGGGGAAACCACGTCGGAAAACCCCGATGAACTTTCTCGGCCAATGCAGGGATCGAACACGTGACATCCAGTTTAGTAAGCCAGCGTCTTACCCACTTAGCCACCGTGGCCCCGAACTTTAATGATGTTAGAGAGCAAACGGCCTACTCACTGAGCCACCCTAACTCCCACTTCACGGGACCTCAGTTATTTTTATTCCATCCGAACGATTATATGTTGTCTCTTGCCAGGCTCTCCGTCTTACACCACTGACAAGGGTGGACATCGCCAGAAAAATCACGATGAACTTTGGTGAAGTTAGAGGGCAAACGTCCTACTCACTGAGCCACCGTAGCCCCCGCTTCATTTCGATTTCGGACAAGGAACCTCGTTTTTTATTTATACCATTCGAACGACTACTGACAAGCAGGAACCCCGACCGAAAAATCCAGGAGATAAAGGACAAGAAAAAAATAGAAAAATTCCGTGCATTCCCCCGTTTTTATTCATTCTGTTCTTAATAAAAAAACATGGTAATGCACGGACTTTATCTAATTTGTTCGTTATCTTTTATCTACTGACAGCCAATTCTTTTTTTGAATTGTCAGATATCCTCTCATCGTCTCATATAACAACTTTTCATCTTCAACTGAATTATCAGTGAAATGAAATTCGATCGTTTGTCTGTTACCACTCGTTACTTCAGTCTGTTATATAGAAGGACAACTCGTGTTTGTCATGTTTGACGTCACTTCCCGTTTCTTCACGTGCTTGTTACTCAGCTATCGTAGAAATGATCTCTGTGTTAAAATTATATTTGGGATGTATTTAACGAGCTCTATAACATATTTTATAATGACTGACACCAATATTGTCCTTTAACTCAACGGCAGATCTTTTATTTTAAAGCGCACGCGTTGGTCGATTCGGACCAAGAAGCTTTAACACCCCTACCCCTCTATTCCCCACTCTGTTTAAAGTATGTGTAGATTTCAAAAGATTACGCTAAAACTTTTAATCTATTTATCTTTTCAGAAAGGGTGATGTATGGTATAATGAATGAGGATCACTACAAGATCTGGAAAAAACATTATATGCAAATCGTGGACAATTTCAAAGGTGACCTCATCCGCCTACTCTCTGCTTTGTTTACTTCCAGTCTCAGTAGCCGACAAAAATCAACTAGAACGAAAACAAAATGGCCACGGCGATTACAATGCGAAAGCCTTCTTATAAATCTCTATAAGTTGACTGACCTTTATAAGTTCAAGTATGACTTACACATGTGACGTCATATCATACATAAAAGGTCTCAGCGCAAACTAGTCCGGGCAGAATGATGCCTTTACTCATTTTATATACCCATTTAAACTAAATAGCCAATTAAATTCTAGAACATTTTATTCACGTTATATGTGAAACACCTTTATTTATATTTCTAATACTTCAAAAAAGGTTCTAGAATTTAATTTGCAGAAGGGAAAAGGTGAATATTAAGAGCTACTTAGCCCGCGCCGATGTCATCCCTCTCAGTGATTGTAGCGGCATAGCGAATATTCACGGCTGATCAGTTTGATAGTAACTTCAATATAACAAAATGGTTGAAAATAAAGAATGGGATAAAAATCTTTTATAGTTTTCTTCCGTATTTTAAAATCTGACATGGGAAGGGGGGGGGGGGTAAGCTTCGTTGTCCGAATCGGCCAACGCGTGTGCATTAGATCATAAGGTCTGTCAAGTCAAGTCATGTGGTTTCAATCCCACACTTGGACGTGACAAGGAGTAAGGTCGCCTTACCTCGTGGGTTTTCTCCAGGTCCTCCTACATCTTCCCAATATCACAGACCCCATTGCTTAACGAATTAATGAAATAAAATTGTACTATATTTCATTCCCGAAATGAACTATTTTGTCTTGAGAAAATTGATCGAGAAAGTAAAAACAGATAAATAAATTTCACTTTGGATTGGATGAGGCCTGGGATAATTATTTTGATCTTATATACTGAGATGATAGTAGGGCGCCACAAGCTTCTATAGCTTGCTCCCAAATTCCGAACACAGAAATTTTAAGTAGGACAAAGGTGTAGGTTATATGATTATAATACTAAACGCTTTTTCAATCAAGTAAGATCTATAAATAAAATAATATTGTGTAACCGAAACTAACTTAAAAACTTCCCGATTATAGTGAGTCAGTCTTAATATGGCTGAATATTAAGTGCACGAAAGTTTCTGCCTGTATAAGCCTGTAAATATACAACAGTTTGTTGAAGGAAATCTGTTCTAGAACATGTCTGACCAGGTAAACCATTTTTCACAGCTTGTTAAAAAGGGATCAAAGCTAATAATATTTATTCTACGAATGGAGTGGGGGTTAATGTCACGTCCACGAAATAATTCGGTTATTTCGAGACAGATAGGGAACCGTGGTGACTCGGTGTGTAAGATGATGGCTCACTATCCTGGAGGTCCCAGGTTTGATCCGGGTGTTGGCCAAGAAAGAAATTCTGGATTTTCAGGTGTGGTTAACCCTTGTCAGTGGTGCTGGACAGAGGGCCTAACAAAGGACAGCGTATCGTGATACGGACTGAACGGAAAACCGAGGTCCCGTGTATACATTGGATTTAAGCCCCATCTCATTCAAAACAAGGCCTATGTAAATATTTCAAAACAAACAAGGCCTATGTTCAGTATTTCAAATCAATCAAGGTCTGTGGTCAGTATTTCAAAACAAACAAGGGCTGTGGTCAGTATTTCAAAACAAACAAGGGCTATGTTCAGTATTTTAAAACAAACAAGGTCTATGGTCAGCATTTCAAAACAAACAAGGCCTATTAGTCCATGTGACAGACCTCGGATTTCGGAGTATCATTACCAATTTGATGAATAAATTCAACCATGATTTTCAGTTAGCCTGGTGCCCGAAGTGTTCAAATTTGGTTGATGGACTTCCGGGTCACTTTGCTAAATGCCATTTTGGCGGCCATCTTTAAAAATGGCCGCCGTTTTTTCATTGAAATTGAGCGCGTCAAGGAAACCTTCATAACTCTTTCACAGATTGACCTATTGATATGGAATATGGCTCAAAATGTTCGCAATAACATTCTACAGCTGCTGTTATATGACATATGTTGGTGAATGAATCATATATTTTCCAAATCAACAGATTATTCTGAAAAAAGCAACGTTTTGGCATTTTTTTTCAAGATTTATTTTAAAAGTTTACTACCAAATCATGTTCAGGGTAAATTTAGCCAAATTCTGTGTCTGGTCTTCTTAAGTTATTCATTTGGCATAAATAAATACGGTCAGTGACCCAGTCTATACAGCTGCGGTGGCCGCAAACTCAACAAAAGTCTTGAGTAGACTGTCAATTTTAAAATGTTGAGCCTCGGCGAGGTAGGGTACTAACCATGTGAACGTTTATTTAGGGTTGTCGCAATCACACCGATATTTGGGGACCGGTTGTTTCTGAAGAAAAATTTGTCACTGAAGACGATTTTGATAGTGTGTCACTTCTGTGACGTCATTTTCGGTTGAATCCGTCTGATTTCCAAAATGGTCGCCAAAATTTGACGAAAAATGAATTTCTTGTTAGGATGGATGAGTATCACGCAAGGTAAAACTTGTAATATATCATATATAGGGTTTCCGTAGTCATTGTACTTACAATTGATCTATAAAATTAGTTTCCCAAAATCCAAGATGGCGAAAATTCAAAATGGCAGTCAAAATTTGCCTAAAATGATCGATGCCTCGGATAATCGTCATTTTACAGTTTGATATGCCCTGTAATGCCGCTTAAGGGGTTTTCAATGTCACAGAACTTAAATACAACATCTAAAAAAAGGATTTCCAAAATCCAAGATGGCTAAAATCCAAGAGTGCGGCAAGATTTTCCCTAAAATGAATGATTTTTCAGATAATCGTCATTTTTCTGTTTTGTACGGCTTGTAATATGCCATTTATGGGGTTTTCAGGATCACTAAACTTAAATATTACCTCAAAAAAAGATTTTGGATATCGTAGATTATTGCTTAAGAACAAAACGGGACAATTGTCAGTCTTTCTCTTGGCTTGGCTTATTATAAAAATGTGTAGTAGTTTTTTAGGGGAGGATGGAATTAATTATACCAGATCTCGTAAATCAGAAAATAAGATTTAATAATATTCCAGCAAAACTGTAAGGAATTTTAATATATCTTTGCAAATATATCTAGTTGTTAAGAATTTATCTATTCTGTTTGTTCAGAAATTGGCCGAAATAGTGGCTCAGTGGGTAAGGTTCAACGAGGTCCGGAATTCGATCCCTGTGTCTGGACAAATTTTACCTCATTTCACACTCTATGACGAATAGCCATCTTCATTGACCAAGTTAGAACAGTAAGAAGTTAACCCACATTGCATCTGGTCCACAGATGGTAATATGATAGATTTTTACTTTGAAGAGTCTGGCAACCTTTTGTGGTATCATCTAGAATCTAGCCAGATGGTATCATGGATTCATATTTGTCAGTTGTGAAAGTGTAAAGTGTAAAATGTATTTCACAACAAGTTCTAAGTTTAAAAATGATAATTACAGAGATAATTTGAAATACATTTACCCAAAAGCATGGCTCACTATTTCCTCTTTGTTAATGTCACAACCATCCACCTCATTGGAATTACTGTGACAATCGCAACTACTGTTTTTCTTCAGCAATGGATACTAGCCAAAGTACAAGAAGAAACAGGAGATCTCGGCAGCGACAATGATGATATCCTTTTAATATCATAGGCCTACCTAAAGCGAAAGAAGAAATTGGTCGACATTACTTTTGTGATGCCTAGTCGTTAATGCATTTCAAATTATCTTCGCAACGATTCTTTTTAAACTTTCAACTTGTTGTGAAATGGATCTGTGGATACGTTATCTAGACTATACCACAAAAGTTGCCAGGCATAGAGTCTTTGATGAAAAACCGGTTCGGTTGTACCATATAACGAAAAAATGCGAAAAGTACCGAGATAAAAATCTGAAAAGTACCGAAAGATGCAGACAAAATACCGAAAAAACTTTTTTGATACTAATTACCGAAAAAATCCGAAAACCCCCAAATATCGAAAAATCAATAAATAACGAAAAAAACAACACTAATTACCGAAAAAACCCTAAGCCACACACAAAAATTGCTAGGTGGGTCAGACTAGACCATGCATAAAAATTGTTGGGAACTGTAGGTTACGCATTAAATTAAAATTGTTGACACTCTAGCTTGGTGGGTAATGGGTCAAGCAAGATCAGGCATAAATATAGTGGTACACTTTCAGTCAGGGGCGGATTGGGGCCGGAAACCGGTCCGGGCTCACTTGTCGGAGCTACCCCTTTTAATGAACCCCAAATATGCGATTTGGTGGCATATGTGATTATAATCTTTGTCAAATAATATATCTCATAAATCGATTAATTTAGGCCAAAACCCCGACCTACAAGTAATTTACAACCATCAACCTGTGAAATTATCATATCGTCATATTATTAATTAACGTATTATCATTGTATCGTCAAGAGTCAAGAGAATTTAACTGGTTTAAAAATGGGACTAGTTGAGAAAATTTTGACCATTTGATTAACCAGTTAGGAATATTGAATAAGTAGGAATATTTTCATTGTAAAATGTCCCATTTTTGTTGCCGGGAGCGCTAGTTGATTCCTTCTGTGATGGAATTCGGAATCCCCATTGCAGGATTCCGAATTCCGGCCCACACCCAGCACACCCGGCCCAGAAAGTCTATTATACCAGCCCATTCCAGACTCCAGTGATGGCGTGGCAGCCCGTTAAAGACACCGGCCACATCATCGTAGTTCCATGGCCGGTCCAATACCCCCCCCCCACCATATAATGTTCAGCAGAAAAAGGTTTTTTAGACGAATTGGACAAAATTATTTTTTTCATTTTTTTGTCCGATCGGGCGATCGCCCGATGGCCCAATCCGCCCCTGCTATCAGTTGGCCATTGATCACAATATGTCCCGCATAAGACTAGTTGGGCATTGTAGGTGGGTCATGGGGTCAGGCATTTAGTAATTGAAGCATAATCAAATAACACACTATTTATGGATAACAAATTCTATAGTTTAATTCACTGCGACGTTTCAATAAGATTTCACAAGTCCTTACCAAGCATATAACATTAATAAACAAGCCAACAGTGAGGCTGATGACCCCGTCGAAATCCCTAAATAAATAGATGACCCATATTAATTAATCGCACATTTATTTTTTTAAAAAGTATTGAGCAATCAAACTGATTATCAACTATACACTAAGTTTCATCACTCTCTATCAGATAGAATCAAAGTTATCTTGTCCCAAAGCATCGATCATTGAAATTGCTTAGCTCTGCTTAGCTTTAGCCCGAAATGTTAATTACTGAACTGAGTCAAGACATTCAGCTAATGAACATTTACATCAAGTTTCAGCATTCTACCTTAATTAAAAGCAGAGTTATTGCGTTCCAAAGTCCTGACCAATCAAATTGCTTATCGCTCTTTAGCCTAAGCAGAAAATTCTCACGATCGAACTTAGTCAAGCTAATATCGCCCTCACTTCATTATAACCAAAGTTATCATGCCCCAAAGCATCAACCAATCAGATAGCTTATCTCTGCTTACCCTAAACAGACAATGTTCATCATCGAACTCCATCAAGGCATTCATTTAATGAACGCCTACACCCAGTTTGAACATTCTACCTCAATTAGAATGAGAGTTATTGTGTTCTAAAGTCTCGGCCAATCAAATTGCTTATTGTTCTGCTTACCCTGAGCAGAAAACTCTCATTATCGAACTTAGTCAAGGTATTGATGTAATGAAACTATACACCAAGTTTTATCACTCTCACTTAATTAGAACTAAAGTTATCGTGTCCCAAAGCATCAACCAATCAAATTGCGTATTTCTGCTTACCCTAAGCAAAAAATTCTCATCTTCGAACTCCATCAAGGCATTGACCTAATAAACACCTACACCAAGTTTGAACATTCTTGCTCAATTAGAAAGAGACTTATTGTGTCCCAAAAAGTGTGACGGACGGACAGACGAACCCATTTTAATAGTCATCTGCTTTCTTCGAAAGGCGGGGGGGCAATAAAATGAAAAGAATATGGCTATATATATACAAGAGCGGTGCTGACCCTCCAAAGGGATGCAAAGTCAGCTAGTATGGGCATTGTAGTGTCCCAAGCCGTTAGATAATCAAATGCACATATACAGGTATAAACTGTAATTGGTATAGATAAGCACAAGAACAAAAGATCAAACAATTATTCAAGCGGTATAATGAACCACGAGCAATAGGCCATAACAGTAAAACATGATAACGACATGTAAAATCTTGTTGAAACGTCACAGTGAAATAAACTATAGTAATTGTTATCCACAAATAGTGTGTTATTTGCTTAAAAAGACATATTACAAGCTACATTAAACAGAAAATCGATCATTTTACGGAAATTCTGGCCGCCATTATGAATATTCACCATCTTGGATTTTATTAAACACTCTGTGTTTTGGTTAATTTTAAGGTCAGTAATCCCTTTCAATTGGATATTACATGTAATATCAAACTGTGAAATAACTATTAACTGACAAATTGGCCATTTGAGCAACTTTTGGCCGCCATTTTGATATTATGCCATCTTGGATTTTGGACACTCATATTAGAGATTATTTTTTTATGATCAATGTTTCTGATATCTAGTAAATCACTTTAGTTGACCAAATAGATAATTTGGCTTATATGGGTCTGAACAAGATTTTTTTAGTAAACTTATGAACAGACATCATGAAAAAAACCCCGAAAATATTGCTGTTTTCAGATTAGTCTTTTATTTTGAAACCGAAAGCATTACCTAAACAACATGAGTCATATACCAGCAGATTTAGAATTGTATTATGAACATTGTGAGCCATCTTACATATCCATAGGTGAACCTGTTGAGGAGTTGTGGAGGTTTCCCTGACTTGCACTATTTCAAATTAAAAAATGGCGGCCATTTTTAAAGATGGCCGCCAAACTCACATTTGGCAAAGTGACCCGGATGTCCATCAACCAATTTTGGACACTTTAGACCTAAGGCTAATGCGTCTTACGATCTTTGGTCGCTTAAAGGTCATTATAAATTTGCTGTTTTGTGGTCTTCTGATTTATTTCCATTTCTTTCAGGTTCCACAAAGTGGTGCCTGCAGTCAAGCAAACATGTCGGGTGAGTTATCACTAGTCTGATTGTTGATTCCACACAGTATCCCCAAAACAATATCAATTCTATGGAATACAGTTACTGTTTATTACTGGTTAGCACGTGCGCATTGTATCATAAGGTCTGTCATTGAGTCAATTGGTGTGGCTTCAATTCGCCGGTTGTACGTGACAAGGAGTAGGGTCGCCTGTCCAACCGCGTGGGTTTTCTACGGGTCCTCCCGTTTTCTCCCACTGTAATGACCCCTAGACGCAAGCGAATTATTGAAATAGAATTGAACCATATCTTATTCCCGAAATGACTCCCCCTCTCTCTCTCTCTCTCTCTCTCTCTCTCTCTTTCGTGTCATGTTATTTGAGAATTCATACTCTGAATTAATAGGTGGTGTGTATTTTACTTTCAATTGTCGAATAGAATACTTAGGATAACATTTGGTGATATAGTACACCGTGTTGATCCCAGGAGATTAAGCTGCATTTTCTAATCTTTTCTCTTTTCAGAGAACGTGATGTATGATAAAATGAAGGATGATCACTACAAGATATGGACAGACAATTATACGGAAATAGTGGACAATTTTAAAGGTGACTTTAACCACCTAATTTCTAGTTTGTTTAAATCCAGTCTTATAAGTCTCGACGACAAAAAACTACTAGAACGAAGACAAAATAAAGACGGCGATTGTCAAGCAGCTGCAAATTTGGTAGATATACTTTTTCACAGAGGCCATGACGTCTTACCCAGAATAATAGCTGTAATAAAATGCGTTGGATACACTAAGTTGGCCGCAAACCTCGAGGCTGCCGTGTGTGGTATTGATTATAATACATAAACTTCAATATAGCAAAATGGTTGAAAATATAGACTGGAATAAAGTTCAAATGATTTTCAAAATCTTTTTTAGTTTTCTTTCCGTTTTTACGCCGGATTTAAAAAAACTAATTCGTGGGCGCGTGTGTGAGTGGGGTTGAATTAAGAGGCATTAAAGTTTCTTGGTCCGAATGCGTGCACTTTAGATCATAAGTTATGTTGTTGAGTCTATTGACGTGGTTTTGATCCCACGCTTGGACCTTACCAGAAGAAGGGTGACCTGCCTAACCTCGTGTTTTTTCTCCGGGTCCTCCTACATCTTGTAACAGAGTACGCTATAACTTTCATCAAATTGAACGATCATTTAGGTGCATAGAACTTAGTGAGCTAAGCTGTTTTTGATCATGTATGATATTGACTTTTCAACTCTGTATATACTTTATATATGTGTATATGTTTAGTCACGTTCTAATTAACCATGTAATTAACCCCATATGCCATTTACAAACTACATACGATCGGCAGAGACCGGCGTATGGACTCGCCTAAGTTCAGCCGATGCCTTGGCAGAGGGGCGGAATGGTGGATTTAATGTAGTTATGCACCACCCTGATGTGTTCCTGTCGTAGTCTACTTCCTGTATATTAGTTTAGGTTCCTGTATTGTTTTGTATGTAGTTGTGTTATATTCTGTTCCTATGTAAATAAACCCTATATCTACTAAACTGATCTCTGTTATCACTAAAATAGAGTTACAATCTTCCCAATGCTAAAGGCCCCACAGCTTAACGAATTATTGAAATAAGATAGCGTCCATATTTTAGTCTTGAAACGACCTTGTTTGTCTTGAGAAACTTGATCTTCCCAATGCTAAAGGCCCCACAGCTTAACGAATTATTGAAATAAGATAGCGTCCATATTTTAGTCTTGAAACGACCTAGTTTGTCTTGAGAAACTTGATCGAGAAGGTAGGTCATTTTACATAATATGTAAAAAACATTAAATAATTTCACTATGGATTAGATGAACCCTGGCGTGATAGTAGGACGCCACAAGATCAAAACACTCTAGCTTTAGTCAAGGAAACATTTATTGTAAAGACTCTGTGAATGAAAACGAAACATCATTAAATCCTATTTTACTTGTCAAGAGGGTTCAAAAATATTTTTAAAACCAAGTCACATTTGAAAAATCAGCGGTCACCACGCCCCAAGAAATAATAATTGTTGTATGGGACGTACTGATATTTATGTTTGCCTTAGTCATATTACTGTATAATAGATAATTTACACAACAGGTAGGACACTAACACATCTAGTACTTAGAATAAAGCTATTTTTTTTATTTTCTGGAGCTGTCAAGCCAGCAAGAGTGTTATTGTCCCTTTAAAGGACTACTGAAAGTCCTACTGTTCTGCTCCTAAACCGGGCTAATGAAGACTAGCATACGATATACAGTGTGCTATAAGAGAAATTTCGCCCGGGTAGCGGCACTATGGACTTCTCTTGTATCGAATTCCAACTGTCAAGGGATCTTTTACGTGCGCGGGACCTCGGTTTTTCGTCGTCCCATCCTGTACCACTGACAGGCTTACCCACTTAGCCACCGTGGCCCCTTTTACACTAGGGACAAGATCCTCTATTATTATTACATATATTTTATATGTTACCACTGCTTGATAAAGACTAGGGAGGCCTAAGCAGTAATGGTTTCGAATCCCCGGTTGTACGTGACAAGGATTAGGGTTGCCTGTCCAACCTCGTGGGTTTTCTCCGGGTCCTCCGGTTTTCTCCCACTGCTAAAGACACCTACGCGCAAGCGAATTATTGAAATTAAATTAAACCATATGTTAATCCCGAAATGACCTACTCTGTGTCGAGTGGGCGGTAAACCCCATCTCTCTCTCTCCCATAGACTTTTCACCTATGTAGTGTTTATGTCGTTGGGAGGAGGGTGGGGTGAAGGTGGTGGGGGGGGGGGGCTAGGCGGTCCAGAACAATTGTATCATATCTGTATCGTGGTATATGATTATGACGTTATGAAGTTTAGACCAGAAACTTGTGGTGAAACGATCCTATTTTCTTTTCTGTTTGAGAGGGGTGCAAAAAACATTTGGGAGCCAAATGTTGAACAGGGTGGTTAGATCTATTTGTCAAGGCCAGCTCAATTTTTGTCAAGGTCGTTGAGATGTAAATAAGGTTAGGGCACGTGATTGTTGGCGAGTTTGTAGGTTATGGTTAGGATAAGCCTTAAGGCTATAGGTCCAGGGTTAGGTCCAGATCTAAGTATAATGAGGGAGGGGGATTTGGGATTAGCGCTAGCTTTGTTTACATCTCGTTATTTGACCAAACTTGAAGTTGGCCTTATCAGATAGATCTAACCTTGACAGGGTCTGTTGCCGACATCCATTTTATAAATATTGACATCTAGGTTATCCAGATTACGTAAGAATAGACAGATACAGATAGCAGGTTTCACCCACCATCTATGTTTTCATTAATTCCTCTTTAATCCTATATCCGATGTTGTTAATATACGATGTACTATCACAATTAAATCTTAGCATACTTACATTAGTAACCACTTAAGCTAGGGTTTCATGATTGTTAAAGATACATTATGGGAGATTCGATAAAGAGTTGGCAGTTCTCACTCACTATAATAGTTAAAAACTAGATAATGTAAAGGCAATTTGCTGAAAATTTCATTCAAATTGATCCTCTATGAACCGAGAACTAAGCGTTTGAAATTTCTACCTAGCCTTAATCATCATTACTAAAGTCAGTACGATAAACAGTATACTCTTGATTATCCATTTAATCATTAAATCGTGAAGCAAAGTTATGTGTTATATGGTTTACCTGGTCAGGCATGCTTTAACAAACTGTGTTATATGGTTTACCTGGTCAGACATGATTTAACAAACTGTGTTATATGGTTTACCTGGTCAGACATGTTGTAGAATACATATTATTATCTCTGATTTATAACAAACTGAAGGGCTCCGGGGAAGAATGATTTAAGTCACCTTTTCAACGAACCCCAGTTAATAGCGCCATCTGGTAGCTCTTTCACTCAGTTGGCGGTTTCAGTTGGATATCCACAATTACACATCAATTTAGTTTATTTTAGTACTGTATAATTTGGATTTGAAGTGGTTTATATGAAGAATTCGTGTAAGTTAAAATTAAAAACACTTATATGGATATACTACTTCTGCATGTTAATACAATATATACTAAACGTTTTAATCCATTTCATTATATATATGTGTGTGTTTGCCAGTTTGACTAAATACGCCCCTTATATTGGTTAAAAAAGCAACAAAAAACCTCTGACCTGTCTGGCATAACTTTTGCTTGGGAATATTTGTTTGCATAGAGATTTATTAAATAGTGCCGTTAAGGGGGTAGATATACTTTTCACTATATAATAACTATAATTACGTGTTTCGGACTCTAGGTTTTTATTATTTTTAAATGTTTCGATACCTTCGGTGCATTGTCAATAGTTCATGGTGCAACTTGATTTTTGAGGTGATAAAGCGCCACCTGACGAACCGAAACACGCCAGTACTCCGTCGTAGCTCTAAATTTGATTTCTATACGCCACTGTGTATTTTATGTATTCATATGCAAATCCGATATTAAATTACGTACAGTTAAATATATAGAACAGGTTTATTGTAATGAAAAACGCGATAACACAAACTGCTAGTGTTCAGGACTAAATATTTATTGCTTCATTCTTGAGCCGTCAAGGTTACACAATATAAGAAAAGGAAATCTCGGGAATGGGATTCGAGCTTAAAGACAAAGTAAGGTAAGTGATACAATTATCTGAGGATAAGAAACTACTTGGTGAAAAGAAATTATTTGGTGAAAAGTTTTCTCCGGGTCGTCCGGTTTCCTCTCACAGCTAAAGACCCATACGCGAAAGCGAATTATTATAATAAAATTGAACCAAATGTTAGTCCCGAAATGACCCAGTTTGTGTCGAGTAGACGTTAAATCTCAACCCCCCCTCTCTCTCTCTCTCTCTTCTCTCTCTCTCTCTCTCTTTATGTTTTATTTTTATGTATCTATTTAGAATAAATTAAAATAAAAAGACAGTTTTCACATTTATTTAATTACTAGCAGGATACCCGGCTTCGCCCGGGGGTCATAACTCCAAAACCGGAAGTGGTAGACTAACGCCACCTGGCCTATGTTACTCCCCGGTCCGAGCTACCCCTTTATCCCAAATTTCAGACTCGGGGCAGACCTAGTGTAACCGCCAACCCCGAACAGACCGGCTTTGCTCGGGGGTCATAACTCCGAAACCGGAAGTGGTAGACTAACGCCACCTGGCCTATGTTACTCCCCGGTCCGAGCTACCCCTATACCCCAAATTTCAGACTCGGGGCAGACCTAGTGTAGCCGCCAACCCCGAACAGACTTCGCTCGGGGGTCATAACTCCGAAACCGGAAGTGGTAGACTAACGCCACCTGGCCTATGTTACTCCCCGGTCCGAGCTACCCCTATACCCCAAATTTCAGACTCGGGGCAGATGTAGCCGCCAACCCCGAAAAGACAGACTTCGCTCGGGGGTCATAACTCCGAAACCGGAAGTGGTAGACTAACGCCACCTAGCCTGTGTTACTCCCCGGTCCGAGCTACCCCTATACCCCAAATTTCAGACTCGGGGCAGACCTAGTGTAGCTGCCAACCCCGAACAGACCGGCTTCACTCGGGGGGCATAACTCCGAAACCGGAAGTGGTAGACTAAGGCCACCTGGCCTATGTTACTGCCCGGTCCGAGCTACCCCTATACCCCAAATTTCAGACTCGGGGCAGACCTAGTGTAGCCGCCAACCCCGAACAGACAGACAGACAGACAAACGATAGTCACAAATATATATATATAGATATACATTCTGATCATTCCAATTTCATATACTAGAAGTCATTTTTCAAATTTTCCAAATCACACATGACATGGTCTCTATTAAGCACATGGTTGACTAAGCACGCACTGGTCTTGGTCGAATGCACGCCGAGCGTGTTATCTAGTCTCGTCCCGCAAATTGTTTCTATTTTTAGTAACAGTGTAATTTTAAAGGCCCTGTCTTGCAGTTAAGTTTTATACAAACTAATGTCTTTTCCCCAACCCTGTTACCTTGAACATGTGTCAAGTGTTCTCAATCACTCACCTACATAGAACAGTATGAGTTCTGAAATGAACTAGCAATGTTCTGCACAGAACACATAGTCAAATGGACGCCTGTGTTCTACACTCGTAACTAGTGTTCACAGTGTAGGCTCGAATCGAAAACTGAAACCGAACTTTGTCTGCTGGAAATGAAAATGAAATGGAGTATATATTATTGTTATATTATTATTATATTATTGTATGTTTATTCTGCCATGCCGTCACGTCATTGGTATTGTTATTGTATGTCTTGACAAGCTCAGGCGAAACATGTAGACAATTAAACAATAGTATATACTCTCTTTAGGCATTTTAAACCTTTATCCTTTATATATTATATATATATATATATACTATTGTATATAAATATACATTATATACTATTGTATATAAATATACATGATTCTAAATATATATATATATATATATATATATATATATATATATAAAATAAATAAAAGATTCTACTCTCAGGTAAAAGTATATAGAAAAATGAGGTTTTTAGAAATGCCTGATGATCCCCGTAGTGGGTGAAAGCGCTTGCTAAGATGAAATTAGTTTTTCCTTTCTAAAACCCTCATTTTTCTATATATATATATATTTAGATTTAGAATCATGTATATTTATATACATTTAGAATCATGGGTTAAAATCTTTATTTAATTATAAATTATAATCACAATCATAGCTTAAAATCTTTAATATAAAATATGGGTTAAAACGTTTATCTAATTGTGGCGTCCAACGGATGTATCCACTAAAAATGGGCCCCTCTATCACAATGACTCACTAGTGGAACCTCGGCTACTGATCTGTTATCCAGGGAGGGGTTTTTCTAAGCTCGCCTGGGATCACAACTCTCTTCGGTTAGTAATGGTTAAGTGTCAGCAAAAAGTGACTATAAGAAATCCCTTCCCAAGTTTTTGACCGGAATTTCCAATAATTGAACGAAATACGACTGCAATGTCGCTTTGCACAATGTCCCCCCTTATTCAATAACACAAACAACAAAATAAATATTCATATAAGAATAAATATATATTATCCTCTGATCAAGACCAAATTACAAAATATAACACAGTAATGATAATGATATAAATATCTAACCACTTTCAGGCGAAACCCAAATTATGGTCAACAGACAACCACACGTGTACACGATCAGTAACGATATGAAATCTGGGAAACTGACCGGGCTGTCGGTAATTTTTCACAGATGATTAGCAAATTTAAAAATTGATCAGCAGTTTTTCAGTTTCAACATAAAACACCTAAATAACAAGATTATTTTAATTTTAATTGATTACTAATGATTAGATTTCATTCTTAAGATTTTTTAGAATTTTAGCACTTCAACAGGTAGCTGTGAACATTTCTGAATGAATGTAGACTTTTGGTTAGGCCTTATGTCTGACGAAAGACTAGGGAATGTGGGTGGATACGGATAAATCTTCCGTATAAACGGTAGCCTATAAAATATAAACCGTCACATATTATCACAATCATCGCTTAAAATCTTTAGAGCTAGCAACAATCTATCTTCTAAACTCACTAAGGCTGCAACTTACCACAGGGTTTTACAGTTAGTTATAAACCTGTAACGGTAAATCTCTTTGATCTTGCGGTCTGAAAGGCGGGGGCGGCTTTGGATATATAGAGGGAAATTTGGGGTTATTCTTCTGAAAGTTTTTTCTTTAAACCTTTACCGGGTTATTCTTGCAGGGTAGGGGTTATGCTGACTTCAGAAAAAAACCTCGACAGAAAAACCTCGGCCTACCGGCTTCGGTTTTTCTTTTTCTCGGGTTATTTTCTTCAGTCTTTCTTTCCCCAGCATAACCTCAGTCTCATGCTTTATTCTTCACATAAAATTAAAATTCAGTCTTACGGTGTCGGTAAGTTGCCGCCTGAGTGAGTTAAAAAATAGTAAAAGGACGAAACTATGAGGTGACTCTGAACCGAGAACCGTCACAATATATACGCCATTAGTTACAATCAATTAAATTAAAAAAAAATCGCCGAGTATTAGTCAATAAATCGCCGAGTATTAGTCAATTTGTTTTTATCAACGCCCAACGCGTAAAGAAGAAATTTTATGATGGCTTCATTAATAAATAAGTGAATGAATATTTTTCATAGCATTTGAGGGGGTTCACTCGACAACTTTCTTAGAATTTTGCCCACTTGACATGGAATGGCACAAATATTGAATAACGGGTAGTTAAACTGAAAATCAATAAGTGGTACCGTGTGCGTGTATTGCACTGTTACGTAGTTGGATTGATGAGATAGAAGAGGGGAGACAACTCAGTTTTGCACTGATGATCCAAGCAGTTCGTTGGGGAAAATATTGTGGTACGGGTACGGAACATATGTTGCTATTAAAATCACGACACAGCTCTCTTCCACCAGGCATAAACAGGTCCCTTGGTGCGACTGGACCAAGACTTTGTCTTGGCTGGTTGCTTTTGGGCTCTCTACTCTTTGTTTGATGATAGTGTGTGGATGGTCCCGTTTTAGTACTAATTGAAGTTCTCGAGTCTTGAAGACAGGTGCCTCATTCATATTATTTATCGGCTTGGCGCTCTCGATTAATAACAAAACTGGGTGCACCCGACTTTTCTCCATCGAGTTTGGAAATAACTTTATCACCCGGTTTCAGTTCTTCTAATTCGCGTGTGTTGTGATGTCTATTAAATTTTCTACGCGTTTGAAACTTTCTATTGTCATCTCTTCTCCTCACATTTTTAAAATTAGGCCATTTCGGTTTTAAAGTGCTTGGTAAAGTTGGTAGAGTTGTACGAATTTGTCGTCCCATCAGTAATTGAATAGGACTCACACCTGTAACTTGTAACGGGGTTGTTCTGTAGGTCATTAAAGCCAATGATAGATCAGGTTGATTTAATATCTTTTTCGCGGTTTGTACAGTTCTCTCTGCTTCACCATTCGCGGACGCAAAGTAAGGGCTTGTTGTGACATGATTAATTCCAAAGTCACAACAAAATTTAGAAAATTCCCTAGACGCAAACTGAGGTCCGTTGTCAGTAGTTAGTAACTCTGGTATTCCGAATCTCGCGAAACTATCTTTAAATTTAAAAATAACATTTCGGCTTGTGGTAGTACTTAAATAAACAATTTCAATGTATCGCGAAAAATAATCCACAATTACCATATATTCCTTGCCCTTGAAAGTCAATAAATCTGCACCTAAATGTTTCCAAGGACGATCTGGTAGTGGTGTTGGTAATAAAGGTTCTTTATGTTGATTCGGTCTTTGACTTTGACAAAATTCACACGATTGAACACGATGATCAATATCTTTAACAATTCTAGGCCACCAAATGCTCATATTTACTCGTTCTCGACACTTGTTGATGCCTAGATGTCCTGCATGAATTCGCTCTATCATCTCTTCACGCATAGACACAGGAATGACAATTCTACTACAGTATACTAATAATCCGTTAACTTCTGTAAGTCTCTCGCGAACAGAATAATAATCATATAATCTCGGATTAACATCGCGTTTATATTGTGGCCAACCATCGCGTACAAAACGTAAAACATCTTGTGACGTTTCATCGTTTAAAGTAGCTTGACGAATATTATTTAACTGTTTATCAGAAGCTGGCCA